ATATAATGACCACCAATTCTATCTAAAGTCTAGATACATGGGGCGCAAAAATCCTAGAGGCAGTAGAACGTCAAGAGCGGCTTTTGTCAGAGAGTCTGTCTCTGAACCGAGCGCATCCTCTTTTTTCGCAACAGGCGTCGCCATCCCCAGTGGACGAAGTAGATCCCGAGTCAATATCCCGCAATGATGCGCTCAAGACGCCTATTACCGGGTCGGACATGATTCTCAGCTGGCCGATCTTTCCACAAGAGAAACCTGTGTCGACTTTTCCAATGGCAGCGTATTCTGAGAAGCCAGATCGCTTTCAGACGGGTATGGTATTCTCGACGCATCATATCCCAGAATCGGATACTAATGGGCGGTTACAGCTCTACCAAGCTTAGATCCGCAAAGACTCCTCCAACTGCGCGAGATTTTCATGACCAAGATCTGGACCAAGAACCCGATCGTTGACCCGGACCAGCTGGATTTTTACATCGCTCAAGTGCTGGAAAATGGCATTGATTGGTCCGCCTCATCGTGCTTGGTGCTACTTATCTTTGCGCTTGCCGCCATCTGGGGGAATTATCCCGACGACGAAACACGCGAGGTCTCGGACAATGAACCATCATTCAGTCCACCAGTCACTTACGCGACAATGTCGGTTCCGGAGCACCGAATGAAGGAATCATTGACCTTCCTCTCCATGGCGCGTAAGCGCATCTCCACTGCGTATCTCGACGATAGTTTATTAGGAGTGCAGTGTCTCTGTATATTCGGGTGGGCTCCTTCCATTCACCTGCTTCGGGATACGAATGTCTAACTCCCGCGTAGCATTTGGTATCAGTACAATATCGAGCCGATTGCGGGCTGGAAAATGTTCCGGACAGCATCCATGCTGTGGCAGACGTATCGTTTGAAGCACCGCGAGGGAAAGACGGTTAGAAGTGCACAGGAAGAGAGTGGGTGATTTAATCTGTCCTTTTCGGATATGTCTAACTCCCCTTCCCCCAGGTCTGGAGCAGCGACTCTACTGGACATGCTTAAAATCTGAATGGTATAGCATACACCACAGATCTCAAATCCGCACACAACTGGCTGACATACAATAGTGAAGTTCGATATGAACTGACGGATCTCCCGCCCTGTGACCTCAGCCTCTCCGACTTTCCTTATTCTCTCCCGAGCTTCCCTACGAGACAACCATCAAACGACACCCCTGGGTGGATGTTTTCCAGTCCCTCATCCACAGACCTCCAAGCAGCATCTTCCTACTATTATCTGGCCGAGATCTTCTTGCGCAGGCTTCTCAACCGGGCCCGCAATGCGGTCCGCGTGCTCTCCCCGGATATTGATCTGCCCACAATCAAGGTTCTGGCAGAAACTCTGACTCAGCTGGAAGGTCAACTCCAGCAGTGGGTAGACTGTCTCCCACATACACTCCGGTTCAACATGCCTCTCGAATCCGCCCCCGGGCCGAAGGAGGGTGAGCTCATGAAGCTAAGCCGTGAGCGATACGTCGAGGTGCGCGAACTGCTCTGTCGCGCGTATTTATACCTGTGCATTCATGTGCCACTCGACCCAGGGATGGCCGCGCTGTATGGGGGCAAAGCAAGCGAGGCGCTACTTTTGGCAGTCTATCGCATCCAGACTGAAGTGCCATTCTTCCGGCATCCGGGGTCATGGGGAGCCTGTCGAGTTCGCTTCAACCATGCGCTTTGCCTGATTGCGGGATTTCGCGCAAAGCTAGCGCAGCGCCCCTCGGCTGAATATATGAACATTCCTCCTGACTGGGCCGACTGTGTGCGGGTGGTGATTGAGCGGTTGAAGATCTGGGGTGAGGAAGGTGGCGGGATCAAGGAGTTAAGTGTGCTGCTGGAGTGGCTGATGCATTCGAATTTGGAATTGTAGAACAAAACATATGATGTGCATCTGTTTGTGACAGATCGCAGAGTTTTTGTACATGCTGATACTACGGGGACCAATTGAACTTGATTAAAGAAGTATACTGGATATCCCTATTGAGGGCGTCTCACGGCCTAGTTTACCTTACCCGGACCCGTGGATAGTGTGTTTGCTGAATCAGCAAGTTCTTGATAAAATGCTGTTTGTCTCAGCCAGAGTACTCCTTACAGGAGAGCAGCTACAGCTCCGCTTCTCTTCGAGTATCTGGAACGCATATCCCACACTAGGGAACTAACGGTGACCATCTTACTCTTGGCCCGAGGCTCTCGGGGAGACTCCGCGAAGTCCCTGCAGCCTGCTTTAGGCTAAGATGAAGTGCCAAGGCTCTTATGGGATTGTTGTCATGCAACCATAAGCTTGCAAGCCAGGACCCTGGCCTTGCTCTCTGCCGCCCACCGCCTCCACCTACCCCGTGGGGTGATGAAACTCTAATTCCTCCATCGGGGATCGTCCCCGGATTGTCTTCAATACGATAGAATAACGCCTCCCAGCCCGTCTGTGCATAACCTCATGGGTCAGCCGGACCTTGGCTGTCTGGGAATGGGCCAATCTGCCGAGCATAGAATGGATAGGATATATAACCATTATTCGGTCCCACCCAGTCTTCAGGGATCCACAGATCAACACTATCTTCAGCATCCGATCATATCAGCCTTTCAACATGGTCGTGGTTGGAAAACAGCGCGAGGAGAATGTTGCCGAGCCTGTGCTGGCTAACCTTCTAACCAATGACCGTACACCTTGGTACAAGAAGCCGAATCTAAGACGACTCTATTTCATATTGTTTCCGGCGTGTATGGGTATCGAGATCACCTCGGGATTCGACTCGCAGATTATCAACACGGTCCAGATTGTGTATACTTGGAACAAGTGCATGTATTCCTGGTCCAGGATGAGCTCTCCAGAGGACTAACGTTGCGATATAGATTTTGGTCATCCAACTGGAGAGATCTTGGATGGGCGCGAGCAGTACGCGATCGAAGCGAACCTCAAGGGTTTTCTGGGTGCTGCATATTCCCTCGGAGCTATTCTATCCCTGCCCTTTGTCCCATACGTCAACCAGCGAGTCGGAAGGCGATGGACGATCATGTTCGGTTCATGCGTGAGCTTGGTTGGGGCCCTCATCCAGGGCTTCTCCAATGGAGGTATTCACTTCTTTCCTTATCCTTTCCGTGACATCTCTAATGCTTCCCAGTGGCCATGTACATTGTAGCGCGTATCCTGTTAGGATTCGGAATCCCATTCTGCATCGTCGCAGGGTCATCTTTGCTGGGAGAGTTGGGCCACCCCAAGGAACGACCGATCCTCACCTCACTGTTCAACTCCTCCTACTTCATCGGCCAGGTCATCGCGGCATCAGTCGGGCTAGGGACGGTCACTATTGCGTCCAACTGGGCATGGCGAATTCCATCTCTGCTTCAGATTGCGCCGGCCATGATCCAGATCTCGACGGTGATGTAGGATGCTCCCCGCCGCTATCCCGACTGCCCCCACTAACACATGGCCAGGTTCCTTCCCGAAAGTCCCCGATATCTGATCAGCAAAGACCGCTACGATGAAGCGTTCGATATCCTCACCAAGTACCATGCGGAGGGCGACCGCAGCTCTGTCATTGTCAAGGCCGAAATGGCGCAGATTGAACAGACCATCAAGATGGAGCTGGAAGAGTCAAAGCAATCATGGTGGGACATGTTCCGCACGGCCGGTATGCGTCGTCGACTGTTTATCTCCGCTTTCCTCGGCCTGTTCACGCAGTGGTCCGGCAACACGCTCACCTCGTAAGGATCCGCCTGCAGCATCTGCTCTATATGCCTTTCGCCTTTGCTGACCCACGTAATAGGTACTATCTCAGCGACCTTCTGAACATGGTCGGAGTCACCGACAGCGTGGTCAAGTCCAAGATCAACATCGGCATCGCGTGCTGGGGTCTCGTCAATGGCACTGCGCTGGCCTTGACGGCCCCGCGCTTCAAGCGTCGGTCGATGTACCTAACATGCGCATGCTGCCTGCTATGTGTGTACATCGGATGGACCATCTCTATGGAGCGTTTCATGAACACAGGGGCTCAATCCGCAGCCATTCTGACCATCTTCTTCATTTTTGCCTACTCGCCCGCCTACAACCTCGGCTATAACGCCCTAACCTACAGTGCGTGTCCCTCCCATTTCATAGCGTGTGTATATACTGACATCAATAAGCGTATCTGATTGAGCTATTCCCTTACGTGGGTCGTTCACGCGGTCTCTCCTGGTTCCAGTTCTATGGCCGCGGCGCAAGTTTCTTTGCCACCTACGTGAACCCCGTTGGCCTGGCGCGCATCGCCTGGAAGTGGCTCCTGGTCTACTGCTGTTGGCTAGTATTTGAAGTGATATTTATTTACTTCATCTTCCCTGAAACTGTGGGCCGCACCCTTGAGGAGCTATCATTCTGTAAGTGGTCTTCCTGCTATACTTTAAGGGACAGGGCTAATTTAAGCAGTGTTTGAGGACAAAGACAAGGCCAATGAGGTCGCTGCAGCTGTTTACAAACAGTTCGATGAAGATGGCGAGAAGAAAGCGGTCACAGCACATGTGGAGGTCCAAGAGACCAAGAATCCTGTTTGATGGTGTCATGATGGGTCTTATATACCGATGGCAGGGTGAACGTGTGGTTTAAGATTATCTGCTAGGTAGTTTATTTTAATTCTACGTCATTACATCCTGCAATGCCACTACCACTGCCGATGCCAGGCTATGACTACACTATCATCTTAGTTATTGGAATAGGATAATGCATATCGCTCGACCCTTCCTCGGCTCTCCTCGGGTACAGACAGCCTACTGCTTCTCATCTGTAGGCTGAGCGCTTTTGCGCCTCTTCTGGCTCTCCCACACGGGTAAGCCCCACTTCACCATATACTCAGACCTCAGAAGTTGGTCGGCTGTAGATCGTTCTGCGGGTTCAAACGCCATCATAGGTCTGAGTAAGTCTTCTGGTGCACGTAGTTCCCCAACTGCGAAATCGATGCATGCTCAAATTGAACTCGGAAGGACAGCTCATATTATTCTCTTGTTCTCTCAGGGCGTCGGCACGATAACTCTGTCGCGCATGATATCTCCAATGCGTTCCACATCTTCAACCATCTCTGGATTCTCTTGACCCTCAAACCCCTCAGACCCAGCTATCTTCAAAAACTGTTCCTTACTAACGGAAGGTGGGTTATAGGACACTTCAATGCCGTGCGGACGTAGCTCAGCCCCAATAGCATCCATTCGGTCCCACGGATACACCTCACTATTGCAGCCCCACTCTACAGGGGTGAATTTGATTTCAATCCTTCGGAGTGGACATCCTCGTTTAATTGCCTTGCGTGCCAGTTGTCGTAGCCAATTCTCTTCTCGTTGACTGAAGCCAGCAAGGCTCTCAGAACATTGCTGGTCCACGAGGGTCAAATCCCAGTGGAAGACACGGAGGCCCGGGGCAAGAAGACCATCGGGGGGCTCTAGAGTTTCCTCCTCTTTGTAGTCTTGATGACCTGAAATTTGCGACGAGAGGCTAAGCTTCTCTAGGCTTTCGAACTGGCGCAAGTCCAAGCCATCGATGTCTGGCCTGCCAATGGTGTACAATGTGATCGCGTATAATGTGATCGATCGAAGCGTTCTTCGGTGAATAGAAAGAATTTTTTGCAATGTTGCCAGGGTCCAACCCTTATATAACCCCGGGGTAGAGAAGTCATCTCCACATGTAAATCTCAGCTCAAATTCTTCTAAACGTCTAGACCAGCGGACGAGTCCTTCGAGGGTTTTTGGAGTTAGGAGAAAATTACGCAGCTCAAGTCTCGTGAATGGGGCCATTCCTGCTTTTTCCTGGGAAATATCATGTTAGTGCATCGGCAGAAGTTTTGCAGAGCATTGAATTAGGGTACCCGAAGTGCATATACATACCCTGAGCGCTTCCTGGCATATCTCATCTCCGTATAATGAAATGCCGTGTAGATTTAGTGTTTGGAGATTGGGGAGAAATCCAGACTTGAAATCACCCAGTATGTTTATCACAAAACGTAGCTCGAGGTTATACATGTAGGTGGAGCGCAGTGACAAAGAATTACAACTTGACTTCTGTTCGATAGCCAGTCGGAGCAGATCCCAAGCCTTTCTGCCCTCCAAACCCCAAAAGGTTAATGTTTTGGCAGCAGTGAGCCAGGTGATACAATCTGTTGCAACATAGAGATTACCGATGTTTTTTTTGTCATAGCTCACTATGAGGCCGCGGCAAAGTGGCCAAAGCGATGGATTCTCTCTGAAGCTGCGATGGAGTTTCTTGAAAACTCCCTTCCGTTCTCCCCAAGCGTTGTCGCTGCTGTTGATCACTAGATCTGCGTACAGGTATGGCACAGTAATGCGATAAAAACGTTTGCACACAAGAGAGAGTACAATTCCCATCTCATAGACTTTGAAACTGTCGGATCCATGCCAGTCGTTATGGACAATTGGTCCTGCTGCACAAATAATCGCATCCAAAAGCTCATCGGGTAATTCCAGGATGAAAGTCCGGTTTAGAGAGATGTGGTTGATACCCATGGTTGATATCTTCATGCGAGATATCAAGGAAACTTCAGTTTAGGAGAATGAGGGAAAGTGGTTTTGTTGAGCCTCACCGTAACTCACGGGTCATTTCAGCCGCAACCCCCGCTCTCCACTTGCAACTTAACGGCCCCTTGGCTTCTTTAATGCCTTACATATATTTTGCATGGCAGATCACAATTATGGGCATAAATATGGGCATTATTATTTCAGAATTTATACAAGCATGGTGTGCATACATGTCGAATGAGACTAGACCTGTTCCAGCCGACCGGGCCTTCGAAACTCAAGCATGGGATGGGATATGGGCAATTAATACCTCGGGAAGTCCCACGGGTGCCTAATTTGTATATTCCTAGTTTCTCGGATGGATCCGTACATGTTAGTCAGCTAGGCCCTCACACCCTCACATGGGCCCCTTGCTACATGCATAAAATGATAAATCTCTCTCAGCCTCTGAAAATCTCTGCAGCATGAATCTTGGTACCTTTCCTTTCTAGGCTGCGGTTTAAATTACACTAAGAGGACAATCCACCAAGAACACTTCGTATGTTATTTTTCACGTGTTTCCTTTAATCCGTAATGTCAACCGACTGGTCTGCTGGCCACATTACAAATTCTATTCTGGGCTGGTAATAGACGTGGGTGCCCGCACAAACGAATATGGGGCATTGGCAGCCAAGAGGAAGGACGCTTTTCCAGTCACTTTGGGATCCGGGCCGATAAAGTTGCCTGGGAAGCCAACATCAAAGTCCTTTTGGCTCTCAAGGTATTCAATCTGCTTTGCTGTCAACCGTAGATTGAGAGCCTGGATGTTGTCCTTGAGATGTTCAACTTTGCGGCCGCCGACAAGAGGGAACACATTTGGTGCTTTCGCCATCACATATGCTAGGGCAACCGCAGTGAGCGATTTGATCCCATGTTCCTTGGCCACTTTTTCAAGTGCTGCACTCATTGCGGCTTCTTCTTCGCTTTGTTCCGCACTCAATATGCTACGGAGACCCTCGCCCTGAGCTTTGCGTTTTTCAATTTCCTCCTTCGTTTTGAATTTTCCGCCGCCCATCACATCCCAAGGGGCAAGTGCCATTCCAAAATGGCGGGCCATTGGGATGATCTCGCGTTCAAAATCACGGAGCATGACATTCCATCGACCCTGGTAGATACTGAAGGGTGTCTTTCCGTGGGCTCGAGCATACGAGTTTGCCGCTGCCACAACCCACGCCGGGGTATCTGAAATGCCCAGGTAGAGCACCTTGCCCTGTTCCACTAAGATATGAAGACTATCCATAATTTCTTCAATTGAAGTGGTGTGATCCCACCAGTGGAGGTACAGGATATCAATCCAGTCGGTTTGCAGCTTCTTCAATGAATCCCGAACACTCATGTGGAGGCATCGCTTGTGGTTACCGCAATGGTTGGGGGCTTTTCCCTTGCCCAGCTTATAGGACCGAAAGTCTGTGGTGAACTTGGTAGCAATCACCAATTGGTCACGGTTCTTGCGTTCGGCCATCCATTGCCCAATCCAGGTCTCGGATTGTTCGTCCTGGTAATTGTTTGCCGTATCAATGAAATTTCCGCCGGCTTCATGGAAGGCGTCGAGAAGTTTGAAAGACTCCTCCTTACTCATCGAACCCATTGACCCTGCCCATGCATTTCCAATGGACATGGCTCCGAGCTGAAGAGGCGAGACACGAATCCCAGCTGTAGAAGAGAGAACGCGGTACCGCCCCAACTCGGTGGTCGGTTCCGGAGCAGGAGTCCAAAGATCAGCCATGATGAGTGTAAGTAGTAGACAGAGGACAGAGAGAGATGAAATTTCTGGTTTGAAGTAGCTTAAAATTGTCCTTGAACTTGGAATATATATAATTTTCCGGACCACAAGGGATGGGACATTGGTGACGTCACTCTCAAGTTCGCATTGTTAATGTTACCTTCCAGTAGTCAAGCAGTCATTGAGAACCAATTCACAAAGCCAACATTTCAAGGCAATTCTCTTAGAAAATGTACCCCGTATAGTGGGGCTATTGTCATCAAGGTGCATTAGCGTCCCTGGGTCCACAGATTGATAACGCGCTAGAATTGGGCCATAACAACATGAGAACATTTGAATTCTACCAAGTACAATCGTCCGTGCATAGAAATTGAATCCCTATTAGTGACCCAGTCTGTTAATTGTCCTCAAGTAGTGTCCTATTCCAGACAGGACATCTAGGACTCACCAAGGCCTTCATTTTCTTAAAAGCTCCACTCATCCTGATTTTAATATTACTGTGAAGACGGCATGGACTCTACGCCATCTACCCCATCAGCCCGATCATATTGCGGCCAATAGGCGCAATTATGTCATCACCATGATATGAAGTTTGGATAACTATATCGCCGAATGATTACGACCGTGCGGGTATGATTTGCAACCACGGTCCAATCTGAGATATTGTCCACATTCCTGGAAGGTTGGCCAATCGGGTGACATTTGTCATCGAAGCGCAGTCCCAGACAGAGTAGTCCCAGACTGCCGCACTGTCGGGGAGACCTGGGTTCCGGTCCAATATTGCGTTAAGATAAAGCATGTATCGCCCCTTGGTTCGGCACACGGATCCGGATCGAGGACAGTGGTGGAACAGGAGGGAGACCGAGACAGGGCCGGTGGTTGGTTTCCCACTCATTACTCTCTGTGGACGAAGCTCTGTTCCACGTCTGGGCACTTTGCGAAGTCTTGCTTTATGAAGATCGATCTCCAAAGGCATTGGACGAACTTAGGTCCCTGTCATAGATGATTGCGCTTGGAAAGCCCTATTCCGCTATCCATCAAAACAATATCACCAATCTTGCTCAGTCCGTGCCTTGACATGTGGTCCTTCGTAGCACGAATCCAACTTGTTTGAAAAAACCGTCTGTGAGGGTCAGCACGGCTCTGTTCCCTTTTAATGTTATCGCAGGAGACATAAAAGTCCATTTTGATCGTGTTATATAGATTGCCGGGGATAGGTTTGTTGTAGAAAGACGGAGGGCCTGGGCTTTAGGACCCTATTCTCTTTCCAAGTTGGGCATTTCGGAGAAGTATTGATATTGTTCGACAAGCCTGTCCTTCCCCTTCACCCTATCATTAATGATATTGTGAGCTGTGTGTAGTTAAAGCATCATCCTCTCTTATGGCAGGAAGAAGGATATGTGGTAGGGAGGAGGGAAGACAGGCCTCAGGCAAGCACACATCAACATACAAAGGATTGTGAGTGACAAAAGGAGGGCTCCTTCCCGTCCTTTTCTTCTTTACGTACTTCCGTTCCTCTATAATTATCTCAGTATCAAAAAGTGCCCGTTTATATCTAAATATTGCCTCCCTATCAAAAATCAATATATATCAATTGATGTGACCATCTCAAATTATACAGTTACATACATTGCATTCCCAATGGCCACTTGAATTCACCTACCAGTTACCCATTTTTGCACAAGAGAGCACTATGCTACATAGTGACAGTTGGGGATTTCTCGCAGAAACGAGGAATTGGGAAAGGCGACCAAGAAGTGAGAAATAGGTGACCAAAACCAAAGATACGCGTGAACTTGAGCGGAACCTTCGGCAAGGAGTTGGAAATAACAATGAGATGATAGCAAAATCCTTCCAACACTACGGGGGCAAGCGATTTCCCATTTCGATGAGATGCACTATCGCTGAACCTGACATATCCAGCCTGGGAACTGCTTTGACTTCTTAGGCATTCATCACAACAAGTTAACCTCCAGGGCCGCTCACCTTCTTCCCTTCATACCAATGCCCTCCATGTCACATCATCTACCAAGGTAGTGCTTTATTCAGAACAAGGTTTGCTTCTATGCGGGTGCCTTTCGAGTATACCTACTGACGAGGCTCTCCACTAGTCACTATTCTCCCTCTCACATCAGTCCTTCGATCCACGACCATACAAGTCGCGTGACGCGTCATTGGGACCATGCCAACACTTCTAACCCCCCGTTAGAGATTCGCGAGAAAATCCTCGAAGAGGCTCTCCCGACTGAGCGGGACACGCCCAACCACCCGAGTGAAGAACACGGATTTCGTTGGTTGGATCCTCTGTGTTCTTCGCCGAACGGTGTTCTATTGGAGAAACCGGGACCAAATCCAATTACAACATTGCTTCCGTTGCTTCTGATATGCTGGCAAATACTTATTGAGACAGAAGGTGTCCTGAAGCCCATGGAGATATCCTACAAGCTGGATATTACGGTGGCCCCCAATGGTAGTTTCTACCCAACCTGGCTCTGTATTCCCCGCATCATTGCCCGTGTACCGATACTTCATGTCGATATTCGTATCTTTGGGTCTGGGCTCCATTTATCACGTCTCCGTTCACAGGATATTTTGGAATACAGAGAAGCAGCTAGTCGGATTATCAGCTGCACTCTCAAATTATTCTCTCGGTTCTCACTCCCGGCAGAAATTGCAGACAAGAAACGCGGCCCTCAAATAGCCGCTCCCCAATGCCGCACAAACAACTCTTGTAAAGAGTATGCCCGGGCGCACATTCTCCCAGCAAGCATTAACCCATGCTGATGCCCTTGGTCCGCAATACCACTTGGTGTCTCTGGTGCCTTCGCGTGGCCAAGCGTGATTGGGGTTCCCAGCCCAATGGACTTTGTGATCCCATCGAGATTTGATGTGTCTCCGATACTGCTACGTCAGAGAGTTGTGCCCACTATGCTCACAGCTATAAGGTGTGCGAGCAGGTATGTGATCTCTTCCGGTTCGAGGTGTTCTCGGGACCGAAATTTCCACGCGGATTGTATCCACGGAACGCAGATTGCATGTATTAGTTGGATAAGTGCCTCGTGCCCGGAGGTGATGCTGTATCTCCAGGCTGGTTATGAGATCTCTCCAATGACGGAGTATGTATGGACTCAGGGATGTTGGTCGTCTGGAAAGCTTGCGCTTCCTGCGTGATTGTCGATTGTGGCTTGGCATTTTGGTTCTTCGAAGTATACATGTTAAATCGAATGTTATCTGAGCTTCTCTCTGTCAAATTGGATTTAATTTGAAATTTATATTGTCTCGGCCGAAGAAAGGAATGTCTATATTGCTATCGCTTGGATGTGGGGTAGTTCTGACTCACAAGGCGAGCGACAATATTCTTCTTTAAAAACTCCCATACACATGTCATAATATCCAATTGCCCGCTTGCAAGTCTCTAATTACTTTCTCTCTATTCTCCTCTCATTATGGCAACACTTCCGAACCCAACGTCCCCATCGGACACTAAGCGCACACTTCAGAAAGCTACAGTCGAAGACATACCCACCCTTAAAGCCATGGTCGATGCCGCCTATTCAAAATATATCGAGCGCATTGGCAAACCACCAGCTCCTATGACACAAGACTGGGACGAGGTGATCCGCACGCGCGAAGTTCTCATCTTAAGAGACAATGAGCGGAACGTGGGCTCAATTACCTTCTGCGAGGACAAGCAGACAAATTCGCTGAAAATCAACAATGTGGTAGTCGATCCGAATGTGCAATCTCGGGGCTATGGATCGTATATGATCAAATATGCAGAAAGTGAAGGTCAAAAACTGGGCCTGCCCAGTGTAACATTATTCACCAATGTGAAGATGTTCGAGAATCTTGGGTACTATCCGAAATTGGGATTTACGGAGACGGAACGAAGAGTGGAGGATGGGTTTGAACGTGTATATTTCTATAAAAAGCTTGGTGAATGACGACATTCTTTCGCTGCTGAGGCTCATTAGCATCTTGACAGGGAGATCTTGGACTGGGTCCCCGGATCATGGGCCCCTCCGTTCGGATTGGGGGATGTCATCACCGCTAAAGTGATTGATCGTTCTCACTGGAGTTGCCCAAGATAGAAACGTTGAACACTCAAAGTGGCAAGTTACGAGGAAATTGTTTCAATCAAAACCAAGTCATGGGTCTTCACATTCGAGAACATTAAGTAGCATGTGCTAATCTACATGATTCATATGAGACGGGCCCGTTCGTTTTCAAAATATATACATAGAAGGTTCCGCCATAGAAGAAGATTAAGGGTGATAGTAGAGAGAGAAAAGAGGTCAAAGAAGGGGAGAAAGAGGAGACATGAAACAGTGACAAAATCGTGAGGGAAAGAACACATATTATAGCGACAGAAAATGTGTCTCGAGGGCATCATACCACGGGAAAATATAAATGGTAAACATTCAGATGACTCAGGAATAAAGAAGTAGAAGTGCAAAGATTCATGAGAAAATTCATCTCCGCCATCCTGTACGAGGCGGCCTGTTCGAGGAGAATTCCTCTTTGCTAGAATGCCCACTGGACACCTCGTCAGGATAAGCAGGCTCGTGGGTGATCTCGATGGTAGTTTCTTGATAGACCTTTCCGAGCGCTGCCATTTCATGATCATGCCCGTGGCCATGTGCGGTTGGCACAACGATATTATCCATTGATCCGTCGCGGTCGATATCATCAGTGAAAGTGCCACCGTGTTTGCGTGTGGGATCGGCGGTGATGGTCGTCAGATTGTTCTCGCCTCGCTTGCCCTTGCTACTATTGAATTTGTTGTAGGAGCGGTCTTGGCTGGGTTCTGAGTCGATGATGAGGTTGCGGCGGGTGAGTGTGTATAGAACGACATCGACCAGCCCGGAGCTGGTAATGAAGGCACCGGCACAGCAGAAGAAGATGATGCTGGGCTCAGTGCCGTGGGCTGTGGCCATACGGCCCGCAGCGAGGGGTAGCGATAGGACGATGTAGACGATTGGGTAGATGGTCATGTAGCCAACGACGCGGCGAAGGCGCTGGAGACTCGCCAGTTGGTTATTTCCGAGGATGGCAGAAGCGGCGATCTGTCGGCGAAGCTGGAAGTACATGATGGCGTAGAGAATGACTGTGCCGAACTCGGCGAGGAAAATCCAAATGTAGTGAGTCCATAGACGGGTGGTTTCGTATTCCTCGCTGATCCAGCACCAGGCTCCGGAAGGCACGAAGATGTCGGGACCGTGCATTCCTATTGGGATGACTACGATCAAGGCCACGAAGATCCAGACGCCGACGACGAAACAGACAAAGAACCTGTAGGACATTTTGCGTCCCCAGACGACTAAAAGGAATGTGTGAAAGGCGATTGCAAGCACGAAAAGACCACTGCCGGGGTCTCCAATTTGCAGCCACAACCCTTGTAGAAAGCATGAGGTGGTCCCGGACTCGATTTTGTCTGTCAAGATCCATCGCAGACAAAGAATGAATGCAAGTGACTGTTGGAAATCCGCCAGAACAAGGTTATAAATAAGAATAATGTACTGGTTGTAACCGATGTATCGTGTATAGCTGCCGCGCCAGAAAAAAAGGCGATATGTGATGAAACCGAGGAGTATTGATGTTGCAATGAGAGATAGGAGGGCCATAATCGAGATTGCTATTAGACCTCGTCGATGCGATTGTGGAAGGGGGTCAATATCAAGCTCCACGGAGCTGGTCAATCGAGCTGCTAATGAATGCTCGTTGTTTCTGGGCATCAAGCCCATGAGAATGAGTGAAGACATGGTGGAATCTCTTGTCAGTTGTTTTCACTGCGAGTTGCCTGCTATCATTGTCTGGTTGCAAGACGGGGGAATTGAAGGATGGAAGATGGCGTTATTTTGTCACTGTCCAGAATCCGATTGAGACTGCGCACTCAAAAGTGATATATAAGGCCAAGGCGAGTGCCAAAAAAATGAGAAGCCGAAGGTGGTAAACACTGAACCTATCCCATAAGCTGCCGGTAATGACAGACAAAGAACAGCTCGAGGTGAAGAAGCAATAGATAATTGAATGCAAGATGCAACGAGGGAGAAAGAAACAACAGCCACACTACTATGACTGATTGAACTTAAAATTGAATAGATCAGGACAGAAGAATGAGAATCAAACCCATTCAACCTTTTGGTGCATCAATAGCTAGGCTATCCAGGACAAGTTCGAGTGAAGAGTGGAATCATGGAAAATATGGACACCTGGGAGAGGGAGTGCGATCTCCATAATACCTCACGGTCCAGAGTCTTGAATCCCTGTATACAACGTATATTGTACTCCACATTAGCCTCTTTAGCCCACCTTTAGCCATATCCCCAAGTGGGTAAGGAGGCACAAGTTGCCTCGAGATGTCGAATGAAAATGCTCCAAATTTTAGCTTGGTTGGTTTACTCCGTACCAGCCCACTCGACGGGCAACCCGAACCATCTAGCCTACAAAAGTACATACTAAAGAAGGGTCTGTGCCGGTTGGAAACGGCGTTGCATAGAAAAAGGAAATTTCCCCAATTTTCAGAACCACTCAGAAGGTGCAAAATCCAGACACCACGGGCTCCGTGTTCTCCGTGTCAAGGCCAAAGCGCACATTGGCTCACTGGGCTCGGATCGCTAGTACCTTATGTTCGCTGCAGGGGCAAGGCTTCTGGAACACTAGCGGGGGGAGAAATTGGGACAAGTTTATGTTTTGTGTTAAAAAAAACGTGGCCAAACTTTCGTATCAAACTGATCAGACTCTTTCCTGAACCGACAAGAGGCATTTACAATATAACTTTGATCGGCGTTATATATTGTCAATATCAAGTTCAAAGAAAAATAACACACAGCATAACGTGGGCGACCGGGTGAATGGACCAGGGGACCCTAGCAGGGAACGTGTGAAATCCACCCCGCAGGTCTGGATCCGGATAGGAGAAAAATGAACGTCAAGATGTTAAACAAAAGGATTATTTAACAATAGTGGACATTTGTGGGAATTTGTGGACATCTGTGGGCATCTCACCTCTTGGCCATACGATTGGGCTAGGTTAAGCTTCGATCCTCCAATTAGTGAACCATCAGTTTTTAAATGGAGACGGGACAAGTTTTTCTCTTGGAAACTTACACTTCGATCGTCAGGCCACTAAACTTCATATATGATCAAGCCATCCGTAAAAAGGAAATATGGAGGTCACGCGGATAGGTCTTTGTTCAGCCCGTTATTAACGGTTCAAATTTACGAGGACCGAGGAAGGAGGCTTATCATTATACGAGATGATTCCTAGCGCAGACTAGAAGATTTGGCATAGTGGGTAGGAATCAACAATGTAAAATCGCTAAAAGGATGATTACGCATCTAGTTTCTGGAGAGCCGCAGCGATCGTCGAGTTGCCAGTAGCCCGCTAAGAAGGAATCTCCGTCCCGAGTTAGGGGATGTTCACAATCCACAACGTGCGGGAATTTTAAAGTGTCTCAGATGTGCGCCAGGGGGTAAATCGGGAACATCCGAGTTTATATTAGAAATTCTAGTTGACAGCTCAGCCTGTCAGTCAGGTACCCGAACGTTAAACAAGACATTGTGTTGGCAGCTATGCTGTACATATTTCCTCTAAATGATAGGTTACTCGGTGTTACGTACTTCAACGCCATGTCTCATTCCCTTTCGTTTCTCGCCCCGCTCCATGCCGATCTAAATTCCAGTCTCAGCACGTCCACCTTGTAAACCAAGTAAGTCAAGTAGGCCAAGTAGGCCAAGGTTTAGATTTGGAATGATTTGCACGTACTAGAATGAGGTGAAAGCTTATACTCCCAAAACCTTGTTCACGGGTTGTATTGTGTATATTTTCCCATTGGGGTAAACCGGATATCAAACGCCCTTCAAGCTCCTTTTTCCATTTAACCTTGTCCTAACATGATAACAGGGAATCCACCCTTCAATGCGTGCCCGGTTCCACGTTCCAATTGCCTAATGCGGGACAATCTCTTATTTGACGGGTACTTCGCAATATATGAGCTCTAAAACATAGATCTCGACTTGGAGATCCTTTTGAAGAAATTAATATCTGCATCAAACACAACCTCATGCAAGATATACTATGTCCCAACCTACACGTGCCCAAGACATCGCTTATAAAGATATCAGTGGTCCCACTCCACTATTGTTCAAAGTCTATACTCGCCCCTGGCGCTCGGTTCCGAGCCGTGTACACACATACACACAGATACACACACCAGCCGTCATATTCGAAGGTTCGACTGACGGGCCAAGTTTCCTATTTCCATGAAGATATCAACAAAAATAAAGTTATTATTCTAGCCTATCTATCGTTAGCGTGATTCCTTTTGCCTAAGATTACTCCGATCATACCCTGAGAGTTTAATAATCAATAGTGTATGATCATACCTGGGGATCTCCAGATTATGCAGCTGGCGAGGCTGTGGATCTACAGTAACGTGCTTCGTATGGAGTATCTACGGAGATTTGCCATCGTGGCGGTAGGCAAAGAATAGACTATTGGATAGAGCCCCTCTACTGATACGACTGTACTTTCTCTCCTGGCCCGTGTGCCATGTGATCTTCACCTAGTCATTCTTCCATGTCCTGCATATCACTATTGCTTCTGCTCTCCATAGCATATGCCCATTTGGTCGAAGTAACATCAACAGACCTACGGAGTTGCATAAAAGGTCAAAACTGCATGGAGATTCACGGAAAAGGAAAATCCCCTGGATACAACTGGAAGCACTGCAACCCAGCGTCTTTGACCTGATTCGTAGATCCTGGTCCTTAGTAGCAACGCATGGTCTCCACCAACCTAACGGGACACGTGAAGGTTCCGAAGCATGTTAATCCCGGCCGGTCACTTTCGTATGTGCCGGTGCAAAGTTTTGCTGGATGTCATGATCCGCAGTGGAACTCCTTATGCAAATTGCCCCGTTGACAGGGGATGGACCTGCAGGATATAAAAAAGATGCCGAGGTCCCCGAAGAATGATTTCCAATCCAGTCCAGAACGGGCGAAACCCACAAAGGACTAGCATTAAGATGTACATAGTACCTAAATAGGGTCTAGGAACTGCCTCTTGCGGCTAGTTTTACGGTTTCACGCTATAAAAGATCCGATCATCGTCGCTCATCTCTCTAGTACGTTTGGGTCGCAAACTACGGCTGATCACTTGTTATTACGTGTTTTTATCTCATGTCTGGGATTAAGTGCTATATCTACATACAGCATCTGGTCTGTTAATAATGTCGCTCAACCCATTTCGGGAATATGAGGCATCATCACAGGTCAATTGCACGATTCTCACGCATGGACCGATCCGCCGCAAGGACAATAGTAAGCGATCGAACAGCGTCTGTCATATTCTTCGTGAGGGCTCGATCCTGCCGGATAGCATCTAGTAAAAACTTCTGTTCACGAACACAAAGCTCATAGTGACTCGGCTCGTCCTCCAAGGCGATAATTACATCATGTGCACATCCATCAACCACAGTACTCACACGCAAGCTCGACATTTTCGTATAACCAGCAATATCAGATGAGTCACCGGTATTACCAGTAGTCTTCTCCTTGTGAGATTGAGTCCCATGCCGCGCACTTGCACAGGCTTACTATCGGGAATTTGCAACATGACATCGATGTAGTGCACGCCGCAGTCAATGACGGGATTCTTCACGTCCTGTAGTATACGCTTATGAATCTCCCAGGCCTTGCCGGTGGAGCGCTGGTTCTGGTTGATTCGCATTACGAAGGGTGGACCGAGTTCTCGAGCCTGGACAATGAAGTCCATCCAGTTGAGATGGTGTCGGAGGATGTAGCCGACAACGAGCTTGCGTTTTGTAAGTTGTGCTGTTTCCACGACGCGCTGTGCGTCTGTCACTGTTGCTGCTAGGGGCATTTCGACGAACACGTGTGCTCCGGCTTCCATTGCGGCTATGGCGTAGCTGGCGTGGGTGGCGGTGTGTGTGTTGATTGACATGATATTCGGTTTGAGCAGAAGGGCCTCCTCAAAGCTTGATAAAATGGGGTATTCGTTTAGTTCATCTGGAAGATTATTTGGCGGACTCTGGCTGACCAGGCCGATTATCTTAAAGCTCGGAATTTGGTGCTAGGCAAGTGCATGGTTGTGGCCCATCTGGCCAATCCCGACCACGACAACTGTCAAGCGCTGATACCGACCATTTCTCATGCTGAATATCCAGATGAGTAAAATGTCACAGCATGGCGAAGTTGTACAGAATATATATCGATTCGGTACATATATGTCGGTGCGTTCGCTATTAGGCTCGCCAGGCGGGAGCTTATGCGGGTCAAACTAGTCTTAACTAGTATGGATGTTTACATAAAGCGATATTCAGAGAACACCATAAGGCAGGGCAAGTTTTGTGAAAGTGAATAGGGATCATTGCAATACGTAGATCCAATTATCTGATATTGCACAATACTAACAATTCAACCGCTGAGTGATGCTAAATCAAACTTGTATCATAGCCCAAGCGCACGGCCGGCGTCGGGTTGGGGGAAAGCTCATAGCATTCATCAATCATGAAAAACAAAATGTAAAAAGGGTGGAGAGCCAGTAGGCGAAGCGCGGAAAAGCAAAAGCACAAACGAGAAATAACGAAAAATAAACCCCTGGACAAGAAAGTAGGGCGGGTATCATGAGTTCGTCAAGCCCATTGCAACAGCAACAGTTATATCCATATCCCATGCTATCCAGCAAACAGTCCTCGAAAGATTCCAACGCTGCACGTAGGTCGAAAAGAATTACCCCCGTTCCATCCCAGTAGCGATCTATCTGCGCCTCGAGCTTCGCGTATCCCGACGACCAAGATCGTCATCTTCCTCGTCCTCCTCCTCGACAGGCGCAGGCGTACGTCGCTCCGTGCGTCTCTTAGGTCGACGACGTCGGTTCGAGCTGATGTTACTCGCCGAGTCATCGGGTGCAAGAGAACGCTCGTCGTCGAGGAAGTCGTCTTCGCCGCCGCTTTCCCACGTGCCGACGCCTGAGAAGGGCGTCCCGAGACGCGCTTCGACGAATGAGCCCCGACGGCTTTGGTTTGCGACAGACAGGCCGGCGCCGCGTTCGCGCAGTGCACGTCGCACGACTTCGGCTTTGCAGTGGAGGGCTTCGAAGGCGTCTTCGAGTGCTTCCATTCCGAGGAAAATGTCGCGCTCGACTTCCGCTAACGCGGCGATTTCGGTTTCCTCGTCTAGAGCGATCGGCCCGCCGAATGTGGCGGGGGATGTGGGTCCATTCACTTGGCTGGAGGGTCGGAAGCTGCTGTCCATGTAGTTCGGTGTTGGTCCTCGGGAGATACCGCCGCCTAAGGGGGTGTTGGAGCGACTGGCGTAGCGAGACCCGGTGGCATTCGCGGCGGGGCCTGTGTCTTCTGCGCCGCTGCGGAGGAACCCGTCGAACCGACCGGAGATGAGGATCTCCCATTCGTCATCGCTGATGGCGGAAAGGGTGGCGAGGACATGGTGGAGAGTGGGGTTGTTCAACATGTACATAGCAGTTTCTGGGTCGCGGGGGAGGGAAGGTAGTCGGTAAAGGCGCTGGATGGCTGAGGCCGACGAGATAAGTGCCGAAGGTTTTGATCGGGGTTTTTCGTCGTCGGATCGCGGGACAGGAGTAGAAGAGTTGATGCCGAGCAAAGAGCAGAACAATGAACGCTGGTGGGGTTCGAGATGCGTGAGCATGGCGAAGGTCAAAGTCTCGTCGTCGACCTCATTAGGAGCGCTGGTGCCGGGATCATTCTGCTCGTAAAGCCATTTGTCGACAGCGACCTTCGTCTTTCGAGATTGCCGTATGAAGTGGTCGCGGTACTCTTCAGGAACGTCAACGTCAAGCTTCTGCATTGGAACGTGCTCATCGCCTGGCGCCCCAGTGTCCACGGCCGTTGGTGCCATCGTGAAGGGAGGCCACATGGGAAGTTCCCTGCGGCCAGACACAAGCTCCAACACCTCTCCCCAGCTCACTCCATCCGGTTGATCGTCTGACTCCGCTTGGTCGCATATCTGGCAGTTACATGGCTCGGACGAGATGTCGCGCGCGAACACGGCTTCGAGACGATCCAATAAACGACGGGCGACTGACCGGTAGCCCGTCGCGACGGCAAGAGATCCATTCTTACTCATGACCTTTTGATAGTCATCTAGTAAACGGTTATATGGATCGAAGATTTTGCCAGCGATAGCCCGGGACTGAGAATGTCCCTGCGAGAATGGATCCTTCTGCCCGAGGCTAGCCAGAAGTGCTCTCGAGACCTTTGTTTCCAGACCACCATTCTTCAGCAGGTAATCGACTCGAGGGATCGTAGCAGGCATTTCGGGCGGAGGTGGGGGCGGCGGAGGTGCACCAAACGAATGTGGATTCGCTGGTTTGATAAAATCGACCGATTCATCGCTCGTAGCGCGGTGATGAGACATGGCGGATCGGTTCTGGGTTCGGGAGGGAGGCTTTGTAGGCGGGGTCATGGGTTTTCGTGGCACTGAATGCTGCTGGTTGGGGGCAATAGACGTCGCATCGGATCCGTTGGCTGACTCTGCGCCGATATCACGAAGCGTGACGTTCGACTGTGAGGCAGACATCGTCGAGCGACTCGACCGTTTGGGCAGTTTCCTATCATCGGAAACCTTTGTCTTGGACTTGTGGCTCGAAGACCGAGGCGAAGCTTCACTTTCATCCTTTGGTATTCTCGATTTTGTAGGGGCCTCCGTCTCTGTTCGCGACGTCTTGCTGGACTTGGACTTGGTGCTATCATCCCGTTTCGATCGGAGGCTTGACGATGACCTGTTGACTTGGGCTCTGATTTTGATACTTGGTCTTTTTTGTTTCTCTGTCTCCTTGTCATCCTCGTTCACGATACTGCCCTTCCTGGACTCTTGGTCGAGACCGGTTAGGGGTGGGCTAGGAGGCGCATGGTGATTCTCGCGGTGACTCTTCCCGTCGTCATTTGTCAAATCGGTCGGGTCCGGTGTAGGGATATTCGGTTTTCGGACACCTTCCTTGCTGTGAGCTTTCGAGAAAGTAGGATACGGTAGGCTAGATCTCGACTCAAGGAACGAGGCCTCCGATCTATCAAGTCCAGGCATGGAGGACCTTCGGGAAGTTGATGAACGAGCCGTGGTAGAATCCTCTGGGTCCTTGGTTGAGATCTTTCTGTTTGTTTTGTTTGTTTTCGCCTTGGTGGACTTCTTCCTATCGTCGCGGTTTAGTCTAACAGGAAACATGACGAGTAGTTGTAGACCCGTGGGGTCAGTTCGTCGGTTACCTGGCTAGACTGAGGGGAATGTCCTATTTTTGTCTCCAATTATCCTGGCGCTTAATTCAGGTCGTGACTGGTCGGTTAAGGGGAACCAATCCGGCATTCCGCGTCTGGGGAAAAGGGATGAAAGTTAGAAAAAGAAAACCTCATTCAGGTACGACGCATGAGATGGAAGTGGAAAGAAATGTATGTGATTATGCGGTGAACGATCTCGGGCCCCGCTCTTCAACTGACGTTGCTGCATGGAAGCCTGAAATCAGATATATAAAGAGTCATTCTCACCTGACTTTTCTGGGGAACACAGCAACATTCTTCTGCCTGAGGCAATTACATATTTTATCATCTATACAGTAGGTAATTTGAAATTTTGGTATTCAGATCATGTGCATCAACACTTAGAATCAATCCGATCCATGCAATCCATTCACTGCCTTAACAGGGGATGTCTCTAGTACCCAACTCCCCTCTTCTTCACGGGCAACCCCTCCACTCTGCGCAGCTCTCATCGTCTTGTCACTCGCAAGTGTCAAATCACCCGTGTTGTAATCCCAAATCCATCCTTCCTTTAGCCACATCCATGTAAGATAGGCTCGTAGTTCCTTGTCATGTGGCAGAACGCACTTCCATTCAGGCACGAACCCGACCTCTGTCGCATCTGTCCCTTTCCAGTCAGAGGCTTTCCCCCGCAATTCATCGCAACAAAAGATCCTCCAGCTATCAAGGGAATATGCTCCAACTCCGGGCAGATGCGCAATCTCCCATGCGACTCGCAAATCTTCTTCATCAATGCATTCTTCACGGCCGACATTTCGACCGTCCAGGTTTCGTGGGTAGTGGAGCTTGCGATATCTTTTACTTTTGTTCGGTGGATCTGATAGCCATGTTTGTGCTAATGTTGTGCATTTCCTGGCGCGTTGGTTTTGAAAGCCCAAGCAGTTGATCATCGATACGAGTTCCGATAGATCTGCTTCTGCCATCCCCTCAATTGTAGGATATCGTTCGAAAACCTTGAACAAGACCGGCAGAGCAACGCCACCGCGGGTTCGATTGAGAAAAATAGTTGCAATGAGTAAACGAAAGGGATCGTGTGCAAGTTGTTCCTGGATGAGTCCGAAAGAAGGGGCATCGATAGGGGGAAACGGGAGGCAAGACTCAGGATCAACTAGCACACGTGGGAAATAAGGAGAATGCTTCGGGGCTTTGGCTTGAGGGGTTTTAATGTGTTCTGGGTTAACGAAAGAGGTGCCTTTCACAGGAGTTTCAGGTTCGGGGTTTATGGATTGGGACACAAGACAGGGGCTTCTCGGAGGTGAAATCGTGATATGAATATTCGACGGGGGATCACCCAGATCATTCCAAAGGGAATCGGAAGCAAAATCACTGGGCACATCACTCAAGGAAGAATCTGATGACAAGAAGTCCGGTGGCAGATTAAAATCTTTCAACAGCTGTCTTGTTTCGGGGGGAAGGACAACTCAATCAGCGAGGAAGGTGTTTCCCGCTTGCTTTTCCAGCTAACTTTAGGTTTGCCGGCCCCTAAGAAATACTTGGACTGAACCTCATCACTTGGAGTCACACCTGGCAAATCACTGGTATTCAAAAATCCATGTTCCATAGAGATGGATCGGCGGGTAGCGGGAGCTGACCAGAACTTCGTCTGCTTCCACTGGAGCCCTCGAAAGAGGTTTTCCGGGGAATGGAAGGCGGAATTCGGTCTTTTCCATCAATAGAGTCGCCGTGAGCTTGTTTCTCTGCACTATGAACGGCATCGTCTTGACGCTGCTGCTGCTCAACCGAGCTCGTTCGATGTTTGCTCCGCACTCTTTTCCGTTCGCGCTTGCGCCTGTTTCTTTCTGTTTTTGACTTTTTGCCTGACTCACGACGTTTAAATGGCTTAGTATCGACCACCTTTTCAGGCTCTGGGCTCTCAGGAATGACCTCATCATGGGGCGGGGAGTCGGTCAGATCGATGAATGTACTGGGGCTACCTTGAATGATGTTCGTGGACAGTTGAGGTAGATCTGGCGTGTTGTCCTTATGTTTGTGTTCATCCAGCTGAGCATAGTGATTATCCTGGCCTTCAGTAGAAACATCTGCTGGAACATGCGCTTCCAGTACTTCCATCACCTCGGCTAGCTCATCATGCTGCAGAGTATCGTGGCTGTGCCGTCTTAGCTTGTCTGAGTGACGCCTCTTGCTCTTCTTGTGCTGTTTGTCTTCGCTGTGATCCGTGCTGCTCTTACGCCGTTTTCGGTACGTTTCTTCCTCGCCGTCCACTTCATTTCCGAATTCAGAGCCGGCATAGTTGGCTACCGCAATCTCGCGGTCCTCAAGGAATGTATTTCGAACGTGATCAATCAAAGCATTGATAGCTGGGTCGTTCATCCCAGCCTGCATAGCAACCTCGCGCACCTGGCCAGTGAATGTGCGCCTAGCGGAACGTCGAACAGGTTGAACCTGCTCAGTCATGAAAGAGTGTGAGACAATGAACTTCATCACCTCCATCTGCTTTTCTGGGTCCACCGAAGCAAAGATCTTCTCTTCCGCTGTTATTTCATTGTCATGAGTTGGAATTTCAGGAGCTCCCGTCATTTCAGGTAGTGCAGAAGGGGGATCACCCGCATCGTGAATGGGGTAATGTCCAACTTCCACGACTTCCTTCTTGTGTTGAGGTTGTGTGATGTTTTCGAGGCTCATAGGCGGTTCATCATCACCGGTGAGATCATCCATTGTCACGCTCTTCCTTATTCTAGAAGATCTTCTTGACTTCAGGCTCTTTGCCGTGCTGGTTGTAGGTGAGGCGGAGGTCGAGGGAGTAGAAAAGTGCGGCGACTTGGCTTCGGTCCGTTGGCTACGACGAACGCTGAGCCTCGAGGAGTCGGACGTACCGTCGTACCCAAATGGACTCGAGATGCCAATATCGACGTCCATCATCTCGTCCCGGGATTCTTCAATGCTAGCTTCCTCAGACAAGATGTTGTCAACAGCACGGTCAAAGAAGTCTTCGTCGAAGGTCTTGAGGGGGTCGATGTCGAAGGAGGGAAGGGGGACAACAACGGAGATTTTGCTGAGTCGAGCCATTGTATTGCCGATGTCACAGTAGATGGAGGTTGTCTAGGGTAGAAAGTTGGGGAAGTTCGAAGGGTTCGTAGGCATATTGCGGTAGTTGTTTGTTGGATGTGAACTGTTCGGACCGAAAATTATTTGGTTAATGCAAGCTTAAAGACAAACAAAGAGCAAATATAGTTACCTCCAAGTCTCCTGTGCGAGTCAAATGCGTGGTGTTCTCGAAAAGTCGCGAGGAAAGCTTTCGAGCTCCCTTAAACGCGGGGAGGTCAATTCACGTGTAAACTTGAGAAGGTGACGCGATGTCGTGTCAATGAAACCAGCAAATAGAAATTAAGAAAGAGACAAGTTCAGAGCAACTTCTCACGTCAGTGTAGACTCTTTTAAGGGGAAATAAAAGGGACGCGAGTCGAGCTCTCTACACCAAAAAAGGGAATATCGAAAGCACAGACCACCCGATAAAGAAACGCCAATCTACGAGGCGCCGGCGCCTTCCAGAAATCTCCAACAAAGGCGGCAATACGAAACACTTGAACTTAATTGATCTATTTATAGTGATGGTTATATACCTTGACGCGCACGTGAAAATGTATGTACTTTGACATCGCTGCCAACATATCCCATCTTAGACAGCATACCCAGCCGAGTTGAGCTGTCTGGGCTCACCAGCCGCATCGAACGTTCCATTGGGCAAGACCCGAATCAGCTGGGCACTACTCTGTCCTGGAGCAACCCAAGTAACATTGTGACCGCGCGCCTTCATAGAGGCAACCGTTGCGTTGTCGTAAGCGTATTCGAAGCTGACCTGGTTTGGCACGAGCTGATCATGCAGACGGGGTTTGGCCAGCGCTTTGGCAGCGGAGAGTCCCTGATCAATGGAATTGATAATGTTCTGGACAGTGGCGGTGATGATACGGCTGCCTCCTGCGGATCCCGCAATCAAAAATAGCTTGCCGTTGGGTCGCTCGACTATCGCGGGCGTGATGGAGGAAAGAGGGCGTTTTCCAGGCCGAACGTAGTTGGATACGGAGGGGATGTATCCGAATGAGTTTGATGATCCAGGAATGGAGAAGTCTGTGAACAATTAGTTAAGGGCGCCCGGGCTGGCTTTCTCGACATACCGTTCATCTCGTTGTTCATAATGACTCCAGTTTCTGGGACCATGACATGGCTACCAAAGAGCAGGTTGATTGTGGTGATGACCGAGATTGCAAGGCCCGTATGGTCAGCTGCTGCGATGTGGGAAGTTCCAGGACTGATACAGAGTCAGCACGATGTCAGAGAAATGCACCAAGTAGGACTTACGTGTCCAGGCTTTCCAATCCGGCTGGATCATAAGCAGATACGTTCTGAGTGCGCACATCGGAGATCTTGGATCGAATGTTATCAATCGTAGCCTGGTCCAAAATCTCCTTCTGATACTTGGCCATCCCGTCAACAAACAGGGGGTCGCCCAAATTCGATCTCTAAGTTTCGTGTAAGCGATCGTTGACCAGAGTGAATTCAAAGTTAGTCATTCATACCTCGCCATATCCAAATCTCATAGCCTCATCCAACCGATGAGTACTCAAATTCACGGACTTTTCAGTCGAAAAGAAATCTTTGTAGGTCGCGAGAATCTTCAAAATACTCATAGCGATAATACCACTCGAGGGAGCCGACGTACTCGTGATCTTATAGCCACGGTAGTCAATCTGCGCGATATCTCGAATTGCCAATTTGTACTCTTTGAGATCATCGAGCGTCATTGTACCGTTTGCGCTCTGCAGCGCATTAATCATAGTCTCCGCGATAGGGCCCGAGTAGAATGCATCTGGGCCACGCTCTGCAATCGCCTCGAGAGTATCCGCATACCGGTGTCGGGTAATGATATCGCCCAGCCCAAGTCTAGTTCCGTTCGGAGCAAAGTCAATTGCCCACGTAGGGTTCTTAGATAGGAAGTCCTCTCCACTGCCAACGGAAGATAACATGTATTTGACAAGATCTTCTGTGACAGGGAAGCCGTCGCGGGCTGTGCGAATAGCGGGCTGCATAATGGTCGACCATGGAAGAGAGCCGTATTTCTTGTGGAGGTACTCGAGACCTCGCACTTCACCTGGTACTCCACTGGTATAGCTGTTAGCTTGGCTCCGGTCCGCTCGGCGTGTTTGTCTTACCTTGCCAGTCCACCATAGATGGAAGCGGCCTCGTTGTTTTTATACATATCCTCGAATGCCGCAGCTGGGGCCGTCTCTCGGAAATCAATAAATTCATAGTCACCCTTTTCGGATCTCACGAGCATGAAGCCACCTCCGCCGATTCCACTGTGGTACATCCCTAGTTTCCGTTAGCGATGCTCAGATACAAGTATTGACTGAACAAATATAGTCTTACCTACGACACCAATACAGAATTGGGTTGCAATCAACTATATCATTGTGTCAGCACCGCGATTCACCTCGCGCTCGCATGGATAGGTATACTAACAGCGTCAGCAGCGTTTCCGCCCTTCTTCAGAATATCAGATCCATGGCGGGAGCAGATTGAGCTTTCGCTAGCAACAGCGCCCAGTTTTCCATGGCCAATTTTACCATGCGACCCATGGCCCCCATTCGGGTCCCGCTCGGAAAATTCCAAGGGAGAAGTGTTTGCACTGGGCAGATGAATTGCGATCAACAGCAGCGACAAAACTGTCAGCACTCCGAGTCTCATCGGTTTTAACATGTTGGCAAGAGTTTGCCTCCAATTTCTCTGGATGGAATGTTGCGCAAGAGTCGGGGCGGGAGAAGAAGAGGCTGGCGAGGCCAAGTCAAGCTATGGCGCCATCGGGTATTAGTATTTTCAACCATGGGAAATTAGTCGTGGAGAGGGGAAAAGATAGCTGTACCTGTTTCTCCACATCTTTGCTGATCTGACAGGGTTGTTGCATGTCACAATTGGAGGCGTCCAACTTCGCTCCGGACGCTTTTGTATAGGATCAGCGGGCACCAGACGCAAATAAAACATCGAGAGATGTGGATCAAAGGGAAATTAAGGAGCGAACATTTTGAGAGTCATCTAAGAAACTTAAAAATAATGTATAGCGGTGTGGTTGTAGGATATCCCGATGTCTCAACCCCGCTGATAAGCGTTGTTTGGGGGATTGGGGTCAGCGCCATACCCGAGGTCACGATGTAACCTCCTATCTCTTTGGGTTGGTTAGTTGATCCTTTCTGAATATTTGAATCTCTATGTTGTATAAGAACCTAGTACTTCACGCCCTGAATTCTTAACGTGGTGTTCCTGTGGCTAGTCCTCCCTTGCAGCGGCTCGTCTTATCCAGGAAATAGTATCCTCCCACTCCGGCGGAATTTCATCCAGTGGTTCCAGTGTGGCCAATACGAGCCGACGACCCCAGTCACGCACGTACCATCGGTGACACAGAAGACGCATAGCTATGCCAAAATGCAGAAGCAGAACTCGGGCAAGCCAGTCTCCCCGTTGGAGCAGCGAGGAAAACTTGTCAGAGAGGTATAAGGGCCATGCAAGGGGACCGCCATGTGGGCCAATCTTCGGCCACGGCTCAATGGCCTGATGCAGCCGCTGCCATGTGGCTTGGTAAATCGGTCGATCCTCTTCTTTTGTTATGTCAATCCTCGATCGAAGTCGATCCAGTGACTTGACTATATCTCTGCGAGCTTGTTAGCTTCACAAAGACCTACACAGTCCCCCCATGGCTCACTGGAACATACTTGTGTAGGCTGAATAATACCTGTGTGTTTTCGACCGGGTTGCCATTACTGTTTCGTGTTATTATCTAGATGATCGCCAATGAGCCAGAGAGAAGAGGTGCCGTACTGATCATGTTCCCCACTCTCGAGGCTTTCTTGTGTATCAGGAGCGCACAGCCAGCCATCCAGCTGCGCTTCAACGCCGCCTTCAAGTATCCGGGACAGAAGCATGGCCGGGCCAGACATCAATGCGCGAGCCTCGAGAATCACCGAAATCGGGTCTAGTGGTCGACTTTCGACAGATAATACTCGGGATCCCATGGCGAAAAGCATTATGATGACGGACGAGACAAATGCTGGTTCATAATCTGGTGGTGAGATTTCTGGAAGAACCATGCTCAGTCCAGCGCATGCCTGGCTCTGATATCGTACGGCATGGTTTAGCCATGAAGCCCGATTATCAGGTTCAACCGAGGCCAAGTGTAAAGCTGCAAATGCGTGAATGCTATCAAGCAAATAAGGACAAGATGCGGCCATGCGAGGAATAGTCATGGAGAGATGGTGTGCTGAAAGTCCATCCTGTGACAGGGTGTGGTATGTTGAAGTCATATACTGGTGAAATAATCTCGTCTCAAGCAAACGTGTTGCCTGTGGGAAATCCTGTGATGGAGTCACAGTACCACTCTCTGTCTCGTCCTGAGCGCTGGATGACGCCATAGGGCTGTCCTCGTCTGCATTTGGAGGAGGATATTTGCATTCCAATTTTCGCTTCCTGCACAGAGTACATTTTGGAATTCCCTCGTCACACTGCGGGTTGCGTCAGAATATGAGTCTCAGTGTGTGGGTCACTACCATGCATCAAGTCCACCAGAGCCACATTCAGCAGCCCGAGTTCAGAAAAGCAAACTTGTTGGCACTGACCTTGACATGTCTCCTTTTACACTCCAAGCACCCCTTCCTGGACTTCGTGTGGCTGCGACGCGATGGCATTGATGGGTGCCATTCAGGGACTAGGATGATAGCAAAGAAACAAAATTGAAAATCACAATAAGCCTCAGAATTCATATATCTCGGACAAATTTGATCCGCACCCCCGACCTCGGTACTTTCTGGGGGATCTGCACATGACACTGCGTGATTGGCAGAGGCCCTGGAGGCGCACCGGCCCGGGGCCCCGGGGCCTGTATTGTGGCTTATATAATCATCTCGATTGGGTGAAAACTTGGAAGTAATCCTTAGATAGAGACCGTCTCGATAGACCCTTGATTTTAACGGGATACGGACTATGAAATATACACAATGATATATATGTGTTTAAGCTATATTGGGTTAAGCAGTTTGGAAATGAAACTTGATCGACAATCCATGTTGGGAGTTTTCTATTAGACGCTATTTTATACGCAACAAAGAAACGATGCTGTAAGAAGGGCTTCTTCTACTTGTAATGGAAAATTCAGGTATGTAATATTTCATCCGTAGTCTCTACAATATGTACAAGAATTGTTCGGCATTTTCGCTGTTCTGCCTTAACTCTCAAATCAACGATGGAGCGTCCGAGGGAAAATCAAAAGGGCTAACTAAGTGAGGAGAGGCATTGATGATATAGCATTAGGCTATACTACGGCGTTTTCTGACTGCCAGTGCGCCATACCAGATTTTGGCAGCAGTATACATGACATGAGCACTTATACACTAATGTCACCCCAATTCTCTATCCTATTTATACATATCAATTTTATCTGTATATCTTATGCTCTACCATCTACCTAAGAAACTGGGAAAGGAAAGAAATTATCTGATAGAAGGATACCTAAAAAGACTACTAAAAAAGACTATATAAGGCTGCATAAGGCTGCATAAGCGGCCGACTATTCTTGTCTCTATAGGTCGTATAACCTACAAATATATACATATATTACATTTTTAGGATGCTTCTCTGAAGAAGCAGGTATTAAATCATCCTATACCACTACGTATACTTTCTTTGCCTCCATTTCCCGATTCCACATTCATGCTAAGTATTCCCTTAGATACCATCCGAGGATCTTACAATTAGCTTCCAGCAATCTGAGATAATTGAGTTGGACCCATTTTTGCCAAGGTCTGTTGCTACAAATAATAATGGATATAACCCATTGACTGGAGAAAGTAAAGGAGTGATTCTTGCCAAAACAATCTAGATTTCGCTGGTAGGAGTTGCGGTGAGATCGTTTAAAGTCAGCTAGCGTTAAACAAAATTGTAGAAGCCGGCGAGATCATCGCAACTGAACAAAGGAAACGGAACATTAAAGCCGAGGAACGGATGCATATTCACCCCCGAGACCTGGCCCCCGACTTGGCGTAATACCAAAAGCATGGACAATCTTCTGACCCTGTTTGACTTCCTCCCTATGCGCACCCCTGAAGACCTGTCGACTGCCTACTTTAAAAAAATAGTGATCGGCGATATCCTTGCTGAGGATGTCCAACAGCAGGAAGTGAATATGTGGAGCAAAACGTTCCCTCAAGTCCAATCCGGGGGCTACTGGACTTTTACCTGACAAGTAATAAAGCTTGCGTCGCCCCCTCGCTCACATGGACGCCTCTTTCATCCTCTGAACTTTGCGTAGGGTCATAGATAAGCACTAACAAAGTAATTTTCTTTTTTTATTTCTAACTGGAAATGCAAGTATTTCGTAAACGTGAAGGTCATGCCATATGTTCAATTATTATTGTCAATTCCGAAATTTATTGGTTTGCTATGTCAATTGTTCAAGAAGTACAACATAAAACTGAGACATACCGGATCTGTAACCATCACCTTACGGGAAAGTGATCGGCAAGAGAGATCAAAACCCATAATTATGGTCGACTTATCTTCACACTCTCCGGCACGAACTCCCATGAGTTCTCGCTGCTGGTATTGAGCACTGATCGATCACATTTCTACTATCTCTGTTCTCTTGGCATTGCCAATCAGAGTAAATATCTACCTAGGTAGTAAAGTCCATAAAATAGAGTTCGCAGATAAGCAGGATATTAAAACGGCGCCGTACTTTATGATTAAAGTAATTTCATGCTTTTTAAATGCGTGGATAGCTTGGAAGACCTTGGTCTCTTGCTTTATTGAGTTAACAGAGCATCGGGAGCGAATTGGTGGCATGCTGGGTGGTTTAATTAACAAGTGCTAGTTCATAGCAGCGTTTTGGGATGGTCTACTCGGTCAGATTATCTGCTTGTTTGGTTACGATACGTTAGATCCTGGTCTAACTAGGTTGCCCCCACCCTCCTCTATACGTAGTGAGTCTTTCCAAGGTGCAGCCCTATCGAAGAATGTATCTATTTGATTTATTGATGCAGGATTTTCTGGGGTTCCCAAATTGCTTAGTAGACGTTTTACGATCTGCAACAAGGTGTGCGATGTGTTCTTCAATTCAAAGGTAAAGACCAGGAAAGAATCTTAAGACTTCCCGAGGCTATAGGGGATACCATAACTCGACATGGGAACCGTTAGCCCAACCCTTTGTAATTAGTGATCTGGTTCGCAACATTGTTCCTTGAACCGTAGTCAGAATCAACATATTCAGTAAGCCAGCTGCACATGCATGTAAGCCAGCTCCGCACCAGAACACATGATCCAAGCGATGCACTCGTCACTTATATTTCAACAACCACAGTTTTTAACCCAATTTCATTTGTCGCCGATAGTAATCGATAAGTATTTTCAGTGCTGTATATCAATTTCGAATAAATCAAAGATCTACAAGTGGGGAGAGATGCCTCGGGCCGGCGGATAGGCAGACGATCTAGTTCGTCGTCATGTGCCAAGGCTAGTGGTACTTTTTTCTCCCCTTGCCTTGTTTCCTTTCTCCGTTACAATTGACACAGTCGTCCTTTGCAGCAGCACGAATACGGGATGTAAGGGTGAAAAACTCAAAAGACGAACCGTATATGTGAGATTATACGAACAAGGTTAAAGGATGGTGATCACCAAAATATGACACTATTTGTTGTGCGTCAAGAAAGACCCGCATGGTTTAGCAGGCCAATAGGAAGAATCCCATACCTGACAGGGTCGATAGAATGGTAGATCAACGAAAGATCCTTGTTGCAGGGCCCAGCCAGTGTATTCCCTGATTTTAACGTACTTACTACTCAAGGTGACCTCGGGGCCAACTTCAGCTATAAATGAGTTCCATTGAATCCGCAGTGTGTGGTTTTTTAGGCAATCCTCCATAACCACTATGGATCCCGACACCAATGACTCAATGGCTTATCACACCCCTATAACCATAGATGGTAAATTGGGCCGTCCTCACTTTGCGCACATATCTGTCGATGTAGAGGGCAGTCTTCACTTGCAGTGCTCTCAGTCGATTGCCAACACCTTCCAAGGTCCCCTTTCTATAGGGCTGGCGGATACCTTTTTGAAAGCAGTCGCGATGTCAGAAGAAGTTTGTTCACCAATAACCCAAGGTGAGTTTCATATCAAGTGCACGGAGATTCCGATTAAATGACTAACTTTAGCTCGGCGTGCCAGCAGCAGCTCACCAAACTACGCTAGCAATTAGAAATACTTTGCCCTCACCACGAATAACCCACACTTCCCACAGGACGGGATTAGATGGCAAAGGGCAGACACGAAATTCCCCACCACCTAGTTTATCTCCGCCAACAGTAGGGCCAGCTCACACAGAGCCTTCGCGTCGTTGGGACACACCGATCTTGGAACGCACAAAAAGAAATGTATGGAGCAACGACAACAGAATGTGGAGGCCAGAAGTCGCAATATCTGTTATAGACCGCAATTTTCTACGAAAGTACTACGCGAAGGCATTTGAAAACCTGCAGCAGACGAATTGCCGGGCCCTCGCGAAAGCCTATGTTAAGCTGGTGGAGCCTCGAAAGCAGGTATTCTTTCCATACAACGGGCGGGCCGTTGTCGCAGGGGTCATTCGGCAGCTTGACCCGGAGGCGACCAAGCCGCCGTGGTGGCCTCCTGGAGTGAGACACCGAGAGCCCGACCATCTTCTCAAACACGGTGAGAAATGTACACAATTTGGTACCGGTCAAATGACTAACCGTCAACAGAGCGCATCAGGCTTCTAGTTCATATTTTGTGTGAACTGCATACTAGCCATGGTATCACCACCAAAAAGCTGCGGGAGGCCGACCAGCCAATTCGCCGGTATATAGTCCCAGCAGAGCGAGTATGCATCTTCGATGAAGTCTATCGGGTTCGACAAGAAGAGGTAGAATTGTTGGAGGGGAAGAGCGGTATGTTATTATGAGTGCCTTGTTCCGTTAGCTGCCCGTAATCTTACTATTTTTTGCAGATGGACTACGTCAGGTGTGGATTTGTCGCATGAACCTACCTGAAGCAGCGAGAATCATATCCAACCGCAATCAACGTAGCGGAGACGGAACACCTTTTGATGCCCCATCTAAAACTATCTCGAGCAACCTATCTGCATGTGTCAAATCACCCCCTACCAACCATGCTCCACCAGCACTATTTGCACCAGTGGCAAATTTCCCAGCCCACTTACCTCTAGACTATCCCTGTGACGTGCAGGGTCAATTTCCTAGGAAATACTCAAGCCCGGATCCCAAGACCACACGTGGTTTTGACATGACTATGCCGGTATCAATGCCGCCGCATGTTTTGAAGAGGAAACGCGAAGGCGAGGGGATAGCTGAAGTTGATGCGACAAGGCCTACAATATTCATACCCGATCTCTCTTCCTCGGTAATTCCTAATCTCCAGCCCTGTCCACTAGAATATCACAGCGGACCTTACAGCTCTCTACAGCAAAATTTCGTCTCGCATGGGCTCTCTACAGCAGAAGAATTAGGGCAACCGAATGAGGGTCGTGATATCTCTTACCAGTTTGGATATAACTAGCAGCCTTTCGCTGGTCCAACTGATTTCCGGGATGGCGTGGAAAGATGTTGTGTGTACTCTGGTGGCAAGCCTACAATAATCTCTTAATCAGATTTGTATTTATTTGCATATCGGTTTCCGATTAGTTGGCGTAAACGAAGATGGCTTTCGACCGAGCAGATTGGGACCGGATTGATAACGAGGTGGGCCTAAGGCTCATGGAAAAAGGCGATGGTAAAGAGTACAAGTGAGGAGCAAACAATATGACGACCCTAAGCAATCTAGGAATGAATGTCTGGTGGTCTGTCTGCCATAGAGAAGAGACATTTAGGAAAGCATGCCTAGTGAAGTTAAGTTTCTCTTTCCTTTAATCTGTAATTGTTCCCTCTATAGTTAGTCCTTTAATCCGGTAGTTCAAGGTTAGAAGATTTCACGATGTTATTAGACGAAAAGTGACAAATAAACCCTATTCTAAGTTTTATTCTCTATGTTATTACATTGTGATTTTGGGTATTATAGCTCTCTATTTACTCCGCATAGCGACTTAGTAGTTAAGATATAGTTATTAACTACGGGGAAATCTGCTATAGCGCACTGGCGTTTGGAGACTGCCGTAATGAGGTTGGCTTACGGTTACTCGGCATTGACATCTAAACAGCGCTAAGGGGTATGTCGACCTATTAAACTTAATCTGAGCTCACTGGCTGTAAGATCAGTCCAGTCTGTAGAAATCGAAATTCGGGTACTAGGTAGATAATCTTGTAAAGACGCAAGACCTTAATCATAATCAGCTCTGGCTGTATCTTAGTAAAGCTGAGCTTCCTCTACATTTGTTTTGACAATTCATCTCAACGATTATTAAAGAGCAATTTAAAACCGTCTCCCCACTTACTTCACAATACTGCATAGTTGTATCAATTTATCTAGCTCCTCTTGTATCTATCTCATAAGCTAACAGCATTCCTTTTGGATTTTACTCATTTAATTTAACAGTCCGACTCCCCGCATATCATACTGTTGACAATATCTTCTCTCATCTCCAACGGCTCGATACGATAAATTAGTCAATCCAAGGCGGATCAAAATGCAGATATATTCTTCATCTCTATCGCTCTCTTTCTTTTGCATTGTATCATCCTTAGTGCACATTTGACCTACTCTACTACCCCCATAACGCGCCGACGGAGAGTAATCAATAGGATAAAAATTCCTTTGGGGGCCGTTATGGCTAGCATTTGGAGGTGGATATAGTGAGTGCTTAGTATTGTTTCTTTCTTTTCGACTATCTACTATCATTTATAAACGCACTACTAACCCCTCCGACATTTTCACAGGTATTACACCTGGTATATTGCGATGGGCATCACCGGTCACTTGGAAGGCCCACTCTGTACGCTGGATTGGTTTATTAACTTCTCTCCAATCCTCTCTAGGATGTCGCAATATATCTTTTATTTTGCACGTTCTACTAATCTATCAATATCGCCCTAGAAATAACCGCCGATAGAGGAAAGCGGCGAGTTAAAACCACCCTAATCCACTAGTTCGTGTTTACTATCATTGTGATGATGGCTATTGTCCACTCTGCGTTATAGGTCGCCTATTGTTTTACATATTTTTAGATTGGATTCGCCTTCCAGGTAGTCACTATTTTAGAGGCCAATGAGAATTAAGAACAGGGTAGCATAGATCCATAAGCAGATGCCAGGGGCAATATCAGGGCAATATAACCTCGTGTTGTTGCGGGGATGCGATAAATGATATCGCGTACTCTCTATGTAAGTGGCTTAGAGCTCATCGGATAAGTTGCCTGTTTGGAAAAGGGTTTAAAGAATTTTTGAGTTAATTTGAAGTAAATTGCATTTGGGCCAAGAAAAAAGGTGTGTTTTTGGCCCCATGAACAGCGATCTACATAACGTCGGTTCGACAAGACCAATCAATGATCCAACTCGATAACTACTTGACCCACTAAAAAACATTGATATTCTGCAGCCAAGAAGTGGCGAAGTCATTCGGGGTACAATATGTAAAGCCAGTAAAATCAATGCCTAGCCAGAGTCAACAATATCGTGCATCTTAGATTTCTCTTCTCAACTTTTTCTCGAGTCACATCATGGCCAACCAGGAAAATGATGCCCCACCCAACTATGAGGAGGCAGTGATGACACTACCTCGCTATGGTTCACTCCCATCAACAATGAACGTACATGGCCAGTGGACAAAATGGAAATCTTTAAATCTCTGTGGTACGACTGCCAAAGACCGTCTCTGTCTGATTGAGATGAAAACTGGCTATAGCGGCAAAGCTCCACTCGGGATGAGAACGGGATTCCTCCTGCGCAATGGGATGAGCAGCAAAGATCCACTTCTTGCTGCCGCCGGCGATGAGTCGCAGGGCCTCCATGCATTCAATCCCGACGGCATCGTGTTCTTGCCCCCACTTGATCCAGACTCGAAGTCCGACCGCATGGATACAGAGGTCATGCGCGCCGAACCTGGTGCAAACAAGGATATCGCCTTCCACTTTTCCATCGAAGTAGGAGAGAAGCAGCGACGGGAGGAGTTTGCATGGAGGAAGGTCAAGAAGGGTGACGATGGAGCTAAGAGAAATGGTTTCAAGTTGGTTCGGCTGTCGTCTGGTCAACAAATATGTCAGCCGAGTGGCAGCAGTGGCGGCCAAAAATTGTCGATGTCCTCGTCTCCACTACCAGGCAAGGATGGTGAGACTGTCGCCTTTCTTGGGTGGGTCATGGCCTTTCCCAGTATGACACATGCATTCACACTCGAGGTAGTGGACGGCCAGTCGAGCGCATTGGGAGGCCGCTGGACTCTCATGGCTATAGTCACTGCAATCAGGTTATATACACTTCATGTAAAGGGGAAAACGAGCAAGTTTGTCGTTGATATGGGAAAGAAAGATTCGGGGAAATAATTCAAATGTTATATGTAACTGTACGCACAGAATATATATCACCCTTGAGCTTCTATTTAAGATCAACACCACGATGTCTGTTTGTATCGAAGAGCTTGGAAGAATTAGGCGCAATATGTAAGACTATACCAACAAACCAGCGGGGGTTAAATCTATCCAGTGTACTAAGGGTCAGGGTAAGAAAATATCCAGAAAGAATACTATGTGCTAGAACCCATTCATCTACCTAGTTAGCCCTGAGCGATCAATCTTACACCTTGTTATTTGGATGTATATCCATACGCCGTTCTATTCGCAGTTCATTTAAATATTCCCGTATCTCTTTCTACTCTTGTTTATGAGTTTTATGAGTACGAATAGAAAGGGGAAGTGAGTCGGTTATTCATAGATGACTTGGGTCTATTTACTTATATGGAGTTTGATATGGATGAAATCTGTGATAACTGAATTGAGAGTGTGTCAAGTAAACGAATGATTTCACAAAGTGATTATATATAACAATTGTAAAATTTGCTCAGCTTTCAAGACTACCATCTCATCCAGTAAAATTATATACAATATAACAACTTAACATGAAGCCAAGATGCTTAACCTCCTTGTCAAACAGCCATACCGTCAACAGAAAGTGGTTCAAACATTTACAGGTTCTTCATCTTCTCGAAAATGGCCTGCATCTGGCCGTACTGATCGGCGTTCAGGTTGTTGTACAGAAGGCACGCAGAGCCACAAGGAGTAGGCACGGGACCACCGGCAGCATCGCCGTCGAAAACGTTTGAAAGAACCATGCAGGTAGAAGGAAGGCCGTCAATTTGGACGCCTAAGAAGGATTAGCTTAATTCAAGTTGAATGTTGTTGTTATCTACTCACCATTGTTCTCAACGGGACCGGTAACGGTGACAGTCACAGCTGGGTCGGTCAAGCTGTCGGCACACATATCGAAGTTGTACTGAGGCACGCCAGCGGGGGCGTTAATCTGGGTGTCACGACCCTGCAGATCTCTGGCTTTGGCAAAGTGGGCGCCGACAATGGCACCGCCGAAGCTAGCAGCAGCTGAGCCGACCTGGGCGACGGTCATGGCGATAGCATCGCCGATGAGAGGAATGGCAATGAAGGGGCACTGGACTTGCTGGCCAAGCATGTATACGGCTGCGCCGGCACCGACGGCCTTGAGGGAGATGGGAGAGATCATATTGAATGGAGGATGTTTAGACTTTTGTTTGGAAATCCGTTGAGAGGGTTTGTTGTGATGAGGAGAAGAAGAACGAGACAGACAGGGAGGCAGATGGGTGTTTTATACCCGTTCAAAGCGATCCATGACAGGAGATGTGCTTGTGATATTCCGCATAACCTTCCACGATGAGGAAATGCTCATAACCCTACTATAGTCTAAAGCAGATAGCGTGAAAGTTAGTGTCCATGAATAAATGTCAGCTGACGTATGATCTGGACAACGTCGTGGCTGTGGCTTGAAGCCGGTGTTCGATAGAAGCCAAACAATGACCCCGATGATATTGCATTGGGGGGCTTACTTGAAGATCTAGACGGGAAGTTGGGGCCGTTTCTCGCTCGCATGTTCTCGGCGTGGGTCTACACCATGCCCGATGTAACTCAATTGATTTCTCAAGCCAGAGTTGCTGCATGATCCAACACAGTCCTCCTTCGGGATGCTTTAGCGTGCATAGAACTATTGCGAAGGGGGCCAAATATGCATAGATTAAGAGACCCACACCCTCACCCAACCAAAGCGGGTCAGAAGGGGGCTCTTCGCAGAAGAGCAACTCACGAAGCTGGAAGACGAGCAATTGACCCATAGTAATACTATGCTGATAGAGAACAACAGGATTGACCGTAGGTTTAGCCCCCAAAATAGCAGCACAGGCCCCGGGAACTTCGACAATTCATTGTCCCATAAGCTTCATGAAAGATAGGGACCATTAGCAATTGATCGATTGATAAAAGATTAGATAGATTTATGGTTGCTATCTCAATTATATAAAATGGCAATAATCAATGTGCGGTCTAAGTATACAGATAGGCGGATTGGAACATAACTTGTTTGACATTGCTGTTGCCATTGAGGAAGATGAACAGACAATCTTTCCTAGTTCAGATTGCGGAATATGGAATTTTCCAATTATAGTGGGGAATTTATAGTCCGCAGCATCTTGAGGATGGTTTCGGAGTTTTACGCAACTGTTGAGAGAACGGAGCTATTATTATTATCATTTTGGTGTTGATATCTACCAATTCACATCTGTTCTCTGCTGCCAAAATAAGCACATTGCAGGGATGGATCTCCAGTCGCTTTCGCCGTTGTTCTACTACATGGTAGCAAGCGTGCTCACTATTACCGGTCTCAAGAGACGTCGGAAAATTCGTCTTCTGTTACTAGGACCAGTCTGGCTATTTTCTCTGTTGGCATTGGCCTCATCCCATAGGCTGTCCTGGATGATTGGTGCTGATAGCACTTTTGCAAGCGTGCTGGTCTTCTACCTGCTTTACTCGACAAAGTTGCTCGCTTTTGATCAGCTTGCTGTCAATCCAGAACTTAGCAAACATGACTGGAGCTTTGTCGACTGTTACAGAACATGGAACAATCCGCGAGAACTACCATTACGGATATCGCCCCTCGAAAAAGTGGAGCCAAGTGATTCTATTTCTCGAGTTCTATTCTTCTTCAACCAGTCAATGAAGGCAGCAGCTTTGTGGGCATTCGAGCACTTTGCTTTCCAGAAAGTCTTCATCTATTCGCTTGGGCAAGTGGTTGTAGCTGACTTCTCGCCCGAAATGGAAGTAGCTTTCCAGCTCTCGTCTCATCAAATCCAAGTTCGCGCAATCATGTCAGTCCAATGGATCTGGCGCGCCTATTTCTTTCTGGAATTCTACCATTGTCTTTTGGCCATCGCCTTCGTGGCCATCCTGCGATTCGATTGTCCTAAAGATTGGCCACCTCTCTTCGGGAGCCCAATGGAAGCATACAGCGTGCGAGGCTTTTGGGGTCGGTTCTGGCACAAGTTGACGATACCTACGTACATCTACTATTCAAAACTTGTTTCTCGGCAATTGATGCGTATACAGCCGGGTTCAAGTCTGGAAAAGACAATAATCCCGCTTTTCATATTCACGCTGTCTGGTTTCTCACACGCATTGGTTGGATGGTCATTGGGAGACGCGGCACTATCCCGAGACATCCTATTCTTTGAGATGTGTTTCCTTGCTGCCGCGGCGGAGACTGCGATATCTAAGATGAAAGTCACGAGTATCTTGAGGGGGGTCTTCTCACCGCTGTCGCGAACGATTGCGGGCATGGCATGGGTTTTTGTGTTCTTTTTCTGCATATCTCCATTGTGGATCTATCCTAAGGTCTACCACGTTTTATTAAATCCAATACGATGAATCCAGTGATGAGGCTGCACTGGCATATACGTTCACTCGCATGTCATTCCTTCAATCAAGTGGTCAAGCCAATACCCCGACCTAAAACGGCAGCGAACTCCCGAAGCCATGAAAAATCTTGTAGGACGATCACAAACCATCCCATGAAGGGTATATAGCCTCTGACGAACCCGAGAATCTGGCTGCGGGACAAGTAATCCTGGCCCTCGGGATATAGTAACGTATCGTCAATGAGGTTGTTGTCTCCCTTTGTCAAGATGAGCTGGCTATAGGCAAAATCAGTATCCTGCAAGAAGACATCGGCTGGTATAGTGCTTACGTCAAATCCGGATTGCTTTGCTCTTCGTATAACACCTGAAGCACCCTATGAATCATTGGGAACGCGCGATCAGGTAACCAGCATACTGGCAAGTCGCCTATATCAACATTCCGCTGGTGATTGGAGATGAATAAGATGTCTCCGGGGGCGAACGCGGGAAACATAGACTCGGTAGTTACTATCATCACCGGGTAAGGTGTACCCGCCCACAGTGAAAGGGCCTTCCAAGCCATAAAACAGGTAGCAATGACCTGCGCTACGGCGAGAATATCGTTCAAAGCAGACCGCATGACTGTGTGTATTTTAACGCGCACATCAAGGAAAATGTTGGCTGAAGCTGCAATAGCGCTGGGACTGCAAATTTACAATTTGTCATCACTATCTATTAGGTAAATGGTATGACTAGACTTCGGGACTGCCCGAAATTTTAATTTCTACGGAGTAGAATATCTTGAATGATAATTCCAATTCTCCGGGGGTTGGGGGTTTTGCAAAGGATCGGGTATCGTGGGGGCGTCGAAGCCCACAGCCACACCCGAACAGCTCCACTAAAAGCCGAGATTGATTGAAATATCGGCTTGGCGTAACTGCAGATCTCGGGGCTCCGTTTATATTAAATTCCCAACTTCTCCTTTGCCTAAATTTGGCTTTTCGCGGCTTTATCCGCCGCCCCCAAACTTGGCGTATCCATCTCGTGTGATCGTCGCAGGGAGTTCTCATATGAGGAAGGAGAAAATGCCTCATACAATTGCGGTCTGTTATATCAGTGGACGGTTAAGGCAGGTGACCCTGGCACCACGTGACGAAAAGCCCCTGAAATGGCTGATTATGTAACTAATACTGTTGGCGGGCCCGGGCCCGGGCGCCACCCGTGGACCTTGGCAGGCACATGGGCAACCCAAGTAATGTCCCGGGTCCCGATCTCGGGCGGTCTATCCCCGGTACACTCTACGACGGCCTACAACGAGTTCACAACCCGTACTGTCTACTACTGTCTATTTTTTTTGGTTGGTTATACTTGCACATTCGTCGTTGGATAATCACATACTGGATTGCTAGGAATATTGAGAGATCCGGACCGAACTCAATAAGACAATGGATTCAGACTCGGAATCGTACGAGAAAACAGGAGGAAACCCCCCAAAAGACATCCTTGAGCCCGCCGTACTCCTTTTGTCAGGTCAAACTGTCATCGCTGAGGCTGCGACTTCAGCCCCACTTTACCAAATAAACAGTGACATCCGATCAATCTCGAACAAGGACTCGTCCGTGGCGTTCGAAAGAGTCGAGAACGATGTATCAGAGATCGAGGAGAGCGTCACTTCTGGAACACTGCGAAAGCGACATCTGTTCTATCTTGCACATCCTGCGAATGCGCGATACCGAACCGACATACCTGCTAGGTACTACATCACTTCTGCGGTATCCGAGATGGTAGGCAATATTCGCCTCGAGATTTCCGAGGCCCGGTTGCAAAAGACGTCTTTCAAGGCGATGTTAAGCGCGAAAAAAACCGCCTCAGATAACCCATTATTCCATGAGGGCACAAAACAACTCCGGTTGTTTGATATCCAACCAAATTGGAAAGTAGGTCGCAATTGCTATAAGTGGAGCGATTCCAATGGCAGGCAGGTGGCTATTGAAGAAAAGGAGGATGACAGATATAAATTATCCGTCACGACAAGTATGTCGCAGGAGTTGAGGGATGCATTGGTCGCTACGTGGCTGCTGAGGCTGTGGCACGACACGGCCGAGAGTAAACAAGCTAAAAGAGAATGTGAGTTGGCTTCAGCGCTGTTGGTATCAAATCTTTGTCGCAGTTACTATGGTCTTGCCTTTTAGCTTTTGGCTTTTGGCTAACTTCTCTTTCCAGTCTTTGAAAGCATGGCTTCGCCAGAAGCGTATAAGGAAAGCATGGATCCATATATGCCAAGGCAGTGCATTATGATGTGAGATAGTCAGATACTCACCATTTATCCTAAGCCTTAGGCCACTCGGGGCCAATATCACGCTTTGTGCCTCTACAATCAGGTCGCTATGGTAGACATCTTCGTCCTCGGGCGATGTATCATCGCGATGTCATCTGTGTTGAGTAGTATAGTGTTGGTCACCTAGCAGACGTTGGCCTCGCTTGGAGGACTGCGTTTTCAAGCCCGATCGGTCATTTCTAGTGTTCCAACAATAACAAGTTGGTTAGCCATAAGCCTCCTTTGCTTCTCGTTTTGAGCTTTTACACTCAGAATCAGATGGAGTGGAACTTCCGACACATGTCTGCTGGGGCCTCAATTCCCAGCTACCGTAATGCACTCTAGTTATAGCAGACGGGATGAAGTATTGATGCCGCACGTGGCGGGTATACCTCTCCTAGCCATACGGTTACACCAATATCCGTCCGTTCCACTCAGAAGAAAGCTCACCCTTCGGAAGCTCGGGAGCTAAAATTGACGTCCTTGAAAAGCGCAGCCAATTGTCAATAATGCACAGTTTTCCTAGTGTTTTAAAGCCCATGACATCAGTACATGCTCTCAAATAATATGTCTTCAATGTCTCTCACGTCTATTAAACACATGGCACCAGCGCAGGCCCTCGAATCACGTTATATTCAACGTCTGCAACGTCTATAAGTCCGAAATATAATGCGCAGAAGGAAAATTGTACGCAATAACCCAATAATATCCGAATTGAGCACCGTCACGATCAGAAAGTCACCTGGAATCTTGGACTCGTCCGTATACGTTCACCATATATCCAAAAGACAACTGGCAATGCGCAAAAGGCCAGCGCAATGAAGCCAAGCAGCGAGTTGCCCCAACCAAGCCCAAGAACATCATACATCTTCGGGCCGGCAAGCGGGAGCATGGCACCGGCCAGTGAACGGAACACCGTGTTGGCCGCCATAACTGAAGCGGCGTAATCCGTGAAGGCATCTACCAAATATGTGCTCACACACATCTAAACAGCAAATTCAAGTGTCAGTCAGCCAATTCAGACAGAAACAAGTTCACGAATAGGAGGAACGTCACTTACGAAGGTAATCATCATACCAACACCAAGAAATGAGGTTCCAATGATAGGAACAATCCAGTGAGTTTTGTAATAAGCAGTCCATCCATACATGAACAGCGAGATGGGAACGAAAACAGCTCCAGGGATCATAGGCGGAAGACGATACTCAGGCTTCATCTCGCCATTTTTGACAGATAGGTAGTTGAGTAGTCTATCGGACGTTACTCCTAGCATGAGCAGACCGATCAAAGAACCAATTCCCAGACCGAGATAGGTGAGTCCGACAGACCCCTGTGAGAAATTGTACTGCTCTTGAAATACAGCGGTGATGGTTGTAAATAACAGATATAGGTATCCGTAAATCACGCCGACGTAAAGCGAAAGGAGGAAGACGATCGGGGAGCGGAAGAGCATCTTCGTCGGTCGGATGATAGAATATAGGAATAGTTCTTTTGGTGTACGGCCTGTGTCGAGTGCGGAACGCAGGTTCATATTTCCGGTTTCTTTTTGGAGCTTCTTGGTCTTCCGAGCCAGGATAGTTGGGGCGTAGGATTCACGAATGGTGAAAAGTGAGCTGATGGTGATAGCACCGGCCTACCCGGATCTATTAGTATGTGTTCTGCACTGGTTGTCACAGTGTCTACTTACGGCCATAGCTAGCACGTAGAAACTCCATCGCCAACCCTCTGCCTGTGCCAGATACGCCCCAGCTAAGAAAAGTTAGAAATCGAGCCATCAATGAAAGAACACATGGCGTAGGGGAGCATACCAACCGGGCCAACAACAGGCCCAATCAAAGGACCAAGAGCCCAAGCTGCCATCGCACCACCTCTTTTCTCTTGCACAAACATATCCGCAATCGACCCGGCGCCGATAGTGAGCGGACAGCTACCAGCAAAGCCAGCGAGGAATCGGAAGACAACAAGACTGCCTATCTCCGGCGCGAAACCGCAGGCGATGGTCCAAATCACGTAGAGAATATTGCATATATGGTAGAGGTATTGTCGACCATATAGCTCGGATAGAGGTGCGATGAGCAGGGGACCGAAACAGTATCCGACTAGATATACCGACACCACGAATGATGACAATTCAATGCTGGTGACGTGGAAGTCTTTGACTAGTTCATTTACGCCGGGGGCGAACATAGATGATCCCAGAGGGCTGTTATTTTCTGGTGTCAGCTTTTATCGACTAAATGGTAAAGGGGGCGGTGCGTACGTCAGAAATGTGATCAGCGCAATCGAACATGTGGCCGTGACTTTTTTTCGCGTGGTCCAGTTAAGGGGATTTTCGGGGTCGTCTGGGCCATCCCAATCGACGATGTTCGGGTCTTGGACTTTTTGCTCTTTTGTTGTGTCGTTCAGCTCGGCGGGCCCGATTTCAAGATCTTTTTCCTGTTTGGTGTTGTTTTTCACGCTTATTGTCGATCCGTCGACGGAGGGAGTTTCTGCTTAATCTTTTTAGAATTTCTCTCTTCGCAGACTATTTGGTGGAGATGTTGTTCAAATCGACAAATTAGAGAAACCCTTACCCTCGCTATCCCTCATTTTGGGAGATGTGTCGCCGTCGCCAAAAAAGAAAATATACCAAATGCCACTCCGCGTCTCACACCTTGTTAATAGGCTTTAATATCGTTTAACAATCAACATAGGTCGAAGTCGAGATTACACGAGAGGTCGTAATGGGATGGTTGATTTTCTCAGTAAGCAGAATAACATGAAGAGCAAAGAGGAGAAAGGAGGGCAGTAATATTAAAATCCACTAACGGATACCTACCTAGTTATAAATAAGCAATGACCTCGGAGTTAAGTGAAAATACCCGCTGCATAATTTCCTACCTCACATTGTGAAGGAGTACATCTTCCAAATGGCCCCTAATACCCGGGTAAGCTCATTAATAGGGCGGACGATAGCTGGGCCCCAATGCTCGGCTAGTTAATTAGGCCGAAAATAAGCGTAAACACAGACTGTACACTGCCCATACATTGCTTATAACTAAAGATACAACGTAGCCAAGCACCATAACCCTGAAGTATTAGGGGATATTCTGAAGAATCGCATTTCGAACATCGCAGAATGGTGGAGAGTTCTCCCAAGCTTTATCCCCGCAAAAAGGGTCTTGGGTCCACCGGAGTCCACCTTCAACTGGCGAGTTACTACATAAAAGTTATGCACATCGGCTTCATGACTCCAGGCCTGGCTTAGATACTTAGCTGGGAATTAAATGCCCGGCTCGGCTCATTTCCGTGTACTACAGTCGAGTCAACTTATTAGAACGGAGAAATATTCAATATCCACTTCGTATGTTTGTTGACATTATGAGCATTTACCCAAATGCTCCGGGCAATGGCCGAAACGAAGCGAGCCGGGCCGAGCATCTGCTTCCCAAATATGCCCTAAAATCTCACCTTGGTCCGGTGACGCGCTATGATTGGTCTTGTTTCTCGGTTTCGGAACGGTGTTACCGCAACTCTTTTCCTTATGGAGAGAAGATCATCGCGACATTCTTCCAAGGTTGCTGCAGGGATCTCACCTCATCTGGTTAGATTTCTAATATGCGGTGTGAGAGAAGAGGTCGAAAAGCACAATAGAACATTCCAAGGGTACACAATGGTTTATCTTGGCCTATATTGATCTGATACCCCTGAAAATGTGCTGTGGCTATCAGGACACCTATTCAACGCGTCGGCAGTAAACATAGTGGGAAACCCTACATGTTGACCCACAGAGACAGATGAGATGAGTAAATATGTATTATGTGATTAGATGGTTCTAATAATTGCAAGAATGAACAGCCACCTCGACGGCAGCAAAATTTGGTATCCACGCTCAACGGGATAACTGCAATAGATGTACATTGATACTCTCTGCGCAGCAGAATATACATCACACCCAAAACAACGCCAACATGAACAAAACTTTCCAGCCCGTACATCATAACCGGGTATACTGTGCAATGGAAAGCGTGTCTAGAAGATCATTTTACCCTTATTCTGCTTCCTGTTAACGTCATAGTTCTTCCAGACCAGAATGCAAGGAATAGTCAAAGCCAAGACGGCAGTAGAAGCAATGCAGTTCAGACGTTGGGCATAGCCCCATGTATACGCGACAGCTTCGCGGAGAGGCGTCCCCCAGGGGTAAGTCGACTGCACGGTGATTCCATCAAAGTATATCTGGGTGGCATTGGCCTTCAAATTGTCTGGCAGTTGTGCCGTGAGGGTATTGACAAAGACATTGTTGTAGATCGCGGCGCCAACAGCCAAGCCAATTCCACCGCCAATGTTCGAGAACAACCCGATGAGGGCCAGCATCATCGGGGTACCCTCGCGGCCACCTGCTGCCATAACGGCCATGTCTTCACCGATAACGAGGGTGCCGCCGGCGAAGGCAATAAAGATCTGACACATGACAACGTAGCCAATGCCGTGGTCTGAGCCACGGAAGTAGATCATCAATCCGGAGCCGAGGATCATCAGCGGGGCTCCGAAGAAAAGGCAGATGTATTTGAAGTGCGCAGTAGCCCAGATGATGGCTCCGATGACGGGAGAAAAGAAACAAGAGCCGATGTTGTAAATCTGCAGCATGTAGTTTGCATTGACTGCGGAGATGTCGTAGGAGATTAGAACGTAGTTGTAGAAGTACTGATCCCAGAGTTCGAAGCTGAAATATAGCACAGCGGCCAGGAGGCATGCGCCTAAAATAGTCGGCCGCTTGATCAACTCATAGCGGATAAAGTGGGTTCGTGCACCCCACTTCTCCCATGCCGCAAAGACACACAACATGAAGACTCCGAGGATTATGAGAGCAATAAAGCTCGCGCTTGAATACTCAGAGCGGCCGTACTGCGCCAAACTGAATGGCAGGAGGAACATCACCCAACCAATCATGAGGAAGAAAGCGCCGATAACTAGTAGTGCAGCGTTAGTATATATATCCCGAGCGTTGGTTTGGGTATTCTTACCATCAAATTCATGAATATAGTGGATGATAGACTGTCCAACAGTGCGACCACTGGGCTCTCGACGGAAGATGCCCTTTTTCTCTGCCTTCTTCTCAAAGTACTTGAAAGCCATGGCGAGGGGCAAGAACACAAACGGCATCACAATGCAGAAGATGCCATAACCCCAGCGCCATCCAAACTTAGCATATATCGAGTTTGCCGCAAGTCCACCTGTGAATGCAGTGCAGATGAACGGAGTCTGCATAAAGCCGAAAGCGAATGCTCGATTTCTTAGACCAGAAGTATCGGCGACGAAGATATTCAAGATCAGGTATATGCAGTAGTAACCGATCCAGTAAAACACGTATCCCGCTGCATATCCATTGGGACCATCACATGCGGTGAGGATGATCATACCGAGGATATAAATGCCGGTTGAGACGACCAGCGCCTCTGCACGACCCCACAAGTTCAAGGTCTTACCCAGCGGCAGCTTAAGAACCCCGCCCACAACATTCGCGAGGATATAAGCCGTGGAGACTTGCGGTGCGGTCCGGAAGCCTCCTTGGATGTAGTTGATCAGGAAGCTGCTAATATTCGAGTGAAATGCCAACATAAATGTACAGATCCAGATCCTGCAAGTTCGATCATGGTCAGAAAATAGCTTTCGTCGCAAGAGCACCGGAACGAATCAGTCGCTATCTACTTACCAAGCATATATTCCAACCAAAGCTGGCCAACTCCATACAAGTGCCGCGGCTTCCGCCTTCTGCTGGCCCAACTCAGCACCTTCTGTGACACTGTCGGGGTGCTGTGCCAATTCCTCCTCGTCGTCGAACATGTCACCCGCATGAAGGCTGTCCGCTCGGGGCGGTGATTCGGGATCATATGATGACGATTTGTCGCCATTGGCCTCAAGTGCCTCCGACTTTTCATTCTGCGAGATATATGATTCCTCCCCGACTATAGTCTGGTCGATGATTTTGCCGTCATCGCGACCTTGAGTGGTCTCGGGGAGACCCATGACTGTAGGTTCCCTTAGGTCCGGTCACAGGGAGGTCAAATGTAATGCCAGATCTTCAGTTGCTTCCGGGGAAGCTGTGTGAGGATAGACCAGAATTGAGTATTGGGCGGAGTGGGAGGATAGAAAGCAGAGGGAAAAGATCTGCGATAGAGGGGCTTCTCTATAATCTGGAAGGACAGAGAGGCCCATGATGTTCCAGACCAGAAAGTGCCGGACCGAATCGACACATCTTCAGGTTTCCTTTTTTTCTTTCACTCTTGAAAGGAAGATCCGATAGGGTCGAGGATCAGATAACCCCATCAATCTGATGGTTGACCCAATCAGGGGTTGCCGTAACGGGCGATCATCCGCCATTCGCCCCTTCGCTGTGTGGAAATCTCAACTCTGATTGGTCAGTACTGAAGGTTCCCTCCTATTTTGGACTAGTGCATCATTACCTAACCTTGGAAGTTTCCAGGGTTACACTTCAGGTCCCTCCAGGGCTGCTACTTACTTGATGCGGCAAACCGTTTGCGTCACTAACAGGCTAGATGGACATTATTTAATACTGTTGTACTTGAGTCATGGCATCATCTGTTTCACTCTTTTCTTTTTCCCCCTTACTACCTCCTGGCGAGGCCATGCGCCATGCCCCTTGCGTGTCCACGCGGTATACCATGGATAGTGCAAGGGTCGCGGGTGAAAAGCTTAAAAAGCAAAAAAAAGATCAACATATTTTCCAGCCACCGATTATTAGTACTCAAACAAACTCGCAATTACGGACCTCATGCACGAATTATCTCGTTTCAGAGGCTCCAAAGTCGCCATATCAACTCCATTACAGCTCGTGGAACCAGATTGCCTTCCGCTCCCCGGTCCAGGTCGCACTCTGAGTTTTACGCCATCTTATCTGATTTCGATCAGCTATGTACAACCAGGATTTATGATGGTATTAACCCAAGCTTCCTATGTTTCTACTTGGCTTTCCACAAAGCCAAGCCCCTCTAGGCAAGGTATGCCGGATTCTCGGACTGGAACTTACATAGTCCACTCCACGGTGGGGCTGGATCGTATTTTCTCCAAGCGCCCGAGGCGCTTCACAATACTACGTAGTTGTCATTTGTGCTGACCGTGTTTCCTTTCTGTGACATTCCAACGGCCCACTCACTCAGCCGCTGACATCTTCCAACAATCGTATGCGACGCCTATGCGACTTCGTGCGAATAGAACAAGACTTTGTATCAGATGTAGCCGAGAAAACTCTTGGACGAACAAGTACTTCGGTCTACGGGGATTTAGATTAAATCAATTCCCCAATTTCATCTAATGTGGTCTTGAATTTGTCTTATCCACTAGTTTCCCGGAATACTACCTCCATTGCGGGTGATGTTGACATTCCCGAATATCCGTCAGATCTACCTTGTAAGGAACCTGTCCGTTACTTTGCCCAATATGTTCTAGGATGCGGCGAAGGATATTTATAACACTTTCAATTGTGGGCTGTCCAATATCTGTTGATGACCAACCATGCTGGATTTGATGCGAGAAAGCCTAGCTTATTTCTAGTTTTTCAATTGCCAGGCTTTGTTACATAACTAAATCTACCTCAGCTTAATGTCCAACCATAGCCTGGTGCGCGGGTCCATATCTGTCACCATGTGGCTTAGCAGCATCGATAATTTGACGCATTGCTTGCTTTTCCTCCTCGGTCAACTCAATATCCCGAGATGCCCAGTTCTCCTCCAGGCGTGTCGCCTTGGTTGTTCCCGGAATGGGAATCATTCCTTGGGAGGCAACCCAAGCAAGCGCGATTTGACTAATCTTGCATCCTTTACGGACGGCGAGCTTCTTGATTTCCTCGACGATGGCACGGTTCTTGTAGAAGTTCTCGCCTTGGAATTTGGGAGCTGTTGAGTGCGATTATGTTAGCGACTCTGTCCATTTAGGATTAGGAGCTTGTGAACTGGGTAGATACATTTTCGGCGGAAATCGTCAGGGGAAAAGTCATCCGGGGAGTTGTAATCGAAGTTATCGACGAGCCAGCCATGTCCCAGTGGGCTGTAGGCGACGTAAGCCACGCCCAACTCTTTTGCTGTATCGATCAAGCCATCTGTCTCGTGGAGTGTCTCAAAGGCTGAATATTCGGCTTGGATAGCATCAATCTTGGCAACTATTGATAGTCAGTAATGTATTCCCAAGCTGGCTAGAAAAAGACGCACTCGAATTTGCCTTGCGTAGTGTGGTAGCTGAACACTCCGAAAGTCCAATGTACTTGGTCTTCCCTGCCTTGCGAAGTTCATCAAGAGCAGGAATGGACTCGGTGAGGGGTGTATCTATTGAATTCAGTAATTGTAAGTCCGAAGATATAGATTCGACTTACTAGGGTCAATCCGGTGGAGGTAGTACAAATCAGGCGTAAAGCCGAGTCTCTCGATGGTTCCTTCAATGTACTCCTTGATATGCGAGGGGGAGTTGGTGACAGAGCCATCTCCTCCAATTACGTCGAGGCCACACTTGGAGGCAACTATCAGGGAGGGTAGTTAGTTACAGATAAATGTCACGTTGCGGTGTGGGGTCATACTGAAAATCTTATCGCGGACGTTGTGCTTCCTGATGAAATCTCCCAAAAGCTTTTCATTCACACCCGCTTTGTAGACAACAGCAGTGTCCCAGAATGTACATCCCAATTCAAGTGCCTTCAGCAAGACTGGTTCGGCTTCCTCGAGGCTCAGGTTGCTACCCAAACCATAGCTCAATCCCATGGCACCGAAGCCCGGTGTCGGGACTTGAATATCACTGAAGGGGAGTGTCTTGACCATACTGACTGAGTTGGATAATTTACTGGGGGGTTGTTAGATTCTGTTGTGTCACAAGTGACCAGATGTGGCAGTGAGATTGGATTTATATCATAGATTTGGTGCCCGGCGTTAAGGCTTCTGGATCACCAAGTGGGTCATGCTGATTGTACGTGTAAATCTTAACTCCGTTGTGCTGCCATCTGCGAAATCTAATTGAGATCTGTATATAAAACAAACGGTAGTACAATTTTCTCCAACTTTGAATATAGACGATTTCAAGACAAAAGAAAAAGAATACCACCCTGCCATAGTATTCAACTCGATTTTTGTTTTGCTTCTTGTCTAGTGTTTCCCTGCAATTATACCAGTAGCGATGGTCTAATGCTTAACTCCGAAGATTCTGTAGGTGGGGCGTAATCAACTCCAGCGGCAACAATGACATCATACCATCTGGATAGTATTGACTGCAGTACTTACGGATATGTACATGTGACAATCGCAAGTGTCTTTTTGGGTATATGCCAATTGCAGAATGTCTTAGATCAAGCCAGGATTCGAAACGCTGTCAGCTTTTCGAGTGAACCAGCACTCATCGGCCGTGTGGGGCTTGTAAGCAGGATGCATTAGTGTTAAAGCCTAAACAATGGGCGATCCGCTTTATATTGTACTAATAGACAACCAATACTAGCCATTCAGTCTACATATTGGTGTATTGTGCTAATCTGGTGATAATACGCCACTGCCAACAAAGATAGACTGTAGCGTGGTTTACCTGTCCCTCATGAAATGAGTAGTGCCGAACAACAAAACTGTTCATTCTCCTATAGTCATCGCTCTTCAAATTTGGTTTAAACAAATGGATCTATAGCAGAGGAACAATTCGGCCGGGGCATCCTGTTCTAGATTAGACAGATGATGCTCGTTTTGCAAAAGAAGATGGCACCTAACTCGGATTGCTGTGCTAAAATTACTGCTTCTGCAGCACTGGCTTCAGGTCCTAGAGTCCCAGGGTATTTACAAGATATGTGTGTAGACTTATAAGCTATCGCCCACTCTGAGAAGTCTTTCTGATGGATGACCCGGAGCTATTTGCTATGAGAGAACTGCACAAATTTTCTCGGTGAACTTTTGTGCATAACAGTATAGAAACAAGCCACGAACGATGAGAGGAATACTTCGTTGCTTGAAGATATAGCTCCAGTGCAAGCCTACCATCTAAGTAAGAAGCTTGCGGCGAACAACCAAACCATGGGAGATCGTGTCCATCTCCGATGATTTCGGCGCGAGCTGCTCACCCAGCTAACTCCACCTGACCCATGCCAATTGATTATATATACCGTACTTGACTTGTTTAGTTGCACAGAAAGTCTCAACAAACGAAGCGATGACAGTGGAGAAGAAAGAAAGAAAGAGAAGAGAAATGCAGAAGAGGGGAACGACTACAATGAGAGGGAGCAGGAGCCTTCCCGATGAGGCAATCAGGTCACAAACGGTAGGAACGACCAAATTTATATCCATTGGGTTCTCTCAACTAACAACACAGCGAGAAGCGTGATCTATCTTCTTTTCTCCGTGCAAGCACCAGTCGGCTACCCCAAAACGAGTCATCAAGGTTTGATATGCCTGGCCGTGGAGAAATTGGATGTTCCAATAATAAATTTCCTGCTCTGATCGCGCATCTGAGCAACTGGCTTGTATGGAATCAATTTCAAATCGCTGTCGGGAATCAACATTTTCGTGCTCTGCTAAGTTGACTTGGAATTCGTGGTCATTCTGACACCTCCAATGATTATCATCCGGGCTTAGCCCCGGTCCTAAGTCAAGCCACCGGGTAAGAGTGAGGCTTGCATGATTTTTATCCAGGGTTCGCATCTCCAACTTCCAAGAGGTATTGCATCTGTCACAACTCCCTTGGTCGGCTGGTTTTTAGGGGGCTGTTTTGGAGCAATAACGGTCAAGGTGAGAGGTAAAGATGTCCATAAAGCCCGAGTCATAAGTGTGAATATGCTTGCAGATGATTATAGATCCATTTTTGTGGCATGGCCACATCCGTGGTACGTTCTGTTGTGCTATTATATTACCGCTATTTCCTACGTCCGTAAGCACAGGCCCGGAGGCATAGAGCATATTCGAGCCTCAGCAGAGAATAGTGTCATCATAACATATTTTTGGGGACCTTCTTCTGATATGTTGTTGACGGGGGATTGTAGCAATGGCGGGGCTTTGGATCTGATAAGACCAGCTTCTACCTCTGTATAGAGCATTGACTCAACGGGGATTCCAAAGTCAGGGCCATGGTAAAACCTTCTTATGGCAAGCTGAAGATGAACGAAATGGAATTGGTAATGAGTATATGATGGGTAGTGACAAAGAGGTAGAGGTCTTTGAAGGTACCAATTTTTCATATCTAAGGCATTTGAGCTGTGGTTATCATTGGTATAGAAGAAACCTGGTAGCTCATTGCTTTTCCACAAATGAAGTTAGAGGCAGATAAATCAGAGATAGTACTGCGGTAGGTCGTAAGAAAGCCGAGATAACAACTTAATACGTGCGTCGTCAGTGGGGTTTCCGGTGCGGCCATTTAAGAAGTTCCGAAAAGCAGTCCCAGCAAATGAAGACAGCAGATGATGGTTTCCTAATGCCAGACAAGCAAGATCGACTGGTGATAGGTGCTCGGAGATCATCCACAACAGCTCAAGTGGAAGGTCAGTCAAGGCTGTTGGGTTTCGTGTGGTGGCCGTCCTGATCACTGGTACTATCTCGATGGATAAAGAATGTCGGACGAGGAAAAGAAGAGATGAAAAGAAAAGAAAGAAAGCAAATTGAATGTAGCTATTAACGCTATGAGACGCGGTTCAACCATGGCGTTTGAGGTATCTGAGTTCCTTGAACTTTGACGTCAAATTATGTACAATGTAATCGACCGTCACGTAACCTCCTTTCAATGCTCCCGACATAAAAGGTCTGTCAAGTACCGACAGCTACACCTTAACTCCCATTGGTACCTTAAAATCATATAGAGGCTTATTGCCTTTTCAAATGGCACGGAACTTCGAAATACGCTTCAACGAGGCACATTAACATGGGAATACATTAACCCCGCACGTGAATGTCTTCCTGACATCCAGCACTAACACCATTTAGGCCGTCGATCACACGAACAATGCGACGTTACAACGCGATATGAAAAATATCCTCCTTGCAGGAGAGAAGGCACTCGCTCCTTCTTCCCGTCATCTGCATCCATGCTCCTCACAACCCAGATCTACAACCACAACGCGTCATTACGCGTGGCCCAACCCTCACATTCCAGAGCGACATGTCGATTCTGCAGAAAAGCATTTTGTACAGCCTCCTACTTCTCCAATGTGCTCTGAGCACAGTAGCAACCCAGGATGACCTCCGCCACGTCAATCCCCTGATCGGGTCAACCAATGGCGGCAATGTCTTCGCAGGCGCAAGCCTCCCCTATGGCATGGCAAAGCCTGTCGCCGACGTCGATGGTCAGAATACTGGAGGTTTCTCGACTGATGGGAGCAATGTCACCGGCTTCTCGCATATGCATGATAGTGGCACAGGCGGGAACCCATCTATGGGAAATTTCCCTCTGTTCCCACAGTACTGCAAAGACAATGTTGTGGATAACTGCAAGTTCCCTAAAGCTGCTCGTGCGGTCCACTACAAGAATGACTCTGTAGTTGCGCAGCCTGGCTACTTTGCCTTGACACTCGAGAATGGCATCAAGGCAGAGATGACTGCGGCGCGGCGCACGGCGTTGTACCGTTTCACTTTCCCAAATGGAAGGACGGCGGATGGAAATGATCTGAACCCGGTGATCTCGGTGGATCTAACTGATCTGTGGGATAGTCGACAGAATGCTTCCATTAGCCTTGATGCTGATAAAGCTCGAATCAAAGGCAACGGTACTTTTTTGCCGAGCTTCGGGGCTGGCTCATACAAATCATATTTCTGTGCTGATTTCGGCGACACTATCGATGTCGATGACAGCGGAATATGGGTCAATGACCGAGCTGGATCAGTGCAAGAGTTGTTTGTCACCCGCGGCTTCAACAACTTCTACCTTCAAGCCGGAGGCTATATGGCCTTTGATCGTCCAGACAATGGAATAGTGACTGTGAGGGTGGGTGTCAGCTTTATCAGCTCGGATCAAGCTTGCAAAAATGCCGAAACGGAAGTGCCTAAGCCGGAAAGTGCCTTTGATAATCTGCGCGAAAGTGCAGAGGCTGCATGGAAGGAGAAGCTCAGTCCGATCAAGGTCACGCCGGGTGGTGCCAGCGATGACATGGTCCACAGTTTCTGGAGTGGTATATACCGAACCATGTTATCACCTCAAGATTTGACTGGAGAGAATCCACTGTGGAAAAGTGATGAGCCATACTTTGACTCTTTCTACTGCCTGTGGGACGCTTTCAGGTCGCAGCATCCGTTCCTCACAATCATTGACCCAAAGGCACAGTCAAAAATGGTCCGCAGCTTGCTGGACACCTTCAAGCACGAAGGATGGCTGCCCGATTGCCGCATGAGTCTCTGCAAAGGCTGGACACAGGGAGGTTCCAATGCCGATATCGTTCTCGCAGATGCCTACGTGAAGAACCTGACCGGTATCGACTGGGAACTTGCCTATAAGGCTATGATCAACGATGCAGAGAACGAGCCACTCGAATGGTCATATGAAGGGCGAGGTGGTTTGCAGAGCTGGAAACACCTCAACTACATCCCATATCTAGACTTTGACTATATTGGCTTTGGAACCAATTCACGGAGCATCTCGCGAACGGTGGAGTACGCATACAATGACTATGCCCTATCAGTCGTAGGCAAGGGCCTCGGCAAAAAGGATTACACCACATATTTGTCTCGGTCTGGCAACTGGCAAAACCTATACAAAGAAGACCAAAAATCACTGCTTGAGAATGGAACAGATACTGGCTTTACTGGGTTCTTTCAGCCAAAGTACATCAACGGAACTTGGGGCTATCAGGATCCTATTGCCTGCAGTGCTCTGGCGTCGTGGTGCTCTCTCACCTCGAACCCTTCAGAGACATTCGAGTCCAGCATCTGGGAGTATCTCTTGTGCGTATACTTTTCTCCCCAGTAACATTCCAGCGCTAATTATACATAGCTTCGTCCCTCATGACATGGCAAATTTGATCAAGATGGTCGGCGGCCCAAAGTCCTTCGTGTCTCGTTTGGACTATTTCCACACCTCTGGCTTAGCAGACATGGGCAATGAACCTGTCTTCTTGACCGTGTACGATTATCACTACGCCGGACGCCCTGGTCTGTCCGCCAGTCGAGCCCACGCTTACATTCCATCATCTTTCAACGGCACACACAACGGCCTACCTGGCAACGACGACTCGGGCGCCATGGGCTCATTCCTGGCATGGAGCTTAATGGGTCTTTTCCCGAATCCCGGTCAGAATGTGTACCTGATTATTCCTCCGTTCTTTGAAGCTGTCGCAATCACTCACCCTGAAACCAACCAAACTGCTACCATTCGGAATGTCAACTTCGACAAAAGCTACAAGAAGATCTATATCCAGAGTGCCAAGCTCAATGGGAAGCCCTACACCAAGAGCTGGATTGGACATGAGTTCTTTACTCGAGGAATGACGCTGGAGCTGACACTCGGGGACCAGGAGAGCAAATGGGGTACACGCAAGGAGGACTTACCTCCGAGTTTGAGCGACTCGGTTGCTGTAGTTGGAGATCACGATGGGATGTAGATAAGTTTGGACTTGAACCCAATGATCTACTAGGATATCTCAACCCTAATAAGTGAGAATACTTTGTGGCGGTCTGTCAACTCTTCTGTGCATCCAGGCCAAACCCTGTCCAATTCACAAGTAAACCCCGGAACACATCCGATGTGGGTCCAGATGAGCTGAGTCTATGATTCAGAGCACCATAATATATGGTCAGCAAAAAAGCATTCATCTGGTAGGGATGCAGATCCTCCCAATCGTATTGTCCCATACTAATCGTATGATAGATACTTCCGATCTCTTCCAAGGCTACTATATCCGCCCCGCACTGTGAGAGGCCCGACGAAATCCATGACTAAGCTGTATGCCCCCGGGCCCAAGTAGGCAACACGTAGAATCCCTTTCGTACAAAGCTCCTTTTAACAATCATTTTCAAATCCACAGCTGAAATATTCTATCTCATCTTCCGCGCAGGACTATTCCCTGTTCACGAAGTCCCAGGTGCTCCAGCGACCAGACCCTTGGCGACATTTCTTTTCCCCAACCATCGCCACCCCCGAACATGGCAAACCGACAAATCACACGGCGCATTGTCACCAGCGCAGCGATCGCACTATGCCTCATATTCTTCCTCTTTATTCGACCACAAGGGCCACCGAGCCCCGCCGTCCGCGCCCCAGGCCACATCGACCACTCCGTACCGACATCCGCACCGGGCATAACCATTCAAGCTACCACACTGAAGGGCGACGTGGTGATGCCGAAGCTCGGCAACGAAACAGCCAAGTAAGGATCTCCGGGGAGGACCCATTGAGAATATATGACCGTGGTGGGACAAATTGCTAATTACAGAATGGTGGCTTTCCAGGGCTGAATTAGGTCGTGCGACATGGAAGTACTTCCACACTGTTATGGCGCGGTTCCCCGAAACACCCACGGAAGACCAGAAGGAGGCGCTACGCTCTTATATCTACCTGTTTGCGCGGCTATATCCTTGGTAAGGAGATTCTCCCCTACGTCCTCACCGCCGTTCCCGTGCGACGTTCTGTGCCAGACTTGGAACTAATGGTTTATGACATCAGTGGAGAATGTGCTGAGCATTTCATGCAGCATTTGAGCAAGTATCCGCCTCAGGTTTCGTCGCGAAATGCGGCTTCGGGCTGGGCTTGTTTCATTCATAATGAGGTTAATGCTATGCTTGATAAGCCTGAGTTTGACTGTGCCAATCTGGGGGATTTCTATGATTGTGGGTGCGGTGGGGATGAGGAGGGTGCGGCTGCTTCGAAGTCGAATGCCGCGAAGGAGGGCACGGGGGAGCATGATGGCCCTGCTGTGGAGATCTCCATAGAAGAGTAAGTGATATCCCGTTATGGCGCATGTATTATGGTTGTTTGGTTGCTAACTTGCGATTTAGAAAGACCCGTGGTTGACGGGATAGATCTCTGACTGTTAGTTCAACCCCATGGAGTTCATTCTGTCTGGTCTATGTCCAGCGCTTGAGTACTTTCTGGATACCTTGTTATTCACGCTTATGGAGCCGGTCTCCCTTGTACAGTAATAGATTGTCAGTTGACTGTTAATATCAATATACCCTTGTTATGTTTTGCATGTGGCTTTTTGTATGAATAGAGGCCTACCCTACATAAATTATCATAGTGTCATTGTACTGGGGTACATACAAGTCCCGCATCCACCACATTGCCGATCCCCATAAAGTACATGACCCCGAGCATTCTATGTGAAAAGATCATCCTACCTGGTGATCAAGTGTGGAAGATGGCGCGCATGACCAAAGGTGCTTACCCAGTATATCCCGGCAATGCAGACTCAAAGGCGCAATCCGTCGTACTAAGCTCAATTGTCTTGGTAGAAAGTACCGATTAAACTTTCTCTTGTTCTTCACTATGAGCAACGGCGATCATATCGTCAGGTCGCACCCTCGTGATACCAACCCTCCAACGGATCAACTATGTAGTTTCATGTGGCATGACGGTACCCTCAAAATGGCGGTGCATCGCAGATATTAGTGTTCCGTATAGATGAAGGGATAATCGGGGATAAGTTTTTGAGTTTGGACCAAAAATAGCAGTAGAGCTGTCAGGATGGCATATCTCGAAGGGCCTGCGTCCTCGAATCCTCCTCGAATCCTCCCCGTGTCTACCCGTTCAACTGGGAAGAAGCGAATGAAAGCATGGGGTCTCCTGACAGGCCTGACATCCATGTCCGCGTGGGATCTGTGGCTTTCCAGTTACCCTGTAAACATGTACCGAATCGAAGGATAATATATCAAGGTGTTCCTCGCTTTCCTTCTATTATTTTATATGCAAAGTACTTGGAAAGAGTACAACTTGATCTCCTCGACGCGCCCACCCCATTCATATTACCCAAAATAGCCTAGTCTAACGCCCGATCGGGACTAGTGTGGATCTGCGCGCCAAATTTCGACGCGAAAAAAAGAAAAAGAAAAAAAAAGGAAAAGCCGACGGAAGAAATTCGTATCAAAGCGAGTTCCCCGCTTAGACGCCTTCTACTGAAACTCTTTCAAGGGATACATCCCTCTCTTGGCCCTCTTCGAACTATTGTTTGCGCACCCAAGGTTATATTTAGTGTCAACAATGGTCTCCTTCTCCTGCGAGGTGAGTCTTATCTGCTGTGTATGCCTTGCGCTCGAATCTAACAATCAGTTGGTAGGCATGTGGTGATGTTCTCACAAAGAAAAAGCTCGATCCTCATCGCGGCCAATGTCGCGGCGCCTCTTTTACCTGTATCGATTGCATGGTGCACTTCTATGGAATGGAGTATAGAGCCCATACGGTACGTCGCATCCGCGTCGCATTTTCGCATAATGGTCGTTGGACTACTTTGCTAGAGTCCCCATTGGATCAACAAGGGAGACATCCGCTAACGAGATCAACCACTACAGTCATGCATGAGCGAGGCGCAAAAGTACCAGGGTGCTCTGTACAAAGAGAAGCCCCAGAAGGGCAAGAAGGGACAAAACAACCAAAAGCAGAATCCGAACCAAACCCCCAATGGCCGCCATCAGCAAGCCCGTGTGGAGGATGCTCCTCCTCCCCCTGCCCCCACACCCCCGCCTGCCGGTGAGGTGAGAACTCCTGCTCCTGCGGCCAACAACGAGAAGCCCGTCAATGTGTTCGACTACCTCGTCGCCGATGAGACCCCCAACGCATCCAAGGTCTCCGTTGCCACACCCAAGGAACAGATGAAGATGAACCCCAATGCCAAATCGGTCTTCGAGCCTAGCCAATCCCTCACCCGTGTCGAAACCAACCCCAACACGGACGATGAGGGTAAGAATTACGATATCGCATACGAGGAGAATGGATTCTCATACGGTGCCGGCCACATTCCGCACTCAGACTCGCCCCCGAACGCGTCAACAACAGAGTTCGTCACGCCCGCACCTAAAAAGAAGAAGGAGCGCCGGGAGAAGGCCCCTGGGACCGTCAGCGAGAAGAAGCGCAAGCGCGGCGAAGCAGAGGTTCTCGGCACTCCGCGCGAAGACGACACCAACATGATGGATGCCCCCTCCAGCATCATCAACAACGCCGGCACACCCATGCTGAACCACTCCGGCCTGACCGGCGGCCTGAACCGGATGATGCGCTCCCAATCCCCCGATGGCGACGACAGCCCAGAAAACAGCCGCCGCGCCTACCAAGACACCTCGTCCCCGATCAAGCGCAGCCGCCGTAACGGCAAAGAAACCAACGGCAACGGCGACGCAGGTCTCGGTATCTCGATGAAGAACCGCGCCGGCCGCCTCGTCTCCTCCATGTTCGGCGGCTCAGCCGTCTCCAGCACCAACGGCTCTGAGCCCGGTTCCAAGGCCGTGGCCCGCCGCGGCAGCTCTTCCAGCGGCGACGGCCAGCTCGAAGTCCGCAAGACCAAGAAGTCGCACCGCTCGCGCGCAGACGACCAGGATGACTCCCGCAAGTCCAAGCGCAAGAGCTCAAACCCCACAGATGGCGACAGACCCTCCCGCCGTCTTAAGCAAATCGACGAGCGTCACGGCTCCGTCGACCCCTCTCACGGCCACCAGGTCACTGTCTACAAGCAGTCCCGGCCGCCTGCGCGCACTGACGAGGATCTGCAGCGCGAGCTCGCCCATCACTTCCTCTCGATGGTCGCCAAGGATAGCGAGCGTGGCTGCTCGGTTAACAAAGCGCTTAAGCGATTCCACCGTGATCTCTCGACTGAGTATGATGGTCGTGATGATGGACAACGCCGTGCTGATGATGAAAAGGATCTTTTCCGCGCGTTGAGACTGAGACGCAATGATCGTGGTGAGATTGTTGTGTTCATTTAGAGCCTGGACTTAGTGTGTATGATTTCAATCAAACTGGGAATGAGCGGTTTGGTTCTTTGTTATGAGGTGAATGGGCTGGTTTTTTTGCATAGCGCCATGTTTCTTTTGATGCGGCTGCTTCGATATTCCATTTTTGTCTATATTAATTCGGGATTGGGACTAAATTGCATTCATAATGTGCTTCGACTGTCTTTTCTGATATATCCTTTGTAAAAGTCATGGATCCGAAGCAATTAACTCGTTTCAATCTAAAATTGAGCATATTCCGAAATCCGATTGCGCCTAGATATGCTGCAGGATGGTGTTTTACATATAAGCCTCATGCATCGAGTCTTTGTTTGATGTCTTGGCAGTGGAGTCAAACACCCCTGCTCATCACTTTATGCATGCATCAACCAAAGCCAATGAATTGCATCGGTTCCTTCTATCTCTCAATCATACGAAGCATGACTCGAATTCATAGATCGCAGACCCGCATTTCGGACCTCCGTCGGGAGCCACAATGAGTCATGTTATGTAATTCCTGACTCACACCTGAGCCTCTTGCCACTACGCCACCGCCTACTGCACCGCCCAATTCTGCCATGAGAGCTTTTATCGCCTTCTAGATAATTCATTGTGCTACTATTTTCTTCCTCATTCTATAAGCAGGCTTTTGCCTTTGGTTTTATTCTCATTCATTATTTAGTGTCTATCTTCCGGTCATTTCACTTTGCCGTACGTTTTCAGCTTACAATAGATCAACACACCCAGTCTACCACCAATTATTCTCTTCAAGCCAAGCGCAAGTGAGAAAATACACCGGAAGCATATGAGTACGCCAGGAGTCTCCAGTCAGACCTCCACCGCATTTCCAGCCATGGCAACATCACAGCCAGAGACTTCAATTCCAACCGGGTCAAGACCCCCACGTTCTTCCAGGCCATCTAGACGCAGAGGGCGGGGTTCTGCGAAGCGTGATGGTGAACAACAAGCGCCTGCGGGTGAAGCCCAAAATCAAGCTGCGCCGCAAACACAGCCTACACGGTCTCAATCACAACCGAATACAGCTCCCCAGCCCAGTCAACAGGACGGACCGTCCGGCTCGCGAAGAGGGGGAAACAGAGAAGGAAGAGGCCGGAGACAAAGAAACAATGGACCTCCCCGGCAGGGACAGGGTCAGGATGGAGGACCTGAAAGCCAAACGACACGACCAGAGGCGCGAACCCGCGGGATGAGAGCGCGTGGCTTCGAAGCCCAGTTAACAAGACCTGACCAGGCTGGAAATGGCCCTCAAGCGGATGATGCGGGGCATTTACATGATCACTCACTGAGACCCGATGTGCCGGATTTTGTACCGGGCATGCCGTCATCCAAACAAGGACCACCTTCTGAATCAGCGCCATCTTCAAAAGGGAAAGGGAAAGCTAGACAGCCTAGGGCACCGCCACCACCTAAAGCGAAGTCCACAGCCGACGACCTGGCTACCCGCATCCACGAAGACATTGCGCATAACCTGTACGAATGCCCCATCTGCTGCAGCGAGTTAGGTCGCAGGTCCAAGGTCTGGTCTTGTGAGCTATGCTGGACTGTTTTCCATCTGAGCTGTGTCAAGAAATGGTCCACGAACGAGGGTGCAGCTGCACAGAGGGCTTCTGCTCGAGAAGACGGGCAAGAAGACCTCACTCCTCGCGCATGGCGTTGTCCCGGTTGTAATCTTTCTCAACAGAACTTCCCCACAAGCTACTCTTGCTGGTGTGAGAAAGAAGTCGACCCTAGACCGCTTCCCGGTTTGCCTCCACACTCGTGTGGTCAAACTTGTTCACGGCCTCGCAAGAATTGTCCCCATCCTTGTGATACGACTTGTCATGCTGGTCCGTGTACGCCTTGTACTGCTATGGGTCCGATGCAAGATTGTTTCTGTGGCCTTAATTCGTCGCAGAAGCGTTGTCAGGATACGGATTATGAGAACGGATGGAGCTGTGGCGAAATCTGTGGTGAGTTATTGCCGTGTGGAGAACATACATGTCCGCTGCCGTGTCATGAAGGATTGTGTGGTGGCTGTGAGGTTAGCATTGATGCACGTTGCTACTGTGGAAAACTGCAGACGGAGATGCTGTGTAAGTCCAAGGATGATGAGAAGGAAAGTCGAATCATCCGCGATGATGGCACAGAAGATGAGTGGACCGGCTGCTTTGGTTGTGGGGAGACTTGTAATCGTCCATTTGATTGTGGCATACATTCATGTCAGAAGACCTGCCACCCGCAAGATCCTCATCCTGCGCACTGTCCACAGTCACCAGATGTCATTCTCAATTGCGCCTGTGGCAAGACACCATTATCTGAGATCCCGGGATATACACCTCGTACCTCCTGCGAAGACCCCATCTTGAATTGTCAAAAGCCTTGCGGGAAGACACTCCCCTGTGGTCATACTTGCGAGAAGCTGTGTCATGTTGGATCCTGCGGCGCTTGTTTGCGCAATGTTTATATCAAGTGCAACTGCGGTCGTACTAATAACCTGACAATCTGTCATCAAGGCCAGAACGAGCCTCCCCAATGCCCACGCATGTGCAAGGCGACTCTACACTGTGGTCGACACACATGCACTGAAAGGTGTTGTCCGGGAGAGCAAAGGGCCAACGAGCGCCAGGCTGCGCGTCGTAAACTCAGGCCCCATCTCCGTCCTTCTGAGGAGGACATTGAGGCAGAACATATCTGCACTCGCATATGTGGCCGGATGCTGAAATGCGGAAGGCACACATGCCCGGAGCTTTGCCACAAGGGTGCTTGCAATACTTGCAGGGAGGCAGTATTTGAAGAGATTTCGTGTAATTGCGGAAGATCTGTTCTATATCCACCGCAGCCGTGTGGTGCAAAGCCACCCGCTTGCAACTTCCCCTGTCAGCGTCCAAAGCGATGCGGCCACCCTCAAACCGCACATACCTGCCACACAGATGAGGAGAAATGTCCCAAGTGTCCATTCTTGACTGAGAAGTCGTGTCTGTGCGGAAAGCGGGTATTGAAAAACGTCCCCTGCTGGCTCACAGATGCGCGCTGCGGCCAAGTATGCGGACAGCTACTCAAGTGTGGCTCTCACTTCTGCCGGAAGGACTGCCATCGCCCGGGGGATTGCGAAGACGCAACTAAACCTTGCAGCCAGCCCTGTGGAAAGAACAAGACAATGTGCGGCCATCCTTGCACAGAGCAATGTCACGCGCCATACGCATGTCCCGAGAAGACACCATGTTCCTCCAAGATCGCAGTGACATGTAGCTGTGGACGACTGCGACAAGAAAGACGCTGCAACGCCGCCAAGGCCGTGACCTCCAAGGGTCAGGTGCAGTCGCCCCAGCGCCAACCAGAATTGACCCCGTTGACCTGCGACGACGAATGCACGCGTCTAGAGCGAAATCGCACTCTGGCAGGTGCTCTCGGCATTGACATCAACCAGACCACCACGCTTCAAACCATCACAGCCGAGAACCTCCCCTACTCGGAAGAGACTCTGAACCAATACGTCCAACTCGCATGCTCGGTACCTCTATCAACCCTCCAAACCTACGAATCCAATCTCCACGCCCTGGCAGCAGCGGACAAAGCCACCCGCTCATTCCGCTTTCAGCCGGCGAAATCGACTCTCCGCGCATTTGCGCACTCCCTCGCCGCGGACTGGGGCTTCGTAACAGAAAGCCACGACCCAGAACCTCACCGCCACGTTTTCGTCTTGAAACCGGTCACATGGACGCCTCCCCACTTCGGCATGGGCAGCGGCTCGACCATCGGCATCGGTGGTATGAGCGTGCGTGAGTGCGTTAAGCTCCGCGAGCGCGAGCGCAGCAAAGAACACGAAGCGCGTCGTGTTGCTGCACTCGAGGCTAAGGCCACCCGTGAAGCCGCTAAGGTACAAGCTAGTACTGGAGGAGACGGCGGATGGGCTCAGGTTGCTTCGAAGAGTAAGGGTGGTAGCGGGGCTGGTTCGAGGACTGGAACTCCTGTTCAGAACTCGTGGGTTAGCAAGTCTATCTATGCTGCTCTTGATGGTGATGGGGCGAAGAAGGAGCGCGAGCGCTTGGTTCTGAGATCTGGTGTTGGAGTAGGAAAGTCTTTGCGTGCGAAGACTCCTGCGCCTGAGGTTGTTGATGATTGGGAAGAGGCTGAGGAGAAGGCCGAGGAGAAGGAAGAAGAGGGGGAACAGGAACAGGAAAAGGCTGTCCGTGAGGACCCTGAGGGAAAGTCTGAACCCGCTCCTGAGACCGAGGCCCCTATGGAAGATCGCCCCACTCAGGCTGAGGCATCTGTTACAGATGATATACCGGTCTAAATTCTTGGACAGGATTTGATGATTGATGACCTGAGAAACAAAAGAGTTGTTTCAAAAGCGTTGGACATGTCTCATTCTTTGCGAAGTCACTTGCATTAACTTTGGAGTTTAATCACACACGATACAATATCGCATATTCATCATGCATCATATTTTGGCATAGCCTATACGCAAAAAGAAGTAGCTAAAAAACTCGAAAACCACCCTCCCAAAACATAGCCAATTCATCAAAACCCAGATCTCCGATAGCCAAAGACGTAGCCATTAATCTCCACCGATCCCAGCTCCACTCGAAACCGTTACTTCTTGACCGGCACGACCTTAACAAACTGAAGACATCCTTCCTTCGTCGCCCGATACGGACCATGCTCCATCCCAGGATCCCGGTAGGCATAAGCACCGATACCCCACGACTGTCCGAGCGTAAGATCTTCCAACCCGCCGCGCAGAGTGCAGACCTCTTCGATGTAGGTATGTGTTATTGGCTCTGACTGCACAGAGGTGGTATTCGGCTCCCACCATTGCAGCGCAGCTTTGTGTTCTTCGTCGCCATTTAATAGGAATTCCCATACCCCCGGCGCGATGGAGTACCAGGGCAGTGCGGATGGTGAATCACGGGGTGTACCCACTGGTGGATGGGGTGGTGGGGTTGAGAATTCTTTTTGATGGATTGGCATTTTGGTGATGCTTTTTTTTTGTGTATCGTTTTCTGGGATGTGGTAAATTGTGAGGTTGGAAAGAGAATATTTGGAGATGAGGGGTTTGTTTTTTGAGGGACTGGATTTAGACGACGGTGACGGTGTTTTTAAGGTTATACTTCAGGACCCATTCCACATGGGAAACCTTGGGCAGAATATGCTGACTAATATGGGTGGATCCAGTGTGGAAGTATAGAAATGCATATCAGAAAATACTACATAGTTTCTGCTAAGGAGTAGCAGGTATTTGGATTGGGCAGAATATAGATTAGCCTATTTCTCAAGTATTAGGGATGGATTCGCTGGATATGATACATGTCTACGGAGAAACCAGGTGGCGCATTGGAGCTAATCGAGGTATAGATGTACTATTGTATGTTGACAATGATTCTATCATTGTTTGAGGTTTGGTTTCAAGTCATAGAGCTGTTGAAAGGCAAAGGGATGAGAGGGTATCCTTCTTGCTACGTACTATGCCCAAATCAACAGATCAAAAGGTGCAGCCAGAGCCCAATGTGGAGATTTGAAGGATTGATATTGAGCTTGAAAAGCAGAGCTTTTTTGTTTCAATTTCTTGTACTGTATAACCATTTTCTTCGGTAATCCTGTACTTATTGGGGTAGGAACCTACTATGAAGTCTAGGGGGGTGAAAAAAAAAGGGTTAGAACCCCCACGACGCTATATTGAACATACAGCGTACGGTCATTCCGATACAGCCCAATATGGCAATTCTGTTCACCCCGCCATAAGCTCACAGAAAGCATAGCAGCTAACGGCTGGTCTACCCAGTGGGGGTTCTGACATATTTACCCTTCAATGAAATATATACAAGACCCACGTGTCCTAATTAGGCAATATTGATGCCTGACCCATTTCATCTTTTGTCTCCACTTAATGCCTTAATTATATGGCACCAAATAATGTGCTTAGTCAGTGCTTATGTCATCCGATAGTCCGGCATTTCTCTTATCTGGAGATTACCTTCGGAGATTCATTGTATTTACTCTTCAAACTCAAAATGCCATCATTCCGACTGCAGGGATTCCAATCGGTGATCCGTGGCAACCCCCACCTGCTGCGTCATCAGCAGCGCCGCTGGGCACAGGTCCACGACGTCCGCTTCCTCGCCTCACACCACGATCCCAAGTATGTCTTGGACAAGTATCGGTCCAAGCTGGACAAAAAGGCCAAGGAGTGAGCAAATCTTCCTGAACACCCATTCCTGCTCCAATACTGACAATTATCTCCAGAGAGGGACATGAGTCAATTGAGTCCTTGAAGGAAGCCTACGACAGAAAAATCCAAGAACTCCGCCGCAAAGCATCCACCCCAGTTACCCCAGAGCCCGGAACTCCGACATCCACCACCGCAGTCCCAGGCACAACCCCAGCATTCCACCCGCCCCCTCCTCCCCAGGAATCGCGCACCACCCAAGCCGCACGCAAAGTGTCCAGCGACTCCAGCCCCGTCAAGCCCCTCAGCTCCTACCTTGACATCGAGAAGATCCGCGAGCTCCCAGCCAAAGAGATCGAAGCACTATGGCGTCTCCGCTTCGCGGAGAACCCGAACGCTATCACTGCCGCAATCCCCCTCGACACATACAAGCGCATGATGCAGTCCGCACGCGAGAACCCGCAATTCATCCTGCCCCTCCCGCGTCCGCAGACCGCCGAAGAAGCAGAGCAAACGCCCGAGGGTGTCACTGGCACCGCTGCCGATATTCACTTCCTTCAGTGGGCTTTCCACCCGCCTGCTGAGGGGTCGACTCTGTCGCCTTCGAATAACCACACCTCTACTGTGATCTTCACGAATCTGGGTGTTTATAAGATGCACGGCGCGTTTGCGCAGCCTCACACTACTATTACTCACCACCTTGATTTGGCGGATGAGAAGGGTCTAGTCCTTATGCATGGCCAGATCATTCCCGAGGGTGGTGTTTCGGCTACCGAGGCGACTTGGCTTGTTAGCTGTGTGCAGCGCTTCTATGACTTTGAGGGACTGGCTGCTGGTCGGAAGAGTGAGCTTGTTCGCATGTTCACCCGGGGTGATGTTGAGAACTTCAAGGTTGAGGAATTGTTGGTAGAGGCTGAGAAACTTCCTTAGTTTGTTTCTGTTGTACTAACATTATGGATTGTATTATATGTATCACTCCGTTCTATTTTGTCTGGTTTTATATATCTGCGGAACTTGTGACTGTCGTGTTTCCAATATTGGACACGGGTTTCTCCAAGAATTGGCCATTTATGATGGAACGGATGTAAAAAATGAAAAAATGTTATATTGATTTCCAATACTATTGTGCCTATTATCTGCGACCCTCTTATGGGTCAATCGCTCGTAAATTCCCAAGGCGGTATATCACAAATCACTTGGAATGGAGGCGATGTTCCCTCCCGATGTGGTATCCTGGGTCATCCAGGCCACACCTTGGGAGTCATCTGAACGCACTCTCGTATGCAAATATGAGATTGACTGATATCTCTTGTTATTACACGCCTCATCATTGATGCACGGTCAACGTTATATTGGGGGTTAAATCGAGTCGATAAATATACTAGTAGTGATATATATATTGTTGTAGCATGTCGAATTTATTCTACTTCAACTTATATTAGGTCATGGGTTATAAGAACCTCGCTGGAAATTATATCACTTCTAATATATATTCAATTATCAATAAGATGCCTGCCCTAAGATTTGATTATGATGAAGCCTGCTTAGACCCAGTCAGAATGTCAATTTCTACTTTTAGATGTACGAGAACATGTTCATTCTCACCGCGAGGCAATTGTCGCAAGGAAAATATATATAGGGCCCTGGAAATATATTTGGATGACTGGTGCCTTGTGCTGATAAGTCGCAAGTCTGCAGCCTGCACATCGAAAGATTCATGAATCAAATTATTACATTCGTACCGATTCCAAAGGATTCTCTCCGCTCGGTATTCGCACGAAATAAGTTTGCCGGAGCTGGCAGGCAAGATGAAAGGGAAAGGTTCGCCGAAAACAAAGCAGAGAAAAGAAAAAAAAAACACGGCCAGCGCCCGATCTTGAGCCAATATTGTAAACACCGCGAGTATAATGACAGTAGGCACGAGGAAACTAGAAGTAAACAAGAACTAAACATAAATTAGACAAGAAGATATAGAAAGAAGAAAAGAGCCATTCTCAATCAAATGGGAGGTCTGGCCCTCGACCAGGGCTTTGAGGTCAATAAAGGAAGCCATCAGGGCCATGTATGGGGCCATAATAAGCAGGCCGTGATAATTTGAACGGATGCAAAGTGAAATTCGTGTCTTGGTTGCGTGGCAGGGGTATCATGGTCATAATCAACAGTTCCTGTCAATTGATTCTTGTATTGTAGGGGCCGAAACCAGACGTCCAGATTGGCTGTCGAGATGGGGTGTTGACAGCCAAGCATTGGAGCAAAGCTTGTGCACTTCTTGGCGGAAAAGAAAACATGGGATGGGAGGCCTTAGGCAAAGGGTTCGCCAAAGGGGTTTCGAAAAACCCAAGCAAGATAGATAGTCACGTCGGTTTACTCCTTATTAGGTAGCACTTCTTCTGTAACGAAGGCAAGAATGTGCTCGAAGTATCCTGGCTCTGCAACAGAGTCATTATGACCGCCGTTCGGGAGTGTGCGCCAGATCTTGCATTCGGACTTGCATACGGCAAATAATTGGGTCATATTCGACGGGCTAAGGGAGGTTAGCAACGAAAACGCCAAGATTTGAGTAGAAAAACTTACGGAATAAGCTCATCCTTGAGTCCACTCAGGAAAAGAACTGGAGTTTTGGTGATCTTAGGCAGCACATCTTCACTGGTCCAATATTGGTGACAGAAACGTGCCAGATACCGTGCTGGGGGGAAGACACTGGATTTAGGTTAGTATAACTCGGAATCTTGCTAATAATTCGAAAACATACTTTGGGATCAACTTGCGAATGCTCAGGAAAGTGTTCTCCAGGATTAGTCCTCCGATATCACCGTGCTCCTCATTGGTGGCAACCAGATTGATAGCCACGGCACCACCTAAACTTTGTCCGTAGACAACAATCTCGGTATCCCTTGTCTCTGGGCGCTGTCGTAGATAATCAAGACCGGTTTGAGCATCGATCTTAATGCCGGCTTCGTCCGGTGTGCCTGTTGACATCCCGTACCCGCGGTATTCTAGCAGGAACACATTGCATTGAAGGGTATCCTGTACAGCTTTGGCGATGGGGACGCGATGTCCGATGTTGCCTGCATTTCCATGGAACATCAGGACTGTCACATTGCGAGAGTAGCGGCTTGGTCGTTGCCGGAGAAAAAGGGCGTGCAAGGACTCCCCGTCGGGCGTGGGGATCTGGAGGTCTTCGAAGTCACTGATGCCAAATTGGCGAGGACTGGGGACATTTGTGCGCGCATCCACAGGGACATTGCGGGGGTAGATTAGTTCACTGGGGAAAGTGGTTAGATTCGTAAACAAATGGCTTAGATCCCAATAGCGTACTTTTGCTTGAAATAGAGGAGTCCACTTGCAACAACAGCTAGACCAGATGACGCAAGAACTGGTAGTCGCATGAACTGTGCAGCACTGTTGGCCATGTTGCTGATGCTCCACGACGGAGGCGGAGGAGATTCGGACATGGCGCTCAAGTTGGGACTGTAAGAGTGGGGACCAGATAGAGGATCCGGCAAAACAAGGTCTGGGAGATTCAGGTATTGCGAAATTATTGACTAGCAGATATGGCCAATGCGACCAGAGATGATTACGGTAAGTCAATAGAACAATTCCAGAAGAAAAGGGCAAATTGAGCTTCAGGAATCTCGCGGGGGATGAAGATGATAAGTCGATCGCAGGGGCTGGGGCCTCTCACCGCCCGAGCTGCCGCGTTGTGAGCTTCTGCCTGTGTTCATGATAGCATCACCTCTACTTCTTCCCTTAACCTCCTTCTTCTCCTTGCCGTTTTATCTTGTCTATTGAAGTCATCTTTCTACATTTTCTATTTTCTCTCGAACACATCACAAAATGGTCGCCCCCCATGGAACATCAGGAATGCTCGGTGAAGGTGAGAAGAGCTATCGTCATCCGCCGACAGCAACCAGCTAACATCTCTAGATGGCATTCACGTCGACATGAACCACCTGAAGTCTGGCGAGGTCAAGTAAGCTATAATCATGATGATATATTTGCCATGGAGCTACACAACATGTACTAACCTATCCTTCTTCATTCAGCTTGGGAACCTCGATGTGAGTTGAGCTGGAGCTCTGCAACCTTACCATCCGCAAACATCCCCATTAACATTCCAACAGCATGGCTATCAACTTCAAAGACGGAGTCATCTTGGGTGCAGACAGTCGAACAACCACCGGTGCCTACATTGCCAACCGAGTCACCGACAAATTGACACAGGTGCACGACACCATCTGGTGCTGCCGATCGGGTTCCGCTGCAGACACCCAGGCCGTGGCCGACATTGTCTCCTACCATCTCAACATGTACGGCGTAACGAACGCCGAGGCCCCAACCACACAGGTTGCTGCATCGCTCTTCCAGGAATTGTGTTATGAGAACAAGGACGCGCTGAGGTTTGTATCCGAGTGGACCAGACCATCGCTCGACATTCATGCTAACTGATTGATAGTGCGGGTATCATTCTTGCCGGATGGGATGCACGACACGGAGGCCAGGTGTACTCGATACCGTTGGGAGGATCCCTTCACAAGCAGTCGTTCGCTATCGGCGGTTCGGGCTCGACCTACATCTACGGTTATACCGATGCCCACTGGCGGGAACAGATGACAGAGGAAGAGGGTATCGACTTTGTGCGGAGTGCTTTGCAGGAGGCGATTAAGTGGGATGGCAGCTCCGGTGGTGTCATTCGTCTCGTGGTCCTGACCAAGGCCGGTGCCGTGAGACATCTCTACCTGCCAGACAACGGCTACACTGGGCCGGGAGTGACGAATTAATAAGTGTTCTAATATTGCGTCAATCTCCAAATGAAATGGTTTCATGATCCCAGACCTCCGGTTTGCATTCTGCTATGCGCCCCCACTGGGAATATGTGTCTGAGCGCCAATATGACAAGTTTGAGACTAGTCGACGGGTGCTGCCATACCCCCACCTTTCTCATCGGGCTATGTAGGGAGAGAAGTACCGAGCAGATTAAGGACTAGATCGGAAGTGCTCGGCCAGCGAGCTATTGGGTCATCAGTGCCGAGTGTTCTTGGGGAAGAACATTATATTTATATACCCTGGTCCATCTGGTATTATAGTACTCCGTACTCCGTAGAACATTCCTAGATCTGTACTTTTCCATTAGTACTGCCCAGACCTTGGGAGATCGATAGGCCGAACATGCCACATCCTACATGCCGCACACAAACCTCTTATTTGATGCAAGTCTATATACCCTGGAAAAAGGGAAATGCATACTGTGTATCGGGGAATATGCACATTGTAATTATAGTTATATATCCCTTGAATCTCACTTTATTTCGGCTACGGATAAATCGCGCTCAGACATTTGTATATGTATCATCACTTGTCCACGGGCGCTCATATCCTTCTATCATTCGTCAATATAAGACCGAAAAAGCCTTGTATAAAGTCTACACCGTCTTTTATATGGCCCTTTTTAATGACAGGTAGATAACCTCTTTGAAAGTAGATGTTTCCTTTTTTTCTACTCCTTTTATTACATGTAGTCCAAACAAGAATTATACTTATAAAGTCTAGAAACTTGAATCTTGTCTCGGGGACCACACTGACCTCACTGACTTGATCTTGACCCAACTTGCCCATATTACTTACGCGTCCTTTTCTGTGTTCTGATCCTTCTGTTTTCTGTTCTATTCTCTATCTTTCTCTTCAAATGGATTCGATCGACAGTTGTTGATCCCACTCCGTGTTTTAGCTTACTTCCTTGAATTCCCTTGGGGGTAATCAAAAGTGTAAGACCCCTCTCTCTTTTCGTATATTGTATCATTTTATCTTTCTTGTCTCATCTTCCCATGTCCCATCTGTCCCATATGTCCCGTCTGTTTATGGCGAGATAGCCCGAGCTGCGACCGCCTTGCTGACCCGTGTTCCCGCAGAAAAACAGACCACGATAGCACTTGACATGGGCTCCGTTGTCGTCAACCACGTGCAGGATCATAACATGTTGGGAGTTAATTCGGATTCTTATGTGTCTATGGACTCTCACTCGACTTCCTCAAACACCCCCACCTCTGCCCCACCGTCCGTAGGCTCTGCCCGGCTTCCTGTGCATGCGAATGATGTACCGGCTTACATCAACTCATACACACCTTCACAAGCTTCTCGTTCTTCCGATACTCCTTTCACACAGCCGCCTTCAATGACATCTGATCCCTTTCCTCCTAACTACTCCTCCCGTACCCCGCCAACCCAGACCGAGAGCCACTACCCTAATCAGTCGGCGCCCGATTCACCGCGTCTCCAACCCACATACCAATCCATGCAGTCCGTGCCAGGCTCGGAAGCCAATTCACCGAGCCGCATTCGGGTCCAAAGCTTATCTCATATCCAAAGTCTCGCCAATGAGGACTTCATCGGACCGAGCTCACACCCTCCCGGAACTGGGTCACAACGACAGTATGAGATTAGCTCCATGCCGGTCACGGAGATCATCGAGATGGTTGCTGGACTTTTGACCAAGATCACGACCACAAACGATATGCATCATGAACACGTACATCGCCATATCCCCCCGCCCGATGGCACATCCAACCTCAGCCCGCAGGCCACCAGCGTCCTGGCATTCCACGGCAAGAATGTCCCGACCATCACCATCTTGAGTTATTTGACTCGCATCCACAAATACTGTCCTACAACCTACGAGGTCTTTCTAAGCTTGCTGGTCTACTTTGACCGCATGACCGAGCTGGTCAACCGCGATCAGCTCGAACACATGCACCAACGTTGGGACTCTGCCACGGGGTCTGAAGCTTCCTCCGAATCTACTGAATCCCCAGAAGACCACCAGATGCAGGATTCTCTAATGGCTACACCACCCCACTCAACAGGCTTTACTGCGCAGGACTCGCAAGGGTCGAATGCTTCAAATTCGCCTGGCCTTTCGCCTCAGTCGGATGCCGAGGCACTTTCACATTTCTTCGTCGTTGATAGCTTTAATATCCATCGACTGGTCATCGCTGCCGTGACCTGCGCGAGCAAGTTTTTCTCTGATGTTTTCTACACCAATTCACGTTATGCAAAGGTATGTGACTCGTATATCCGACTCGTGGATTACGACTAATGATTGGATATGCAGGTTGGCGGTCTTCCACTGGTGGAGCTCAACCACCTGGAACTGCAATTCCTCCTTCTGAACGACTTCCGACTCGCCATCACCGTCGAAGAACTAGAGTCGTATGGTACAATGCTCGTAGAGTTCTACGCACGAGAGGTTGTGACACAGCAACAACAACAGCAACATCACAGAAGCCTCCCCCGGGAGATCGCTCCCCCAGCCGACGCATACTCCGATGCCATGTACATGCGATCCCGCGATAAGCCTCGCGACCACGCCGAGTTCGGACAAACTCCGACACCACCGTAGCCCTTTCGTCGGATGTCTGAATTTGCCATTTCTACATGGCAAATTTCGTTTTTTCACCCCAGTCCATGATCCATCCTATCTTTTCATCCTTTTTTGCTATCCTTCGATACGTTGAGCGTTTGCTTATCTCATATCTCGCACTCGACCTTGTATCCATTCTGGTTTCTGGCGTCTCATACCCTTTCCCCCGCCACCGCGTACACAACACACCCTTTACACCTATCTGGATCTGTTTCAGCGCATTTACACGTCACGACTTGTATAGAGTTTTGGTTCTCAGCTGGCCGGGCTTTGCGGGTTGTCTCTTTACAACTATTCCCCTTCTTGCAACATACATAAACATCTACTTGATCTTGTTACTGGTCTTGTGAGTTTGTGCGGTTTTCTCTTATATTTTTCATGGGTTGGTGTTATGCTGGCGCTTTCTTGCATTTCGAGTTTGTTACAGATTACCTTGTCGTCTGCTTTAGGGGTAGTATCGAATATTCTTCTAATATGCTTCTCTTTCATCCTTTCATTTCTTTTTATCGTAGTTGTAGTCCCATGAATCTGTGAAGCCGTCCGAGTATATCAATTCTCGACCTTTGAGTTTGAACGTCTCGACATCGGACAATAATCCATATTGATCAGAATATCCGCCTTCATCCTTCCTATAGAATCGCACGTAATAAACCAATGTCGACTTCAAAAAGAAACACCCAAGACCACATGGCAGATCTCCGGTCCCAAAATCGGGCATTGTGGCAATTAGCCCTAAGTGACGAACTTCCCCGAAACACCGATCATACCTATCTGTATGGATACACAGAATACATGGTGTAGCTTTGACTCTAGAATGAACACAAAACTTGATTACCGTACGAACTCTACATCCACAGTATGGCCTCGAAGCGGCTCTGCTCGTTATGTGTGCCATTTCTTGGCCGTTGGAACTTGGAAACTGCTGTTATTCCATAGACAAAAAGGCAACCACATTCTCCCCCCAATTATCACTCCTGTCTTCTGCTATTTGAGAAAATACATGATCTGTGCTTAATTCTAATTCCGTTTTATCCAAGCCTCGTGGCTGTGTCAGTCTTCCTTCTGCACGCGTTTCCTGCCGTAGCTCCCGCCTCTGGTAGCTTGGCCTTAGCCCGTGAGGAAACGGGGACATCGACAGCCAGCTCCCATTTCCCTGTCCATGGGCGGAGGGTTCTCTAGCGGCAATCACTGCAGTCACAATTTCTCGGACAACAATGGCAACACGACACTCCTACGGACTGGTAAGTCTGACAATAGCCCAAGAAGAGCAGGCCGAACACTGACGATGATCATCCAGTCCTACTCACCCCGTATCAATCGTGACCACCACCATCACTGGGACAGCGAGTGCGTGTACCGCAATGAATACAGACTCCCCAACTACAACTAGGGATGTCCCAACAGGACCATCGACAGGCAGATATCCTACTGGATTCGTGATTCGTGACAACGACAGAGAAAATCGACACCTCAATAGCCACAATGCCCGATATGACCAGCACGCTCGCACACACTGAAACCGTAACCAAAGTAGGAACCGAAATCCTAGAGGTAATGCAGGCCATCAGCTCAGGTGATTACCCAGCACCGAAGTTGACTACGGGACTTGCTGGGACAAGACCATTTACATCTCACGTCTGGATAGAGATACTCGGTGGTCTGGACGGATACTCGTACACGAGTAATACCAAAGCTGGTATCGAATTCGATGTTCATTGGTTATTGACAATGTCACTGGTCTCATCGGTAACCGTATCTATAGCCCATGTGATGTGTCCCATGTTATGGTTGATCGGTACTAGGTACCTATACGATGCAACCTACTGTTGGGACGGTGTTTGAGAAGATTGGTAATACTTGAATGAACCTATGGCTTACGATTTGTAGTATTCAGCCCAGCAAGCACATAGTTAATTGAATTGAGCTTTTCTTGGCTATGACTTGTGGTAGCCTTGGAGACTTCTTTTTGAAACATGGTAGTGGATTTTTTGAGGCTACGAGTACTTCTCAATATTTTCTAATCATAATTGAACAGGCATCTCCGTTTGGGTTAGAAGGGTTCATTCCGACTCCAGCTGATCATACATGTGCTTGTTCTATCCTCATTCTAAGGTTGGAATGGAGAAGGAAAGGTGGGAAAGAAACCGCTGGTTGAATTGAGCTAATGACAGGGCGAGGAAGAAAGAGGAAGAAGGAGAAAGAAAGAGAGAAGAGAGAGCGAAGAGAGAGAGAGAGAGAGAAGAGGAGCAGACGAGGAGCAGATGTCCTGCCTGAGGAAGCAAGGCTGTCTCAACAGTTGTTGGTGTACATAGGCTTTCGAAGATAGTCCCATTCATCTTCCTTTCTTCTCCATGCCCCTCGCACTGCGAGAACACATGATGAAAAAAGAGAGAAATAAAAAGGTAGGAGGATACCACCGGATACTAATAAGTCAGTCAGTGCTGCCCCACAAATCGATGAGCAAAGGCATGAACGTACTCCATTCGCCAAAAAGGCGAGCTACCACACGTCCTGCTGCCTTCCGCACGTTCACAGACAGAGACGTTCGCCAATATCCTCCCCTGGAAGTCTCGGGGTTAGCATACAACGTCAAGGAGAGGAGTGGAGTATCCTTACCCCGAAAGACAAAAGGATCAAGCCACCACACGCTCTGCTGCCTTCCGCGCGTTCACAGACAGAGACGTTCCCTGGACCCTCCACCAGAAGCCATGCGATTAGTATGCAGTCAAAAACAGAGGAGTGGGATCATATTTACCTTCGAGGGGAAAAAAGAAGAAGTCAAGCACCACACGTCCTGCTGCCTTCCGCGTGCTCACAGACAGAGACATTTGACCGACCTATAACATCTCAGCACACAAAGTAGGAAGGCCTTGCGGCTCAACCATGCTGTCTTCACAAGGATTGAGGCAATGGATCTAAGGGGGAAGTATAGTTACTAGACGCTCTGCTGCCCTCCGCGTTCTCACAGACAGAGACGTTTGTTCGGTAAAATCTACCGCGGCGACGCCCACCAGCCACCTAGAGTTGATCATCGTCATGTCAGCTCTTGGAATCGTCAGATGCTTGGCAAGGACTTACCCTCGTCGCCATCCAATTGAGCCACCACACGCTCTGCTGCCTTCCGCGCGATCACAGACAGAGACGTTCCCAAACCCTCCCCCGGAAGCCATGTGGTTAGTATGAAGTTAAAGAGAGGAAGGGGTGGAATTAGACTTACCTTGGAGGAAAAGGATGAAACCGAGCACCACACGTCCTGCTGCCTTCCGTGTGCTCACAGACAGAGACGTTGCCCCTAAATTCCAAAAGAAAAGCAAAAAGAAACAGAAATCAAACGGCAAAAGCCTCATCTGAACAGAACAGGGCGATAGCGGAAGCATTTTTTTTGGGGGGTTTTCTTTTCTCAAAAAGCAAACGGCAAAAGCCTCAGCAGAACAAAACAAGACACAGAAAGAAACAAGAACAACATGAGAGCGACGGAGGAGGGAGGAAGAGGAAGCCATGCCGAGAGGAACCGGGATGACACCGAATGCCGACGGGCAGCATCAAAAGAAGCATGTCCCATAGATAAACAGGAGCACAAGTGCCGCAAAGATGACTGGCGTGATCCATGGGAAGAAGCACATCACCACAACCGAGAGCCCACAAAGGTTGAAGAAGCAGGTGACCGAGAAGGGGCCAACCTCGACGTGGGTCTCGACCGCACGTACAGGACGAACTTTGTGAGACTTGCGAGAGTGGGAAGCAACCATGGACCTGGGCACAGGTGCAAGGGATGATACATCAGAGGAAGCATCAAGGTCGGGAAGTGCACGCATCAGAGAGGACATGTCGGAGGAAAACCCATGTGGCGCAGGGGCAGACTCAGACAGGGCACTTTTCAGCGAGCCCATACCGAAGGCGGCATCCGGGTCCGGGAGGGCATCCATCAGAGAGGTCATGTTGAAAGTCGGGTCAGGATCAGGCAGTGCATGAAGCATCGATGACATGTTGAAGGCAGACCCAGGCGATGAACTGGCCGAGGCAGGCGCAGTCAGGGCAGTCTTCAGGGAATACATATCAAAGACGTCATGCAGTGAACCATCGGTGACAGGCTCAGGCACTGACCCATTGGAGGAAGGTGCAGATCGTGGAGAACGGGGCTCACAACAATAGGCAGCGGCGAGATGACGGGCACGTACAATGCTCACCCATCGGGGCTGGGTGGCGTAGCGAACACGAGAGTGCCGCCCGGCAAGCTTGCGAAGGAACCGCTGGTTGGAGCTCGAGGAATCCGAAGTTATCATGATGAAAAACTTCGTCTCCGAGACCTGACCTCTCTTGAGGATGGCCTTGCGCCGGCGTCCGCGAGGTGGGATTATCCTGACCCGCTGGAGGAGGCAGTCGTCGTCCGGGAAGTGTACTGTTTTCCGGACGCGAGGCTCTCCAGAGGGCGAGGACTCCGCATCAGAGCACGAAGCGGCGAGGCATGATTTCGAGGGAGGTGGCCTGGCTTTGGAACACAGGCGAGAAGAGAGACGAATCCTTTTGTCAAAGGAGGAGGGGTGCATGATGAAAAGAGGTTTGAAAGAGATGAGAAATGGTTTTGGTAATCAAAAGCTAGTGCAAATGAAAAAAAGGCCAGTGGCATGGGGAGAGGAGAAAGGAGAGAAGAAGAAGAGGGGGGGTGGGATAAATAACATCTTGATATTCCATGGCAACGGGCAATGGCAACAGGAGGCTACTATGGTTTGATAAAGAGAACATGAAGCTATACAGGAAGGTACGATGATAGATGGTGGCCATGGAAACGAACCCAGTTAGGGCAAGGAAACTATATACCGAGAAGGAGCGATAATACTACTTTACTATACATGTATGTATATTAGAACATATACCCAAGTTGACAAGGATTATCAAATTGGTGCAAGTTAGGGCTTGGTCATGCATGGGACCAAATATACTCTTCTTTCCAAAGCTGATTTGATATGTCATTTTCGCTGTACTGGCTAGAAGATGGAAAAAGACACCAAAAAAGATATCAAAAAAGATATCAAAAAAAAAACGCCGGAAAAGACACACTGGCGAATGCACCCAACAAGGGTATCAGATGCTGTGAGGGCCCATGTTTATTATACTTGTATTGATATCAACTTTGTCTTCATTTCGAGGTCAATATCATCCACCATATACAGTACGACCCCAGCACTCATGGAAGTTTCCCCTTGAATCAGTACATAATTAGACCCCTTCAAAGATCAGGCTGTACAGGGGTATTTATGTCTTAGACGGGGCAGCTATCCATCAGAGAAAAATGGCCTCTCGACCTAGGAATCTGATTGTTGACTCCGTTACATTGAGTCGAAAAGAACGAGCATGGTGCTAATTTTTACAAAAGATAACCATAACAAGGCCCGAAAGCTCAAAGTAGGCGGAAGCCTTACACACAACGGATTGTGTGTGATACAAATGAATTCAAAATAAAATCGCTCAACCTGGGAACCGCCTGCACTCCACCGGGTCATAATGATACATGCATTTCTTCTCAATTTTCCAGTGAGCATCAGTAGGTAAAGGCTCACGAGAACAACGCTGGTCGGGCGATATATTGCACTTCCTGCTCCTCGAACTGTACTCCATTAGTCACATGATCATTCATTCGCCCCAATAGATCGCAAAAGAAGAAAGAAAACGTACCTCCATGAAATCTGTAGCAGTAACAAGAGCCATGAATGCCTTGACTAGTTCACATAAAGTGTCGTGGTGGGCGGTTGACGTATTTCCGATCTTGGCAGATCGTTTGAAGATACCCACCATGCATGGCCGGTTTTCAGCCAAAAATTTCCGGGTCTGTTCCTTAAGTTGTTCGTTTTGAATACCTCGGGAGAAAACCGCGTACACGATGACCTGAAGGACTGAAAGGAGAAGATCGTAATACCTCTGAAGGGCGTCGGGATTGTCGATGTCTGAGGGGATTAGCAAGGTATAGTTAGGCAGGGATATGACCGACTCACCGATGCCGATATCTGGATCAGCAGCGAAAAGTCGTGATTCGTGCACAGCTTGGAAGAGACCAGAGTTGAGCACACAATTTGCTCCGCCCTTGGTTTGAGAAAGTCGTTGGAGTAATGAAAAAAGCGACTGATAGTATGCCAGTAGTGCCGGGGTGTCTAAAGTTTTGATTAGTTGAAATAAGGTAACTGTTTCGAAGGGGCAAGACTGACCGCTTTCCTGGGCATTGTGAAGTTCCAGGGGAAGAGAACGCAAGGCATCTAGGAAAAGACTCAAGTAGTTGGAACCTGAGATTAACTCAGCCAAAACACAGTCGGTTTGACGATCAAGAACAGCGAGGCTGTTCAATAAGACAAGAGCGGATGCACGGCACGATTCCTGGCCAGTATAGGCGTCATCACACATGGTCTCAATCAGGCCAGAACCGGCCGCTTTGATGACATGTTGGCTAAGACGCCGTAGGTTTTCGTGGCCGTTGTCCGACGATGTGATGCGTGTTATGTAGTGAGAGCAAATACTATAGAGCGTTTCTCTCAACAAAACATTTCCTGTTGCCAGGTTGGTGCCTCGGATGCAGAGTTGGAAAAGCTGGTGGAGCTTTTCGTCGATGACATCCCCGCTTCGAGACGCATCTGTTGGCGATGCTCCGGATGCAAGTCCACCGATCAACAATTCAGCCAACCGCGCCAGTTCAAGTGCTTCGGGAAGATCAGCCTCGATTGCCATTGTAAGCTTGGGGAGGATTAATTGGACTGAGTGTAGAATGAAAGCCGGCCTGCTTCCTTCATCGATAGCGGAGCAAGTGACCATTGTAGAAATGAGCTCTACCCAGGAACGGAGGGCGTGATAGCGATTGGTCTGAATCTCATTTCTCTGATTTATTCCACAGACGAACAACCTCAGGTTATCGGTCTCAGCTACCAACTGCTCCTCGTCCTGCGGGCGGAGCGGTCCATTGGCTGTGAGCTCTGCTTTCCGCACTTGTAACATCTCCTCTACCCCTTCTATGCGGGAAATGCCCTTTTCCCGTTTGTTTTCTAATTGAAGAGCAATATCACCCAGCAAGGAGAATTGGGGCAGGTTGAAGTCGGGTCCAACATCAAGGTCTGCAAAATCGAAAAGATCAAACACGGACGGACTAGACATAGGTTCACCGTTGTCTGCAAGCGTGTTTCCGAGCAACACCGACAGAATTTGGGCATGTAGAGCCGGTGATCTAGCCTTTGCTGTGGAGCGAACCTCGGTCGCCGCATATGTGTACAGGTGACTTCGGTAAAGTAGAAATTCCGCCATGGCATTTGCACCGCCTTGGAACCAAAATCCCCCTGCCGCCTCAACGGGGAACCCATCCCAGGTAGTGTTCGGCCCAATGATGGGTTGGTAGGCAAACATATCGCGTAGGAATGCCTGCGCACGCATTTCAGCAAGGGTGTAGAAACTAGCCAGCTTCGATGACCACAAATGCTTCAGCACTTCAAAAGCCATACGCTTGAGGTACACTACCCAAGATGTAATGTCACCGACAACCATCCCGGGATCAGACTTCAGGTACTTCACGATAGCATGTAGCAAGGAATTTTGATTTGCGAATAGCCCTTCTGATGAAACATCAAGAATATTGCCCACGCAGTCGAAGCCAAGCAGTAGATGGGCAACCGTAGGGCGATCTGTGATCGTTCCCAGGCAGCTGTTCAAAAGAGCAAGAAGACGATCGCGAATGACATAGCCCGCGGCATCTCGGCCGGCATCAAGTTCTCTCACATCAGGCTGCATTTGTAATACAAGAGGCAGTGATATGCTGTCCACGTCGACCTCGGATGCAAGCACTTCCACAATCTTGTTCGAGGATTGCCACTTGACGAGTTCCGGGGAGGTCATCTTGTTGAGCTTTCTGGAACTTGTCAGCTTTTCCAGTAAAACCATGGAAGCGACGGTAAGTTGTGCATGCCCCGTGCTACAATAGAGACAAAGTGACGGGATGAGTGTCAGATTGTTCAGCACGGTGTCCTCAAATGAAGCAAGCGAAGAGTTTGCCACGATGGCCCGGGATGGTCCAGGCTGGGAGTGTACCAAAGGCTTGACAATGTTAAAGTATGTCGATTGAAGGTCGATAAGCAAGTTCATGACGTTCAGACTCCGCTGCAAGGTCAGAACCAGAACAGAGTCGGACGACGCAGTAGCAACATCTGAAACGTCTTGTTTCGAGGTTGCAAAAAGAGCTTTGAGGACATCTTCGTTGAAAAGCCAGTCTACCACGCGGGCAAACGGATGAGAGCGAACGTACGTGAGCAGCGACGATGTCTGCATCGGGGAATCGGACACGGACGGTTGGCTCAGAAGTAACACTAGATCTTCATTGAAGGATTCCAAGCTTGCCACAACGAAGTCCAGGCAGTTGAAGGTCAACAGGCGGGATTGATACTCGTTGAGGTCCTGAATCTTCCGTGAAAAGGCGTGCCCCAAGATGAAATCGATGTATGGTTCAATCCCGGACATACGATAAGTTCCACCTAGGGTCTCCGGGAAAGGCAATGACATTGGGTCATCAATTGAGTCACACGAGGGAGCAGCAAGCGCATTGACAAGAACGACAAATGCATTCGTCTGGTCAAAGCTCTCTCCGATCTTTTGCAGGGCTTGTTGTTGGTGCCACACGGCAGGGTTGGAAACCAATGGCACCTTGCCAATGCCCGATGCGCCAGTGCCTCCCGATAACCACCCATCAAGGCGGATCCATGTTTCCTTCCCAACGGTGGAAGTCTTTTCAGTCATCAGTGCTGAGAGCGTTGAAAAAACAGTTGCCCGAAGATGCGATGGAATTGGCCCACTGCATAAGTCTAAAAGGGTGTTAACTGCATTAAAGGATTCGTTCTGCAGCATCCACTCCCGAATATGTCGACTCTGCTTGCACAGATGACCTATCAGCCGGAGGTAGCATGTCAGCATCACGGGGCTCTCAGGCTCGTTCATTTCTACGGGCTCTGGTTTCCGTGGACGAAATATCCCTGGCACCCCCTCGGGGATTGTTGTAGTGGAAGGATTCTCAGTGACCCGAGATGCGTAAAGCTTTAGTTCAGCGAACATTTGCGACCAATTCATTGTTGTGGATCGCTTGAACTTGGAGGACATGAATTTGTCTTCCTCCGATAGGAACCGATGCGCCGCGGCTGCGTTGTCTTCGCCTTCAGAGATCGAACACAACATTTCGCAAAAAGCGCTGACCCGAGGAACAGTCTGTCGTTTGGACGCCCACTGAAGGAAGCCATAAAGGTTACCATCAGGATCAGCCCAGAATTCTTCAGCGGCATCTTGTCGGTGTTCAAAGGCGAATGAGATTATCATGAGGAAGGACTCGAGATGAGTCCGCACCTCTACCAAGCCACGGTGAAGGTTAGAAGTGAGGCCATCTCTGAGTGCAGTGATCTGGTCTAGTCGCTGTGAGTCCTCTTCCGACTTCAATCGTCGGACCGCGTCAGGCATATTTGCAACGCATGATTCCACGAAAACCTCGAGATTTTCCATCAGCAGTTCCTTCATAAAACCAGAGCATGCCTCAGGATCGGGCAATGATACGACGCTTTCCCTGAGTAGTAAGGTCACCAATTCGCTCCGTGCGGGGTCCGCCCATTCTTCGGTGTTGACGCTGGAGCAGATTGCAAGCATGAAGTCAAGCGCGCCATCGTCGAGAGAAGACATGAACGTTTTCGTACGCTCTTCAGATTCCTTCTCTGCGTCGATTGATGGGGAAGAAAGACCATCAAAGTACCATCCACTGTAGACTGAGAGCCACAGAGCAACAACGGCGGCGTGGAAATTTGGAAGCTTCCAGCTTTGGCCATCCTTGGATGCAGTGATTAATTTGTGTAGATCTCGTGCCTCCTTCTCGGATCCAGAGCCCTCAGGAGAACCATGCTGGACAAAAGACACAATTGTGACTGGAATGTAATGAAACAAGAGTCCGTCAAAGCGATCAATGTTCTTCAACTGACTCACAAGTATGCGGAAGTCTTCGCAGCTTGTGTATGTCCCTTTGAACATATAGAATAGGATCGCCCCGAGTGACTCATGCTGTTGTTGCAGACTTAAGCGTTGGAAAATAATGGCTTCCATGATATCACGGTCATTTTCCTGGCCAACGACTGAGGCCTTTTGAACTTGATCTCCAAGAAGTGACAGCCATTTCTCTATATCGGCCATGGAACTCAAGGCTTTCCGCGCGAAAAGGGAGGCATTCCGCAAAGAGTTGTTTTTGATTTCCAGAACATGAGCCAGTGTTTCATGCATAATAGGGGGTGTACTTTCGCGTTCAACGACACGCGATTCTTGGAAGATGAGGCGTAGACACTCGAGGGTATAAAGGCGGCGCTCGTGGAAGCTTATTATCGCAGCTATCAGCGGAGGCCTGTCTAGCACGTGTGCATCTTCCTGGGCAGCCAAAAACATAACCGCTGCTTCGATTTCATCGATATCGAGCGCATCCGCAAGCTGCAGTACGCCTTGCTGGAAATCCTGGTTCACCGAGTATTCAACGTCGGCAATGGTGATCTTCCCTAGGATATCGCATTCGACATTAGTAGCTTCTCAAAATGGACGAACAGAAGTTCGTGGTGTAACAAGATAGCAAATGAGCACTTACCTGAGAGAACTGCTTGACGGCTGGCATTGTTCTTTGCGGGCTTGTCGAGCAGTTTGCGGAAGTCTTGAATATGGGTCTCCAATTCGAAACACAAGCGATCGACATTGGGGATTTGAGAGTCTGAAAGAGCAGATAAATCCTGATACAGGCCGTGGAGGCCATCCCGTGTGTTGTGGAGCTCTTCCATGACGGCGGGGTGAAGTTGGGAAGTGAAGCTCGAGCTCACTGTTTGTTCTGAGAGTCAAGGAAGGCGGGAACGCGACAAAATTCGGGCGGTGGACAGCTTTGACAATTACTGCCACTCCACTTTCCACCACAATCACTTCGCGCTTATCGACTCGATTGGCTCGCAGACTGGTTAATTGATCTGAGATGTCTTTTTCTGCCAGAAAGAAGACGTGTTGAGGCTCAAGATTTTAAGGGAGTTTTTTTTGCCCGTCGAAAAAAGACACGATGGGGGAGGTCTTTCTCGACAAGACAATTAGCCTACTCTCGTCAGACAAGCAGAAGGCCCGCTCGGACGGTTTGGCAGGTTTGATAATTTCTATCTTATCTCATTATTGAAAGACCGATGCTAACTTCATTGGTAGATTTGAAACACATCTTCCAGCAGAACAAGAAGAGCTCCAAGCTGTAGGTAGTCAACTACCCCCAAATGAACTGCGCCAAGCTACCAATCAACTAATCATCCACCTACATAGACAAACACTCAATGATAAAGCTTGCCACAAGATCTTCGAATCACTATTCCGTTTCGTCGCAGCAGAAAGGTCAATATATAATCGAAACCAAAAGTCCACGAACACACCTTCTGCATCGCGGCTTTCGACATGTGCTTCCGTACTCCGAATGGCGGTTGACCTCTTTCTGAGAAATTTGAGAATCAAAACAGTCCGTGCCATCTTCGACCACATTACTGAGACAATACCAGTCCCCGGGGAAGGTCTTTGGGAACCTCTGAGCCTGGACTATACCAAATGTTTGGCCTCGCTTCTACGCTACCGTCCTCATACTGAGCATCTTGACGAGGAAGATTGGGAAAACCTCATGAGCTTTTGTCTTGCCAGTATTAGCCCCCGGGAGAATGAAGACAGTCAACTGAGTATTCGAAGCGGTTATCGATCCGTCCCCGAAGATCAAGATGCCAGCGACAGCCGTTCTACCCCCTCAAGGATGACCATCGCCCCTACCTCAGTCAGCAGGGAAAGTCACGGCAATAGGAATGTCATTGAAGAAGTTGTAATCTGTATTCAACTCTTGACAGCTTGTCCGAACCCCCCTCTGCAAACTACGGCCCAAAGGATACTTCACGGACTTTCGGAGTTTGTCGAGTCACCTGTAGCTGGAAATGCACACCAGCTCGCGTTCAATAGCATCAATGCAGTCGTTACAAAAGTCATGTTTGATCAATCCGAACTTGTCCGTTCAGTTCTCTTGGGCTTGGTTCCAGTAATTCGACGCCTATGGGCCACTAGGTTACAGATTCTCAAGGACGAGTTGCTTGCCACTTTGATGCTGTCGATGGTCGTCCTTGTGGACATTGCTCGGAAAGACCCATCTGAATCTCTGGCGCACGACATCGAAGGATTGGCCAGTACCCTTCATTCGGAATATGTGAGACGATCAGAAAAGGAGATCCTACAAATCGATGAAACAACACTCTATCAAAATGAAGCATGCCAGAGCAGACCAGTATATGGGCCTCGCCTTGGGACTTCCAGATCTGAGCATCACTGGACAGTCCTCTGGTTGATTTCAAAGCTGCTCAAACTCTCAGAGGGTATACATACCCGAATCAAGTCTGGATCAGCACGCCAAGGCTCAAGCAAAAGGCAACGTTTCAGTTCTGAGATCCAGGACATATTTCGAGATTCGGTCTCGGCCACCGGCACAAGGAGACTATGCGCATTACAACTCATCCCATTTCTTGAATCCGAGGTTGACATCGAGACCAAGGAACCTTTTTTCATGCAGCTTGTTTTGAACATTACTGACGGCAATGGCGCTGTGTCATCATGGTCAATGGTTGCTCTGACGAGGTATGTAAATAATTACTGAAAACAATACCTGGCACCGCACCGAACTGTCATACGAAAAGCAAAACAAACGCCCTAACTTGCGCATAAAAACAGTATTGCGAATGGAGCTAGTGCCCAATCGCCAGGGATTAGGTCCCACTGGCCACGAGTAGTCGAATTTACTACGCGTGCATTCTCATCTCTGGTAACATCGAGAGCTGCGTGTAACCTATTGAGTATGATTTTGCAGTCAGACTTACTGGATTACTCAGTGGCTATGGAAACGATGCGGTCACTCTTGACTTCTGCCAATGGACCATCTGCCATCTCAGACTCGTCTTTAAGACTATGGGCCTCAATTGCACGAATGAAGACACAACTTGATCCTGGGTCGGCCCAGCAGGTCTCGATGCAGATATGTGGCTGGCTGAGAGAAGTTTGGGCTGGTACGAGACTCCGAAATGATGTTTTCGTGATTATTGGCTCTGACAATCAAGTTGCAGGTTCGGTGACTGATCGAATCCAGACAGCCCGAGTGGCTGCATATGCCCGTCCGTTGGACTTACTGGACCTATTTTTGTCATGCACTAATCGATCTTTCGCCATTCCTCGTTATCAAGTCACAGGACCAACGGGGCATATAGCCTGCACTTGGTTTTTTCTTCATGAGAACCGTGAGTTGTTGAAGTATTGTTTTGATACCAGTTCGGCCCCAGAAAACCCCTGGGGTCTACAGGAAATATGGTCCTTGGAGCAATTCTCTAGGCAAGACCCTGATGATATAGTGATCTTGGATCTGCTTCGGGTGAAGTCCGAGGCGTTTTCACACGCATGGCACGCTATGAATGAAGAAAGATCACATATCACCCCGGATAACTTGCAGATTCTCGCGTCCTTTTGTGTTGTCGCTTCCCTCTTCATGGCATGTCTTCCTCAATCATTGCAAACTCGATCTCGATCACAAGATCTGCATCAGAAATGTCAGAGTTTGTGGCACGCCATATGCGACTTTCTGGCAGCTCATACTCATGAGCCCGCTTTCATGCAATCTTGCCTAGAATTGCTGTCGCCGCTCCTCGGTCCTTTAACAGGCTCTAACACCTCCCCTGCCATCCAGATTAGTCTCAAAGAGCTCGTTACTCCACTTTCCAAAACACTCGAGCATTTCCGCCAGAGCTCAAAGAGTCCATATGCAGCCGAAGATCCTATGGACCTGGATCTGGACGACCGATTCATGGCTGAAACCCCACTAGCGACTGATGAGACCATTCTTACCTTGAACCGAAATTCTCTGTCTATCTTCCTTGACCCTGTTACATACCAACGCTGCGTAACCATCCAACTGTCGATATTTCTCAGAACACAGGCAGATTCTGGCTCGTCGTCATCTATCGCTGAATACCTGACAGGATTGGGTGAAGCGGATATCCTGGCCGCCCAAGCTATTTTACCCGATATTTTCCAGCTGTGCTCGAAATCGGAGCCCTCAGAGCTGCTTTCTATGCTCGAAGATTTGGGTGAAAAGTGTCTACAGTCTTATGAAATGGAGCGGTGCGAGGCTTCACATTGCGTTTGCATCTGCATGATGACCAGCTTTGTCGACTCCTGGACAAATGGGCCTGACGATACCTTGAAAGAGTCGGCTATGGACTTGTACAATTGGTTTATGGAAGTTCTTTTGGCCCGGAAAAGAGCTGCCCCAAAGGTCTACATTGCGTTAGCCCAGCTCATCCATGGGGTGATTGGCACATGCCCCTCATATGGCAATGAGCAGTCTCTTCCATCGCCACGAACAAGTTTATTCACAATCCTTCGAGAAGGTGATGTTCAGGTCAAATTCAGCGTTGCGAAATTTATCCCTGCGTTATTTGAGCGGTTCCTTCTCAAGGACCACGATGCCATTTTCGATGATGTATTGGAAAGTTTGCCGCGAGACCCGGAATGGATCGAGGGAATTGCAGTCCGCCTTTTCGTGCTTTCGCAGTTAGCTTCCAGATGGCACACTCTGCTACGAAGAAGCATCTACCATCTATTCGAAACCCCAGCTCAAGTACCCCTATCACTGTGGTATGCCGAGAGATGTATGGTCTCTGTTTCTCGGACCCTTGGTCTGCAAGATGCTAAAGAACTTTTCCGACTTTTCTCGTCTCAGATACTCTACACGTGGACTGAGACACAGAGTATCTTGTCTATGCCATTTAGTATATTTGGGTATGACAACCTTCAAAACATGCTGATGGACGTCAAAGATGAAATCGTTGGACAAATGATGATGCGTGCCAAGGAGCAGGAGACAATTGAGCTTGCGAAACACCTTCAAATTCCACATCTCGAGCTATTGGCGGCCTCCTTTCACAAGGCCGAGGCATACAGCATTGCACGAGATATCAGTACTCCTCCGGGGCAAGGCAGTCAGCCCAAGGGTGTTGAGATCCGTCTGCGGAAACTTCTCGGGGCAGACCAGTTCATGACACAAATCGAGAGCCAATTCCCCCTAATTATCGCCGCATTCTTCAAATCACTCGACTACTATGACCAGATCGAACGGGCATTCTCAAAGCGTGAAGACTTCGGTTATGCGCTCGACATTCAAACGCAAATAATCAATAAAAGCACGTCTCAAAATGCATTGCCAGCAAATCAACAGCCCTCCTTTCGAGCACGCTATCTCCTGGATGAGATCGAGTTTCTTTGCAGACGCACTGGTTTTGAATTCGAATTAATATGGACACCATCACTGGTGTCTTTTGTCTGCCGTTCGCTGCTTGAATCCATACATCCCGCCCTTGGCTCCCTTCACGCTTGTTCTGTGATCCGCAAAATCAGAATTTTAGCATGTGTGGCTGGCCCCATCATACTTAAAGACTATCCTCTAGAGATGACACTCAGCTCTTTGCGACCTTTCCTTAGCGACATTCATTGCTCTGAGGATGCTCTTGGGGTTTTCTGGTATCTACTCGAGGCAGGAAAACCATATCTCGAGATGGCCCCGGGATTTACTGCCGGTATTGCTGTCTCAACACTAATCACCCTCCGCAGAATATTTTCTTCGTTACCTGAGAACACCACTCAGGAAATTCAGTTCAGAAAAGTACAGTCAAATGCACGAGAATTCTACCAATGGCTGGTCGAGCTCCTTGGAGAGCTCCGTTCTTCTGATTGGGATACAGAGACGAAAATATCATTTGATCGGCTTGTCTCACTTGCTGAGAAATTCTCGACGCCTGAGGGCTCTTCGGGTCGACAGATTGGGAAGGAATTGGTCTTTGAAGTTCTCAAAGACCGCGATTCTGTGACTTCGCTGTTGAGTAAGCCTGTGGCGGATCTTGTTCTGTCGCTCTTATGTCCCGAGTTCGAGACATCTGACACTGGGAATTGGGTATCGACTGAAGATCTGGATCTCGCTTCTCATGTTGTATCTCTATGGCACACACTCCAAAACTCCAATGGAGGATCTCAATATCGACTTTGGGCTGCTCGGGTCATCGGAAGATCCTTCGCTGCCACTGGGAAAATTAATCAACTGCTCCTGCGAGAACAGGATCTCTCCCTCTTCCAGTCCCCCGAGTCTTCTTTGTCATCTGATATTTTCTGCCATTCTAAGGCCAGAATTCTTCGGGTGCTTTGCGATATGCTGCATGTGCAAAAGCATTTTGAAGCAGGCTTGGTTGAGCGTACTTTACAGCTGATCGTCAGCAACATCGTCAATTATCCAGACTTCAAAGGTTGCAGCGAGGTGATTCCCGAATCCCTGATGAAAGCCCTCATATGGAACCCATACACGTGCCCCGCAGTTTCACTGTCAAATTCGGAGCAAGAGAGATGCGAAAATGCAACAGCCAGCGCCTCCGGGTTGTCGGTTGCTGACTGGGCTCGCAACGTTTCCCTGTTCTTATCGAATGCTGCTTTAGAAGACCCAGTCATTGGCTCTCTTCGCAAAGTTCTCAATGTGACTCCTGGTTTAGCGGTGCAGCTGTTGCCATTCGTGATTCATGATGTTTTGCTGTCAGAAAGGGACGATAAAGACGAAAAGGGGGAGGTCCGAGAAAATATCTCTGCTGCTTTCCGAGATGTATTGTGTGAAGTTGGCGAGGAAACATTACCTCACGCTCGGCTTGTGATCAACTGCATTCTCTACCTTCGCAATCAACCCGTGCCAGATGAGTCAACTATAGTCCAGCGCGATAAATGGCTTGATATTGAGTTCGGAGAAGCATCTTCGGCTGCGCATCGCTGCGGCTTGCATAAAACCTCACTGCTTTTCCTGGAAATACAAACATCCCGAGTGGTTACAACATCTCGTCGGTCATCTGTCGTTAGATACGAGCCACCGCCCGCTTTATTGCATGATGTCTTCAAAAACATTGATGATCCGGATTTGTTCTATGGCATTCAGCAGAGCTCGTCTTTGAACAGCGTCATGGAACGGCTAGAGTACGAAAGCTCCGGATTCAAAAATCTCCTGTTCCAGAGTGCAAAATACGACAGTGAAATCCAGATGTCTGACAATGCGGAATCATACGGAGTGTTGAAAGCTTTGAATGCTACCAACCTTCAGGGCATTGCCAATACTATGCTCTCCGCCTCCAGCAGTGCAAACGATGCCCCTGTTGCCTTTGACAGCATGCTGCAAGCTGCAACTAGTCTTCAGAAATGGGATGTTCCAGTATCTCCTTTGGATTCGTCCCCGTCTGCCGCTGTATTCCGTACATTCCAAAACCTCAATACCTCGGGTTCTCTGCTCGAGGTCACTAGCTCAATTGAAAGCGGTCTGTTGACAACTCTAGGCTCTCTTCTTAAAACCAGTGGATCCGCTATTCAGCTGCGGAGCTCAATGCGCGCGTTGGGAATTATGACTGAGATCAGCGACACTTTGCACTCCGCGTCATGTGAAGATATGGAGGAAGGATGGCAGAATATGATGGCGAGAAGCAGCTGGTTGAAAACGGAGAGGTGCGTGTTTGCCTTTTTAAACCTATCTCCAGGATACATACTAAATAGAGCAGCTATCATGAAGTTGGGGAAATTCTGTCTTGGCATGAGGCGTTGTTTTCATCAGTCAGGAAAAGCGACATTCTGAAATCACGGGCAAAATTGAGTCTTGGGGATTCGCGACTTCTAGAAGCGAAGGTCATTCGACAGTCTCTGGAAATCACAAGAGCTCATGGTATCTCCCAGGCGTCTCTCAAGTCTGCGATGAGCCTTTCGAAGCTTGCAGAACCGTGCGCAGCGTTGGGAATGAACATTGACGGGGCTGCAAACTTTGATCTTGCCAATGTCCTATGGGACCAAGGAGAGATGACTGCGTCCATTCGCATGCTCCAGCAACTGAAGGGCCAGAATGGCCTTCATAAGCAGGCAATCCCTCTCAGTCGGGCCGAACTTCTCGTGACTTTGGTAAGTTGAATCTCCTTGGACGATCTTTCTATTTAAAGTGCTAATGATATCATGTTTAGGGTCACCATGTTGCTGAAGCACGCTTGGAAAAGCCTGACTCAATTCTTCAAGAGTACCTATATCCCGCGGTCAAGGAGTTGAAAGGAAGTTCCGACGGAGAAGAGTCTGGACGGGTTTATCACGGGTTTGCAACCTTTTGTGATCAGCAGCTACTGAACCCTGATGGACTGGAAGATTTCAAGCGAGTCGAACAACTGCGTAACCGCAAGGAGAAAGAAGTCCTTGGCCTGGAAGACATGATGAAGAACGCAACAGGCAAGGAAAAAGAATACCTGAAGAACTATCGGGCCAAAGCAAAGCAATGGTTCGACCTTGATGACCGCGAATACCAACGTTTGCTGCGGAGTCGGGAGGCTTTCCTACAGCAGTGCCTCGAAAATTACCTTCTCAGTCTGAGGGAAAGTGATGCTTACAACAACGATGCTCTACGTTTCTGTGCACTCTGGCTTGACAAATCAGACAGTGAGACTGCAAATTCAGCTGTTTCTCGGTATCTCAACGAGGTACCCAGCCGGAAATTTGCACCATTAATGAACCAGCTTTCGTCTCGCCTACTGGATGTCGCCGATGACTTCCAGGGATTGCTTACTCAATTAGTTTTCAGGATATGTGTTGAGCATCCTTTCCATGGCATGTACCAGATTTTTGCTAGCAGCAAGTCCAAGGGAGGGAAAGATCAGTCGTCTCACTCGCGTTTCCGTGCGGCAAATCAGCTTGTGGATCGTCTAAAGAACGACAGTCAGATCGGTCAGACTTGGATTGCTGTGCACAACGTGAACATCAGCTACGTGCGATTTGCGATCGACAAACCAGACAGCAAATACAAAAGTGGTGCTAAGGTTCCACTAAAGACCTTGACTACTGGCCAGCGCCTTGGACAAGATGCCATCACATACAAACTACCACCACCGACAATGAAAATCGACCTCCGCGCGGATTGCAACTACAGTCACGTTCCCACCGTCACGAAGTTCCACCCTGAGTTCACGATTGCTTCCGGCGTTAGCGCGCCGAAAATTGTGACCGCCATTGCATCCAACGGCGAGCGCTACAAGCAATTGGTAAGCTTTTTCTTCATCTGTCAACGCTCTTTACTAACAGAACAACAGTACAAGGGAGGAAATGATGATTTGCGCCAAGATGCCATCATGGAGCAAGTATTTGAGCAAGTCAGCAGTCTTTTGAAAGACCACCAGCCCACACGCCAGCGGAGCTTAGGTATTCGAACATACAAAGTTCTCCCATTGACACCAAGCGCCGGAATAATTGAGTTCGTTCCGAACACGATTCCTCTGCACGACTACCTGATGCCCGCACATCAAAAATACTTCCCGAAGGACATGAAACCCAACTCTTGCCGGAAACACATCGCCGACGTGCAGACCAAATCGTTTGAGCAACGCGTCAGAACCTATCGACAGGTGACCGAGCATTTCCATCCAGTCTTGAGGTATTTCTTCATGGAGAAATTCAATAACCCAGACGACTGGTTTAGCAAGCGGCTAGCATACACAAGAAGTACCGCTGCCATCTCCATCCTGGGTCATGTGCTCGGCCTCGGTGATCGACATGGCCATAATATCCTGCTCGATGAGAAAACCGGAGAGGTGGTGCATATTGATCTCGGTGTAGCGTTTGAGCAGGGACGGGTGCTACCTGTTCCCGAGGTAGTCCCGTTCCGCTTAACGCGCGATCTAGTTGATGGGTTCGGTGTCACAAAGACCGAAGGCGTCTTCCGGCGCTGCTGCGAGTTCACCCTAGAAGCACTCCGCCAAGAGTCATACAGTATAATGACAATCCTTGACGTACTACGGTACGACCCACTGTATAGTTGGACTGTCTCTCCGCTTCGCATCAAAAAGATGCAGATGCAAGATAACCAAGCTGGTGATAGACCTCCGGCTCTGCCTGGCGCAGCTGATGGTCTCCCCCGAAGGGCGAGAACGAGAATGAGCCTAGTGAAGCTGATCGTGCATTGACTGTGGTGGCGAAAAAACTAAGCAAAACGCTCAGCGTGACTGCTACTGTGAATGAGTTAGTTCAGCAGGCGTGTGATGAGAAGAACCTTGCTATGCTGTACTGCGGTATGTCTCCTTTGTTCCTTTCTCCAATTTTGTCGTCAATTGCGTTACTAACTCTCAATAGGCTGGGCTTCTTATGCGTAGACTTTGTCGGTACATATTTGATACCCTCCAATGCTTGTTTTTATGTGCATATAGGATAGCGATTGAGATCAATGGACATAGTATCTCTCAAGGCAGAGAATTATTGGCCTAGTAGAGAACCATCTAAAAAGACATCTTTGTTTAGGCTATCCTGCACCTTCTTGGTTGTTTATTTCGAAGTACACGGCCATACATGCTTGTTTTCCCAAATAGGAATAGCGTAGGCAGAAACCGCTTTAATATTAACCTTTCAGCTCTACCACGGACCTACAGGATCTTAACCATGGACCTCTTGGCTTCCTCGGGCTTGTAAAGCGGCAAGGGGTGAATCCTAAATTGGAAAGGGACAATATCACGGTACTCAATGTTCATGATTCACGAGAGGACCTTGGGGGTTCTCCGTATATAAAGCCTTCCCAACCATCTACCTCCCTGGATTTTCTCTACAATATACTCGAATCTAGTGCCCATTCCGCAATGTAAGAATATACGTATGCGGAATGTAACCGAGGTCCTTCCATGACTCCGCATCTCACCCCTCAATTCATCCAGGCACAAAAGAAGCACATTATTATAATGCATGGCTAAATAGCCAGCTTTCCGAGGCATGCACAGCGTGCTTCCGGATCCAAGCTGCATTAGCCAACGTATGCCAATGATCCGTCGATCCGAACGCCCTCAAACCCCGCGGTTCAGCTCAGACTCTCCACATTTGATCTACTTCTCCGCTCTTACTACTTGGCGCGAGAGGGGAGATTCTACGGAGTATGTACTTAAGACCCATGCCAGCATTCGATTAAGAGTTTGCTCTGTAGACATCTCTCCAGTACTGAAAACACTGGTGACTTCATAGTTCAATATCCAACCTCATTTCCATCTATCACCAGTAATCAGTCATTATGACCGTTCCTGAAATCCCCACCAAGCAAAAGGCCGTCATCTACGACCAGCCTGGGACAGTTTCAACAAAGGTTGTGGAACTCGATGTTCCAGAGCCTGGTGCCGGCGAAGTCCTGATCAATTTGTACGTCTTATCGCAGTTTTGATACTACAATAGTACTGACAATGATAGAACACATTCGGGCGTGTGTCACTCGGACTTTAGTATTATGACCAACAAAGTATGCGCACACCCTATTCTCTCTATGTATTGGGAACTAACTAAAACCCCTTAGTGGACCGGATTCCCACACCCGACCCAGCCAGGCCAGGTGGGCGGCCACGAAGGTGTCGGTAAGGTAGTCAAGCTCGGTGCAGGCACCGAATCCTCAAACCTGAAGATCGGCGATCGAGTTGGCGTCAAATGGGTTTCCAGCGCGTGCGGAAACTGCCGTACGTATATACCCTCAACAACGCAGACCTCGAACCTAACATCATCCCCATCCAGAACCCTGCCAAGCCAGTGCCGACGGACTATGCTTCAACCAGAAAGTCTCCGGCTACTACACACCAGGAACATTCCAGCAATATACACTAGGACCCGCAAACTACGTCACCCCCATTCCAGATGGTCTCGACTCCGCCGCCGCCGCACCACTCCTCTGCGCCGGCGTAACCGTATACTCCGCACTCAAGCGCAGCCACGCAAAGCCCGGACAATGGGTGGTAATCTCCGGCGCTGGCGGCGGCCTAGGCCACCTCGCAGTGCAAATCGCGAGCCGAGGAATGGGCCTGCGGGTAATCGGCATCGATCACGGCAGCAAGGAGGGGCTAGTCAAGGAATCCGGGGCAGAGCATTTCGTGGACATCACGCAGTTCCCGAAAGAGGATAACGGCGCCGCGCTGACGAAGCATGTTCATTCGCTGGCGGGTGGGCTGGGCGCTCACGCGGCGATCGTCTGTACGGCTGCGAATGCGGCGTATGCGCAGGCGCTGCCGTTGCTGCGTTTCAATGGTACGTTGGTCTGTGTGGGCCTTCCGGAAAATGACCCGCAGGCTATTGCTACGGCGTTCCCTTCTACGATGATTGGCAAGCAATGGACTATTACGGGGTCGGCAGTTGGAAGTCGGACGGAGGCTATTGAGACTATGGAGTTTGCTGCGAGAGGTGTTATTAAGGTGCATTACCGAACTGAGAAGATGGAGGCTTTAACTGAGGTGTTTAAAGAGATTGAGCAGGGGAAGCTGCAGGGTCGGGTTGTGTTGGATCTTTCTGGATGAATGCTGTATGTAGCAACAGATTTTAGGTCCCGAGTTTCCCGGGGCGCCGCTTTATGAGCAGAGTCCTGCTGAGATTTCACACGCTCTCATTCAGAATACCTGTTGGGTGATCTCATCTCTCAATGTTTACTTGCAGACATCAGTGTATAAATACCCTGTTTTTTGCTAGATTGAACAACAATGATTCTTCTTTCTCTTCCTCCCCTTCGCTAGTAGCCATAGGAACACCGTCTCAATCTTTTACAATTATAGTACTTCGGTTAGAATAGGGAGCACGCAGGCATGTAGTGGACTTCGTTCAAGATATTCTCTATACTAATATATGCTAAATCTGACGTTCAACACATCAAACGCCCAGGCATCCTACGGGAGTTGCTACCGGAGGCAGCTCACGAACTAGAACTGCCCGATACTTTATTTCCCCATTTTTCAATTTCTGCATCGCCTCTTTGATACCATCTGGTGTCATAGGAAACTTCACAATCGTGGGCTTGATCTTTTTGCGATTGCAGAACTCGATCAGTTCTCGGAGATCCTGTCGGGAAGCGACCCTGGTTCCTTGGATTCGAATCCCACGACTGTTCATGGGGAGGAATGGAACGAGTGTTTCTGTCAAAGTAGCAGTCATGGGATAAATAGTCCCGTTGGTATCCATAAGACGTATCAATCTTTCAATCTGCAAGTCAGTATATACTCGCTACTTTATCACAGTGGAGACTCACGATGCTAGGTCGCCCAAGTAACTTCCACAGAGCAACAAATGCTTTAACGGCCGAAAGGAGGCGCGATCAATCTGATCCATGATATAAAACTCGTCTGCACCATATTGCAGCGCGTCCTCTTTCTTATCGTCGGATCGAGACAGAACCACAACGTGACATCCCATCTCGGCGGCAATTTTAATAGCTAAGTGGCCCAGGCCTCCAACGCCCACGATGCCGACCCGATCTACTGGCCGGGCTCCAAAATGGGTCAAGCAGTTCCAGACCGTGGCCCCAGCACAGATGAGAGGTGCAGCATCTTCAGATAAGTAGCCATCAGGGATAACAAAGATGCAACTAGCATCCCAGACTGTGCCATGGCAGAAGGTGCCGATATCAAAGTCACATTCACCGTAAACCCTAGCACTCCGGCAGTATTGATCCCAGCCTAAGATTAGGTATTAGAGTGACGAGTTTTCACAGTATTGAAGAGGATAGATAAATGCGAACCAATCCCACAATTATCACAGGCACCGCAGACCTTGCGCACATATCCAAACCCAACGCGATCGCCAACCTTGACTGTGGTCACGTTTGAACCCAGAAGCCTGATAATTCCAACGCCCTCATGACCGAGCACCTGGGTTGATTTCAAAAAGTGCTCATCCGTTCCACAAATGCCCGAGTGGGTGATTTCAATATAGACCTCATTGAGTCCAAGTCTTCGAGTGGTGGTGTCCGATACAATATGGCTACTAGGGGAACCACGGTAGACTTCGAATGAGACATCCATTGTTCTTATTGTATAGTAAGATGAGGGCCAGAGGGGATATAGAATGGTTTTATAGTAGCCGACGGTGAAGTGCAATGAGTCCTAATATGTGAATATATCCTGATTCACTAGAATACCTCTCTTAGGTTCTGACGTATATAGGGAACAATATGCCATCATCCCACATCTTCAAGTTTACTAACCTTGATTATGACACATATTTCTGCATCAAAGAGACCAATTAGCCAAATGTTCATGTTAGGCATGTTAGGTGGGATCTTAGTGCATGAGACATAAAATTCGTGAACAGTGCCATAAAGTCAGTTCCAAATAGGAGAGTACATAACCGCAAGAAGCATGACGATTATAGCATATTCCGTGTATCTGGCAGGTGAATATTTCCTAAACCAATTATGACTAGGTTGCCGTCTCGGGGCTAGGTTTGCCGTGAGTTGGATCACTATATCCCAGTCAAACTTTTGTGCAGAGATAAACAAAATACCTATGATTGTGTAGTACAATGAATAAGTGGAAACTGTTACTGAGTCATAAGCTGCGCAGGTGTAAATGATTCATTCAACTAGAAACTTAAAGGGAACAATTGTGCCCTGATTTCCACACGACCAATGTTCCAAAGAAATAAATACATGATGAAACTGGCCATAGGAAGGTAGGTGGCTGGAACAACACCCATCATGGAGCATATGGATAGGGCCAAGCCCAAAAGTATCCACCGAGCCAAGACCCCGTAAATCCATAGAAGTGGTTGAGAATTCAAGGCAAATCGACGTAGTAGCCCAAGGCGGATTACACACTCTGTGTAGGATGGATAAACAAATGGAGCTGTCGAAGATAGCACGAAAGAGTCCATCTGACTCCTCGATCCACGGCACCAGGCAAGGACATTTGCCAGAGTAAAGCATAACCCGACCGGAATGGCTGACATCCTCTTTTGAAAAGGGAAGACCAGTGTACGGAGAAGCTGGAGGTCTGACACAACGAGTGGACTGGATGTAGCATCCGCACAGCTCCCTTTCTGTTGCTGCTCATGTGAGATTCCTTCCCAAATATCAGCGTAGTTGACTATTCGCGTGTAGAATCCGGGATCAACCGCTTCTACAGTCAAACGTTTGACGGCCACATTTGATCCCATACCAGCAGAAGGGGAGAGAAAGCGAACATGATCATTGGAGATAGATGTGGAGGGGATATATATGAGTTCTAACGGTTCGGGAAACCTCTCGACACATCGTGACAGGAAGGCACGCCAGAATGGCTCAAGTCTCCTGTCAATTTGTTAGAATTGTGTATAACGATATATATAGCCCCTCGAAAGGAAGCAGGACGTACCTCTCTATAGAGGTCGGATGGCGCGCGACACTGCCTGGTCGGATCATAGGTCGATCTATCATCTGCATCAAACCCTTCCAATATTGGATATTGAGAGCCTGGAAGATAATCCGGGGAGTCGTCAAAGTGCCGAGAGATGTCCACATGAAAATAGATCTGACCAAATGGGTTGCAGTCACGTTGACTGGGTCTATAGGGGGTTCCGGGCAGCTGATCCTCGTCACCATTCTACTTTCCCCCGCCGGACCAAAAGAAACAAATTTGATAATGGTGACAGTGGGTTTAGACAATGAGATCTGAAGGGGATCAATGACCCGGGTGAAAATTGATGCATCCACTTTCTCGAAGGGAGATGCAAAGATGCCTTTTTCCCAGACAGCCTTGTAGAATCTTGCACTGGCTAATGAAGGAAGCGACATAACACTCTTTTTCTTGTCTAGGTATTTTGGTTCTCTCTCCAAATCGTCGATTTTCGTCACGAGCTTGTCAGATTCAGGTTCGAGTTGGAAAAAGACATTTCGTTTTTCATCAAACGAGTTGTTGATTTCCATTATCATGGCATCTAATTCCTGTGACGGCGAGTAGAGATACCAGAATGATACCACACTACGCTCCCACCACAGGAAGCGTGGCACACTCAACAAGTAGGCATATGGCCATCTGGCTGGGTCTTTTTTCTGTCGAATGTTTTAGTCCAGATGGTTCGTTATCAGTTGGTTAGAACTCACCTGTGAACGGAGAAATCGATCCAACTTATCTCGAAGACCATTTTCATTGTCCCCGCGCTGTAGGTAGCGCACAGGATCAAAACTAAACCAGGTGAAGAATCGTCTTAGCGATTTGATATAAGGCAGCATCGGGTCATCTTGATCTATAGACAAAAAGCGACCGACCTGGCCTCGGAAGCCTATAGGAATCCCAACCAAGAAGATCCGGTGGCTGAATATATTCTTGACTGGGGAGACTCTGGTATGTGTGAGAGTGACTGGAAACAACAAAGGCCGTCCAAGAACACTGTTAGGGCTTTTTGCAGTGGAAACCAACCCCCTGTTGTTCAGCAATACCAACGCCAGAAGGCCTGCGAGGACGAGAGTGGCGATGAGTATTGCTAAGCCCAGGAAGGCAACTATAGCTTTGACCCAGAATCCTAACCCCCTCGATTGCACACCAAGCAAGGTAGCACAGTAAATGATCTCTTTGATAAATCCCATGTTCTTTTGTTACCTTTTCTCAAGGGACAGAATGGAATTAATTGATTAAAGGCGGAAGCTGACTCTCTCCGTAATATATTTCTTGCAATTAGATTCTTTGGTTCTTTCTCATTGTCGCCCCTATCGAGGGGTTACAGTATGAAAGCATTTAATACTAATGGTGGCAATACTAATGCTGGTTCCTTCTAGGCCAATCTCGCCAAAGGTCAAAAATATCTTAGATCTACAATGGGACAGCTCTATCAAGCGAAAGTCATTCATTCTATTTGGGCTTTTCGTAGCTGTATAACCTGCCTAATTCCCTTTCACGTCAGAGCCGGGGCACTAAATGTCCGGTAGTCAACGAGCACAATATCGTGTTAGGAACTTCATCCCTGTGTAACATTGTCAACGCACCTCGCCAATACAGTCTCTAGAGCTTAACGGATTCATGCAGTAAATATTATAATATCAAAGTATTTTATATCAAGGCCAAGCTATATCATAGTAATTATCAATAGATTTCATGCGGTTAGATTCAGTTCTCATTGACACTCGTTTAATTGCTAAAACCCTTATTTCTATATATTTATCGTGTATATGTAGAAATAATATCATTGACCTAAAAGAAATGTACGTTTATGTGTATTCCCACCCAGCTGCCGCATTCCAGTACATATCCCACCACAAATGAACTGAGCTCCATGGATATGTGAACCAGTTCTTTCCAGTACTTTTATCAATGAAAGACTACTCGGATTGATTAGCTCCATTATTTGACCTTGGTAGAAGTAAGACCTACACCAGAGCAGGACCGGGTATAAATGGTGTTGTCCAGCGCGTGAGCCAGACTGTCTTGGTACTGCTTATCTTCGCTAGTCCTCACTTCTACCGAAGAGGCATGACATAGTATAATCGGTCGGATGGCATTTATTACCAAACTAACTTGTCTAAATTCATTAAAACTATTAGCATGGATGTATTGGCTTCCCAAAAGGGGAGGACCTACCTCTCAATTGTAGCGATGGTCGAAGTATAGATGCGGCCCGAGTTTGGTCCTAGAATATAGAAAAAGTTTGGGAATTCACTCATCGCCACTGTTTTGAAGGTGGCTTTCCCATCTGTCTCTTTCCAGTGCTGCTCTCGCGTCTTTCCGTGGCGGCCTATTATTTCGGTGTCATACTGCGTCAAGGCAAAGCCAGTAGCGAGAATCTGTGCGGTGGAGCTCAGCTACAGTCTCACATTCATGTTGAGGGGAAGTGCTGCTTACGATGATGTCGGTATAAACCTCTTCTTTCGAGCTGGTCACGATAGCGGTGGGTTTTATTTGCACGATTGGGTCATTTGTGAGAGTCAACTTATCTTGGTGCAGACTCGCAACGTATGCCCGGTCGAAAATGCGTCTCTGCAGAAAGGTTTTAGTTATGGACTGAGAGATGGGATGTAGAAACACTAACACGACATCCAAATTCGAAATTGGGCATTAAAAAGCTCCAGTACTTGCCTGCCACAATCAGTTTGGAGTCTCGCTCACCAAGAAAGGAAGTGGCACATACTGGGGGCTGTTCTATGCACATACTCTCGACTTTGTCGTTCGGAAATTTTCCTCGCTATACGCCCTCGATCATTGGCTTGTGATTGAAGAAAGGATTCTTCCATGTAAATAAACATGGCAAATCGAAAGATATAGAGGATTATTGGGAAATAGCGAAACATAGATCGCCAAAATGGCGAAATCTCATAGTTTGAGCTCTCGACGAGGTGATGTGGACTCTGTGGTGACACAAAGGTTAACCAGTAGCTCTCACATAGCGTGGGAATTATGCAACGGGTCATGATAGGACGGTTAATGAACGTACCCTCATAAACTGCGTGATAGACTTGGCTTCCTTGATTATCTCCGGCACCAGTTGTATTGCAGATGCTGCTGATTTGTCAGAATATTCTCCCACTGGCTCCAATACCAAAGCCCGCGCTTGATCACAGACGATAGGCTGACGCACCTCCATTGCCAATTACAGATACATGCTTATCCCGAAGATCAACTTCTTGTTGCCATTCAGCGGTATGTATGACGGTCCCCTCAAACGTCTCGGACCCCTCTATGTCCATCTTTCGGGGATTAACAAGGGCTCCAACGCCGGAAATGAGAATCCGACACTCTTGCGTAAACCGGTCTCCTGTTTGCAGATCCCTTAGTCTCACTCGCCACATCTGTTTCTCGTCCTGCCAGTCAGCCCCCTCCCATTCCGTATTTCCGGCGAAGTGGTCACAGACCCCATAATGGGTGGCCACACGATGCATATAGTCTAATATCTCAGACTGAGGGGGAATAACGTGGTGAAATCTGGGTTTTGAGCAAAAGAAAGACTATAGCAAATCCCTGGAATATCCACGCCACATCCTGGATCTGGTTGATACCCTATTAGCACTTGGCAAACAAGGGAGAATGCGGAGATAGAAATTGACGAACATGTGTTTGCCCACCAAGTTCCTCCAATACCATTATTCCGATCGTAAATAACATAGTCGTCCAAGTTAAAGATTCGCTGGAGTTGGCATGCCATAGCTAGTCCAGAGAACCCGCCACCAATTATGATGACTGATGCAGGGGGCTTTGATAGGAGAGACATACTAGCGTAAGGTAGATAAGTGAAAAGGCGCAGCCTGCACACAACAACAGGGGTAGTGAAGTAAGTTGTGGTCATGGATATACGAGCCATTGGGTGTTCTAATATTTATGTGATTTCCTTGCACGTTCGTTTGGTCGTCGCCTCTCCAGTTGACCGAGACATGGCATGTGCAACTTCATGTGGCAACCACAAATATCAATGAGGTACAGACCATATGTGCTGACTTCCTAATATGGACTTTCATCATATAGGCTGGAAGGTTGCATGATGAAAGGGGGGGCTCAGATATAACAGGGCATTTTTTAGTATTTTGAAGGTCAAATGTAATATTCTTGCATAAAGCTGAGGGTCGTAAGGTTGCTCAAGATCTCTAGTATGCAGTGACACGTTACTGCCGATACTGATCTTCGAATCAGTGTCACACACCTTCACTGTCCTACCACATATATTGATACAAATTATTCAATACCTGTCGTCGTACCTATATGTTTACAATGATGTCAGAGAGCACATATACTTGGGCTTGCTGATAAGGGCTCCCTCCTCTCCCTTTTCTTGGAAATCACGTTGTTGAGCAATCATATATAAATTGGCAACTAGAAACTCGAACTCATCCATTCAACCCACTGCTGACGCGAAGGGCAACCTAGAATAAACCAGGTTTATCTATACTTCCCGTACCAATGATTATAATATATTTCACCCTCGCTCTACTTTTGGGGTTGTTGGGGCTGTATACGCTCAAGTCCTATTTCATCTCATCCAATTCTCTTCCTCTTCCACCTGGTCCTCCCCGGATACCCATCATTGGTAATTTTTTTGATTTTCCAAAGTCGGGATCCAACGCATGGGAACATTGGTTGAAGCACAAGGATCTTTATGGTCAGTTTATGCAGGCATATCCCGAGTATAGGTTTTGCTAAATGGTTGCCAGGCCCCATCAGTTCACTTGTCACAGCCGGACGAACCCTCATCATTCTCAACAAGGCGGAGATGGCAATTGATCTAATGGAGAAGCGATCAGCCATTTACTCGTCGCGTCCACAGTCTGTATTTTGCGCTGACTTGTAAGGCCTCACATAACACAATTGCATACCCCTGGCGAGCTTGTTGATCTCTGACGTTTCGTGAGAACAGAGTCGGCTGGAAGCGCATGGTGGTCGTCAATGGTGATGCAGCTGTGGTCCGTACACACCGAAAATACATCACGGGCTTGCTTGGATCGAAAAATTCCATCTTAAACAGGCATACTCAACTTGATCTTGGGGCCAGATATCTTTTATTGCAAATACTTCAGCAGCCTGATTCTCTGATTGAGAATATTCGACGGTATGATCTAGATCCCTAGCCCGACACACTGCAAGAAAAGGAAACACAAAGAAGAATCTAATCACAACCCTAGTTTTACCGGAGCGAGCATACTAGACATGGTCTATGGGTACAAAGTCGAGCCGTCTGGGACAGACTCTCTCGTCGATCTTGCCGAACTTTCTACCTCGCAATTCTCCATCGCAATGCAGCCTGGGGCGTGGGTTGTTGATAGGATCCCTATATGTAAGGACCCCCTTCGCTTTGATAATTTCCCCCACTCAACTAAGACGATCAGTAAAATACCTTCCCGCTTGGTTCCCAGGAGCCGGATTTCAACATACAGCGCGGGAATGGGCTGATACTTTGACCACCTTGGCGGAAAAGCCTTATGCATTCGTCCTTCACCAACGAAGCAAGAAGAAGGCTATGGATTCATACGTCTCCAGACACTTGGACGCACTGGATAACCCTGCCACGCCGGAGGAGAAATATGTGATTAAATGGACAGCAGCCATCATGTATGCCGGTGCTGCAGATACCGTAAGAAGGTCATCCTTCGCCACTTGCGCTTAATACTAATTGGCATGGATAGACCGTCTCGGCAGTCTCAACTTTCTTTCTCGCCATGGCCCTGTTTCCAGATGCCCAGCGCCAGGCTCAAGCGGAGCTTGATCGGGTGGTAGGGTCAAGACTTCCCACCATAGACGATCGTCCTAATCTACCGTATGTAGACGCTCTCATGAAGGAAGTCATGCGTTGGCATCCTGTTGCACCCTTAGGGCTTCCCCATATGACCACAGAAGAGGATGAATATTGTGGATATCGGATTCCAAAGGGGGCAGTTTTAGTTCCAAACGTCTGGTCAGTAAGCGTGGCAAACTCATTGATTCTTTCTTGTCTGACTTTCGACTTGTATCGTCACATCTTAGGTCATTCACACACGATCCAGAAATGTATAATCAGCCGATGTCATTCAATCCTGGCCGATTCTTGCAACACGAGAACGGCCCCCCTCCTGAGTTTGATCCTCAGAAGTTGGTCTTTGGATTCGGGCGCCGGATCTGTCCTGGTCGTTATCTCGCCGATGCAAGCCTCTTTATCACTATTTCAAAGTTACTTGCGGTTTTCAATATTTCAAAAGGTCTTGGAGAGGATGGCAAGGAGATGGATTTCCCAGTTGGATTCCAACCTGGTATGATCAGTCATCCATCGCCATTCCGTGTCCAAATTCGACCGCGCAGTGAACATGCCCAAATGCTGATTAGGTCTGTTGATACGGAGGAACCGTGGTTAAAGGGGGATTCCGAGATATTTGATGATATTAAGTTCTAAATATCATCGAGTTAGAAGCGAATATCTAGTTCATTTACTTTGTTCGTTGGGTTTTTAGGTTATGAATATGAGGAGATATAACTGCCACCATTCGATAATTTTGAAATTTTGGACCAAATTAGTGGGAAATTCTCGTCAGAAACAAGGAGAATGATTTATATTTGATCAAGCAATATTTTCCACAGCAAAAAAGGGCAAAAAAATGGCAAAAAAGAGACGTTTTCCATGGGAGGAAAAAAAGGATTCGAAAAAAAAGAAGTGACCGACGCAGGGATCGAACCTGCAATCTCTTGATTCGTAGTCAAGCGCCTTGCCATTGGGCCAGCCGGCCTCATTATTGTGAGATTCTGCCAAAATGTGCACTATAAATCAAAGCAGTCCCTTGACTAGACATATCCCCTAGTTAAGTTCCACCTCATCAAAGGAAAGACAATATCCAAAGAGCAGACCGTGGTCAATACGCTCAAAAACGCCAGCTGCAACCCTCCGACAATCCCTAGAACCAAGATAAAAGGCTAACAGCTTACGCAGCGGATACAAGATATCCAGAACAGCCCCACGCTGCCGAACGGGGCTACGAGGACTTTCTCCGATTGAGAGATCGATTCAATTAGAGAAGAACAGACGATGAATTGCGATTAATTGGGAACATCTTATTGATCTTCCTTATACTTCATATCACAATATCGTAGACCACTCAACGAGTATTCAATGATCCGTCCTGAACATTCCAAAAACCAAATAGAAATAGACCTGGATTTTGATTCCGTGTAGGGTCATTCGTGGAAAACAACGAGGCCATCAAGTGATCCAATAGTCTCAAGCAATGGTAGCAAAATCCACATGGAATAGCTATAGCAACTCACTTCCTATCGAAAACAAAAAGACTTGAATGTTCCACCTCAAAGGGCCAAAGCTATCATCGCCAGCCTTGTCTACCATTTATCCAAATCATCCCCAGAGACTGCTCCACGTTGATCACCCCTATCTGCCATAGAGCCGGGCTGAGGGCTTAGAGAGGCGTGCCCAATTGACACCGTAGGCTCGCAGTCGCTAACATAATACGGAGAATCTATAAATTCCCGTTTAGCCGGTGAACGAGGTCGAGCACAGCCATTCCCGTAGTTAACAGTGTCGGTGGTTTGGATCCAGTGCTGGGAAGCGATAGACTCCCGTTTGATCAGTGAAGGAGGTTGAGCGCAAGCATCTCCATAGTTCCTCGATTCAACATTGTCGGGGATTTCAATCCAGTGCTGAGAAGTGAGAGGGAAACAGTTCCCGGATGAATATCCCGCTGTCTCAACACACTCCCAAAAGGCGTCCTGATTTCGAGCGTTACCAGAAAGATAGCCATCGCAGTCTGTGAAGAGTGCATTCCACAGTTCAAATAGCTCTTGCACTTCCACCTTACTCGCCAGTTTTTGGATACGCTCCCATCTAGGCTGCAGATCTTCCAGACGAGATTTCTTAAATTTAACAGATAGCGCGATCATCTGCTCCAGCGGTGTTTGTGCATATTCAATGAGACTGAGGTATTCGTCGTCGATGTGGTATTTTATAAGTTTAAAGATAACGTTTAAGTCCCAACTGAATCTTCTCGTATACGTGCATCTGCTTCCAGTATAGATTCACGACCGAGGATAGTTCGATGAGGTCATCTTCTCCGAGGTCAACGATGGATTCTGCTTCGGGTCGGACTGTGGAAACGTGTGGCTTTTCGGGTTCATAGAGCTCGGGATAGTATTTTTCTGGAGCGTCGGGGTCACAGTACTTCCAGACTCCTTCTTTCCGGGCATGTTTTTCGATGTCAATTTTCCATGATTTCCAGTTCGTGCGAGTGAGAATTTCGGGGGTTCTAGTAGATCTCGCCGCATGTTCATTTTTTTCTTGGATATCGTCTTGTTGGTGATGGTTTAGCTTTTTGGGGTGAGTTTGTAGATGTTAGAAGAGCCAGTAGGGTGCTGAGCTGAGTGATGCTCTAATCGTGAGTTAATCTCCGATAGAATACCTAGGTAGGTGTCGGAGGCTACCCGTAGATCCAAGTCTAGTAAGACACTCCAAACCTTGGGATGAACATACGCAAACCTGATAAGGTTCCTTTCCTTGACTACATATGTACGCAGTTCAATAATCTGACTCCTTTGGTTGGACGATTGGATGAGTCAATATTATTTGGTGTATCCTAAGTCAGAACTGCATATAATATATGTAATGCCTTGGCTAAAATAAATATCAAGACATTTACCTTACTAAAGAATTCATGACTTCAGAATGATGGATACATATTGTAAAGCTGTAGGGCGGTTTTATAGATCTATCGGATGAAAGGGCAGAACAAAAAGGGCCGAGGCCAGGATCGTCTAGTAGGGTTGAACGACTTACCTAGGCGCCCTACCATTAGAACAACTCGGATTTGTTAGTACGCTTCCTGCAGAAGTTTTACCCACCGGTCGGCTTCCAAGGCTACCTATGTACATAGATAAATAGGTATAATCCTCGTACGTTGTACAATATATGCATGGTTGGCCCAAAGCCGGAGTTCAACCAGACCAGTACCATTCAAAACTTGCCAGTTGCCGCAGAACTGGAACTAAAGTAGTTCCTTCTCATGGTCGACCGTCGACATACACCGATCGCACCTTTCCCTCTTACCTTCAAAACTACGTAAATCGACCCTTACATACAATGTCATTGTCAAGATATACAACCTTGTAGCAGGTGTCCACCTACCCCAAGACATGCCCCATAAGCTAAACTCAACACTAAACAAACTAGCCCCAACGCACCCAGGAAGCGTGTGCACGGCCCAGTATTTTGACTTCCACGGCCTAAACTCGGCTTGGCTCTGAACTTGGCTCTGAATCCTCATTTCCCCAACGGCAAGAAATCCCTATCGAAAAACGTGGTGACAATGTCCACCTTTGATTGTCCACGTGGAATCCCATACCTCATTTATAATAAACTCCACACAGCCTAATACTATACAATATAATGTACTAGGCTACGTACAGTTGCGTGCCTAATCTATACCGCCTTTTCACGCATTATTGAGCCTTATCGCACATCTCTTGTGGATTAAGGGGCAGATTGAAATTGAGATGCCGTGTGGTCCCGGTAGTTATATCCGTCCGTACTCCGTACCCAATGCAGATCGGATGTGCGAAAGTGATCGGAATGGATCTAGATATCAAAGATCTACTGGAATTATTTCCATGGATGACTCCCGTTCTTAATTTCGGCATTATCTTGCAGTGTGGTGATTCGTGTGATTTTTGGGCCAAAAATAAGAAAAAAACAAAGAAATTGAACGAGGCATTTTCAAAGTGTGGTTGACCCACATTCTACCGAGAGTGATTCCATGGTTCGGCCTCGTAAATGGGCTAACGTGGAACTTATCCCTGCACGGTAGCGGTGACTACCGGCCTAACAACGCCGGACCATGGACGTGGGGTCCCAAGGCCGTAGTGCTGGGTTCGGCAATGACGACATGTCCTGGGATTTATATTTCGATTTATAGTTGTCATGGGATGATTAAAGTGGATTTGAGACTGTCCGTTGCCTGTGAGTGATTGGATATGAAAATGTCTATAGCAATAAACAGCTCTTATGATCGTATATAGACATCAAAATAAGTCCACGGGTAAATGAATGCATGGCTGAGAAGCAAAACAGAACTGGAGTGATTCGTGATGAAACGCAAAGACACGATGCAGCGGGGTATTGCAATGAATGAACACGATAGCCTCCCAGAACAAGATAATATATGTATAAAAAAAGACGGACAAATTCAGCGGGTTCGTTTTGAGTAGCCCCCGGAATTTTCATTCCCGGCCGCCGGTCGCTTCTGTCCAGATCCCCCAGCAACGGCAGCGGCAGAATCAGCGATACGGATCAACGATCCTAGATGAAGCAGATATGGCTTCGGGGCACGGTTGACTTCGAGCTTGCGGAGGATGTCACGTAGGCGGTTGGCGCATTGGTGCAGGTCCACCGGCGGCAGGGCATCAAGCGCGTTCAGGACAAAGTGCCGCGCGTCTGTTTCGGAGTCTGTTTCGACCGACCCAATGAGCAAGTAATATAGATTGCGTTGGTCCTCGTCTTCGCCGTGGAAGGACTGGCGGCCTAGGGGATTTCCTTCGAGGGGATCGCTATTGCGAGCCACGACTGACTCTAGGAGAGACACGAGGGCTTCGGCGGCGCCTTCCGAGCCGTGCGGGGCACGTGCTGCGATGTTGACTGCAATCCGGGATACAGAACGTTGGAGCTGTGTTACGACGTCGTTGACTTCTATGCCCAGGCCTGGGCTCACGGGGTCCGCGGGCAACTCGCCGGTTGTGCAGTATCGGTCGAAGTCGCTTAGTAGTCGGCGCGACTGCTCTTGTACTTTGTCGAAGTAGATGGCTGCACATGCGCCTGCGGGCATCGCTTTGCAGAGGCTGTCGAAAACCGCGTCGTCGTGCACTGCAAGTCGGAACATCGTCGCCTCGAAATCTCCTTGGACCACGCACTGCTCTGCGGTTCGTGCTTGCTCAATTGTCTCTGTCAAGTCCCGGCGGGCGTCTTCTGGGAGAGTCCGTTTGCTGAATGCAGAGAAGATGTCGCGGACCTTTTCTGTCCGCGTCATCCCATCCTCCTCGTCCCGTAGGCACTGCCACTTGAGTTGCGCCGCCACCGACATCAGATTACCCTTCAGGAGGTCCTCAATGCGAGGGAGGCGGTCCGGACGTCCGTCTGGACTCAGTGTCACCTCCGTCGACTGAGGCATGGAGAGGAAGCAGCTGTGCAGTTGGTCGACGAGCCACTGTTCAGGGGACGGGGGTTAGTATTGGCAGTTCAAACCCCTCGGCCTTTTAAGCTTCCCCAAAAGGCATACTTACAAAGATGTGCTGACACGCCCCCTCCGGTCGATCCTGGAAGACTGGGCAAGTGCAGGTAGATGAATCGGAGCCAATGTGCACTTGTGGCCGATCCATCAGCTGAAAGTCATACCCGGCGGGAGTAGAGCGACAGTTGACGACATCAAAACGGCCGGTCAAGCCCACAAAGGCCCTAGCTTCAGATTCGGAATCTAGTTGGCTGAGGTCATAGGTGATGCCGGACGGTGCGAGGAGGGAGGCGCTAGTTGATTCGGACTGCTCATCGCTGCTTTCTTCCTCCTCCTCCCGACTAGAACTCTCTGAGCTGTCCTCCCCATGATCACTATCGGAAGAGTCCGGTCGCCCCGCGCGGGTTCTAGCAGGCAGTGCTGTATCTGCCATGTTTCGGCCAATGGACAGCCTGTGAAATTGCCCTGTTGGAGCGGACATGACGAAAAAAAGGAAGAAGACAGGCTTCCCCTAAGGAAATCAAAGAGGGGCGAGCAGACGGTTTCCCACACTGGTAGACTCACAGAGTTCTCCCGACCCATGGACGGAAGCGGGTACACTGAACCATGGAACGGGCTTCCCTGGCGCCCGCTTTAAATAATTAGGGGCCATTGAGATGTTTTTGTCATTTCACAAATATTTTGTATCTTCGAACATTCAGGGGAGAATCGCCTGGGATTTTCCAAGATATTTTTTTTTAAATTAACCCAACAGCGCTTAGTGAAAGGTGAGTGCTCAGGCAAAGAGGGGGAAATCCGGAGGCTCGATGGGTTGTGCCGCAGGAGACAGAAGGGATGATGTCTCAACAAGGCTGCGCCGTTTAATCCTACCTACAATCTGGATCAGCATCGAACGCACAGACATCCACTAATGGGGGATCTTGTGGAAAGATCTGGGGAGTAGCTGGCACCTGAAAACAGATTGTGGCCCGTATGGCTACGTATCCCGAGGACACAGTCTCGTAAAGATGCGCAGATTTGGCCTGAGAGCAAATGCATGCAACTGGACAAGAATGTAAGTGGAAACAGAAAGTTAAATCTTAGTAAGTTGTATGTTGATCCCTGAGAATTGCAAGGTGGCTGATTCTACAGTTGACCAATGCAAAGCTTGCATCTCGTATTTGCATATGGAGTAGGTAGACGCTGTTGGCGAGATATAGACCCTGACGCAGGGAAAAGGACAGGGCCCTCGCCCCGGAAACTGGGAAGATAACGGGGATACTCCCAGTACAAGATAAAACCCCAGCCTGTACCTTACAACGTAAGGCAGCGAAGCTGCGATCGCCGCCCGAGCAACCGAAAAGGAATGCGGAATTGTTTCGAAGCTCCAGAACGACATCACTCTCGGACCGCCCTTCGGATAAGTTGCTTTTCGTTGGCCATGATTGCACCCTGGTATTTTCCATAGTGGAGAATTGCTAGGATGGTATGGCTCTCAGATAGGTCGGGAACCCGAGGCTCTTTTTTGTCCACGAGACAACTATACCTCAAAAAGAAAAACCAAAAAGAAAAAAAGAAATTGCACAGTGAAACACCTGTTCATCAAAGTGGTTGAATATGACAGACTATTCCAAACTAGGATGGTGACCGGTTTCTTGACCCCGATGAGAATCCGATGCCCCAATCCCCAGGGACGGCGAGCGCAGCCGAGGAAAAGCCAGCCATATACGGAGTATACGCCGCAATGACTTTATTTCCCCGACACCATATGATGTCTGCATCATCCAAGATGGGGTGATAGCAAGGGCCTACCTTGCATATCGCGCAGAGAAATCATTGGAAAGTGGATCAACCGTAACACAAGACGACATGTCAAGTGGACTAAAAGTCCTGCGCAGGAGACTATGTTGTATGCGGGCGTTCTTTCGGCCGCAAGTTGTCGGGGGATCGATATCCATATAGTGCTCAGCGAATCTGAGCGCGGCGCGCAAGGAGCTGTGCGGCACAGCAAAACCCGCCAGATTGGGTATTGGGTTTGGAGGTAATCTTCTATCCCTGCAAGTTGATGCGGCCTAAGCACCGGGATAACTTGAGAGGTCTGTTGAGCCTGCGGCAGGCCCTTTGACTGCGCAACACGGTTGATCGGCAGCAGTTGGCGTTTAGCTCACTGGCTTGGCTATCGCCTACTAATCGCCATCCCTAGGCGCCTAAAAATTGTGTCTTTGTATGCACTGCAATCAGATTCACACATGGCGTAGGTGATGGCTAGCTTCCTTCAGCCTGGTTCTTGTGGGTTCGAAGATATCGTCTGTGCGCTAGGATTTTCCCCCTTCCTGTACGTTCAATCACTTGACTGGATTTGGCCCCTGTCTATGACGCAGCCACAGTGGCGCGATGGTGAAAGGAAAGTCAGCATGTTCTCAAAATGTATCGGAGTCTTACGAGTCTTTCTGGGAGGGACCTCGGGGGGAAAAGGGTATGATTTCGACCATTAGGTCTATCATCAAAGTTGTGCTGCAAGCACTGGAGGCATCGAAGAAGACAGAATGCTATGGTGATGTTTATAGCCTTGGGACACACAAGATCAGAATGTTAAGAGAGAATCTTCGTGTGACATCGGGAAAAAGACTCCGTCAAATTTTGTGCTGTTGAGCCGAACTTGGCATATACTTCAATGTCCATATAATCTCGTTTGTAATATTTTATGAATCTGAGTACGGAAGGAATCAGACAAGATTAAGGGTTCACATAGTTCGAATTAGCTGTAAACTAAGTGTGCGAGACAAAAATGATCAAAATAGGCAATTTACCCTAGTCTTCATTTAACTAGTAAATTGCATAAAGTGGGTATCAACTTGGAAAATACGAGCTGAAACACAAACATGTGGACAGGAAAAGAGAGAAAAGACAAAAGGGTATAATATTTGAAATGTAAGAAAATTCGTCGCAATTCGTTGTCATGGATGTTCCATTCGGCCTCCTTCCCACTCGATCAATGGTGGCTCCTGGTAGCGTTGCGCTGCTTAGCTGCCTCTAGCGCTCTAAGAAGCCTTTGTTTATGTTCCAAGTCTTCATCCGTGCTTTGACTCACGGGCGCTGGACTGGAAGATGGACCCGGGCTAGTAGTCGAAGGGCGAAGACTTGGTGGTATAGGCACTTCACCAGATGGTCTGCTTGGGAAAGAGTCTTGGACTGGGGAGATCGGGGCAGCGGTGTGGGGGTCGTTGTGTAAGCCAAGGAGAAGGCGTTGAATTGTGGCCTCAATCTGCACAGGCCCCTTCTGAATGCTCTGCAACTTTGAATTCAGGTCTTCCTGAATTTTTTCATCCTCTTTTTTCTTCTCACCCTCCAGCCGATGGAAAATATCCGGTTCTGAGTTGGCATACCGCGCTTCCGCGACGGACACTCCATAGTCGGCGTCGTTGAGGGCCATATCTGCAACTCCAGCGCTGCGGATGATGGCCTCTGAATCAGCTCGGAGGGATGCCGCAAAGGTTGCTGCAGATTTGAGAATCTGCTCAATTTCAGAAATCGATAGACCGGAGGCTCGGAGGGTAGCGGTATCTAGCCGGGCTGCTTTCGAGGCAACTTCGTCCAGGAGAGTTTGATTTGTACCTAGCCCGTGCAAAATTGCATCGTCGAAGGAATCCATGAGTCGGTTGGCTCGGTCATCACGATCCTTGCACGCTTCCAGAATGTTTCGCCGTTCCATCTGGTCAAATTCTCCGTCTAGTTTGCGCAGACCAGCCACATCACCCATGAACACAAGTGGCCGCCGCTCAGCCTTCTTCCGTCGTCGCTCACAGTCAAGGGCTAATTCAAGACGTTTCTGGAATCGGATTTCAAGCTTATTGTGAATGTCGTTAACCATTTTCATGGTCACGGATGGGCTGCCTCGCTCGCTTGGTGGGCTTTTGCCCTGTGAATCACGGTCGAGTTGACTGAGAGCAGCGTCGTAGGACTTGCGAAGCGCCGAAATCTCATTTTTCAGGCCTTCATCTAAGGGATTGAAGACGTGTGTAATGAAATCGTCTACTTCGTGTCGTTCCTCCTCTAATTGGACCCGAGCTTCGGTTTGCCGGAAGTCTTCTTCTAAGGTATTGATGTCCGCATACCCGATCTCCTTCGCATTGAAGAGATCATCGATATGTAGCTCAGATTCATCCTGACGGACCATACGCTCCTGGTCTAGCTTATGCCGTCTCGCTTGCGCTGTTTCCTGCCATTGAGCGGCGGTCCGTCGGATGTACGAGAAATCGTCAGAGAAATTTTCGAGTCCTTCCCGAGTCGTGATGTGCCATGAGCTTTCAGACTGTTTGTCCAAGGGCTTCGATACTATGGTGCGCAACTCTTCCACGAGGGTTCTCGGTCGGCCTTGACGAAGAGTGTCTGGCAGCAATGGAAGCGGCGGAGAGTTTCGCCCTGCCGGTTTAGAATAAGCCACGCTCTTGTGACGAATCAGACCGAGAAAGGTCTCATCATGTTCATTCTGAGCCGGAGAAGCAAGTGCAGTGTTTGACCTCGAACGAGATGTAGGTGATGGTGCATTTGACATGACTCGCCCACTGACAGCTGCTTGCCGCATATCAGAGTAGGCTTTGTAGGCTGGGCGAGCAAATGTGAGGTTGTCCGAGCCTCGCTGAGGACCCTCCTTATACTGGAATGGCGTGTATATGGGCCGCGGTGGGTTCGTAGCCAGGGGCTCCAAGACTTGCTTCTGCGTATCTGTTGACATCATGGATAAGGGTCTTGAGAGATGGGCCGACTCTGCGCCCGAGGGCACAGTAGATAAAGTGGGAAGAAACTGCGAGCTCCGTCCCGCTTGCTGAGCGAGCAGAGGCCGACCACCTGAACTGTACTCACTGCCAACATCATCGAGATCTTCATCCTCTGCTGCTGTTGCAGCCGAGAGAGGCGGGATTTCTTCTGACGCAACGGGTATCAGCCCCGATTCAACAGGCGGTTGTTTGTTGGGGTTAGAAACAGATAGTGGTTGCCGAGGAGCAGGGTCAGGAGCCCGCGGAGTCAGCGGAGTCAGCGGTTTGATCTCAGGCTCATGCTCTATATTATAGAGAATCTCCCGGAGCTTGGTCTCCTTGGCCATGAAAGCTGTGAAGATCTTATATCTTTCTTCATCCAAGTCAGCCACTGCCTCCTTACGTAGCATGGCAACATATCTTTCCAACGATGATTTGGACCAGGGGTCCATATCCTCGAAGGGATCTTGGTTTTTTGGCGTAGCCACCCTTCTGGAACCTTCCACCATTCGCGCAGAACTATTCGAGCTCGATCGCGCATGGTCGAAAAATGACGAGCTAGTTTGCGCAGACTGTGAGCGCTCTACCGGGCTAGTTTGATAGAATGCACCGGGTCGGTCCTGATGTTCCGGTTGAACTGGTTTATGGGCAGGAGATAATGGGCGGACCCATGCATCTATTACATTATCAATGGTGTCTGAACGTCTCATAGAAAAGGCAGAGTTGGTGGTGTCCACGCGGGCCA